GTTCTTGAAACCTCACTGAGCCTTCCTTCCCATCCACACTCAAACCATTGTGTTCATTTCTGATTGGATTATTATGAGAAGGATCGCTTTGTATTCTCTCCTTTCACTGGAGATATATTATTTTGAGTGACTAGTGAGTTTTATGAAAGAAAATATTCCACTTGGAGATATGTAAAAAGTTTCTGGAACAATTTGTGTGCTAGATGCAATCAATCTCACATCTCAGTATTGTTGTGAAACGAGAAGAACAGTGTCGTAACAAAGGTCCTCTCAACTCCCTAGCGACACTGTAGCCTTTTAACAGAGTTGAGTTTGCTCAATCTTGTCTCTGCAAGGTAAATTTCAAACTACTTGTGAGCCTATTTTGATAACAAATCAAGAACGGTTTTTGCTACCACCAGTTTTTGACCTCTTTCTCGATCTGAGAACCTTTCTTTGTTGGTCACTCAAAATTTAGGGAAACTGTTTGAAGGTGTAAAATTGTCATTTTCTAATTTCAATGACATTAACTCTGTTTGGCTTGCATTGTGAGAGCTATAATCTTTCCTTCTATGCAAATTCGTTCAAGGAGCAATCTTTGTTCGATTACGAGTTATATAGAAGACTAAATCGTATATTCAACTGTAGAGTTGGGAAGTATAGAGAGGACAGGACGATAGTAAAAAACTGACCGAAGGTTGGGAATACTTTTGTCTATACACAAATTCGTACATAAACTACCTACGATAAGTAGGATCGAGCCTCCAACGTTTCAAGGTCTTAGTTTGTTTGTTCTTTTCGTAAAGAACTTGTTGAGAGTTTTCTCTGGTATAACGACAGTAAGAGTGGTGATGCTTTTGGTTCTCCTTGCACTTATGTTTCAAGATTCACCTTTCTTTTTTACTTTGCCAAGAGGGGAGATGAAAGATTCTTATTTTTCCATTATTTCTACGTTTTTATTTTTTTCTTTTCACTAGTAGACGAAATTTATCTAGTATATTTAAAAGAACAAGACCTTTACCGGTTTGGATAATCACCATCATATTATTTATGTTAATTGTGCTCAGCTTTTATTCTGCTGATTAGTTGTATTATTTCATAGTGACATTATTCTTTCTTTTTAGTGACAATTTTTATAAAACTATATCTTTTCTTCTTTATGTTTGACTTGTTTCTATTGGAAATGAACGTTTCTTGTATATATAGACAGTTTGTTTATACAAAACTTTGAGTTGTCTTTGATTCTTGTTACCAATATCTAAAAAGAAGCCTCCACCAGTGTATCCATCTGTTTATATTTCGCGAGTCTTCTGCCTAGTGTCTAACGCGAATAACTTTTTGTATTATGACTCACTTATTCAAGGAGCTTATGGATGAGAGAGTGGAAAAAGAGTAGGAGACAAGTGGAGCTAAACAAATCTTTCCTTGAATTTGCAGAGCTTTTAAAAGTTTTGTTTTCTTCGTACTGGAAGAAATAAGCGTTCCCTTGGAGTTATCCATGCCCTAAAGCAGCTTTGTACTATTTATAGTTTGCTTTCTTATATATGTTCACAGTTTGTGGTTTTTACAAAGTTCAAGAGGAGGCAGTGAAAGCCTTTAAACCTAAGCAGTCATGTTTACCTTCAAAAACACCTCAACTATACAGTCGACGACATGGAAGAGAGAATTCAACTATGATTCAAATGCTATGATGAAAAACGAGAAGAGAATCGAGAGGATAGACTCAGTTGGACTGAATTGAACTTTTTTGAAAATAAGTTTTCTCTCAACAAAATCCACAGTATCAAATATCAGTATTGTCTGCAAGTATTTTCAGAGGAGAAAGAAACAGGAGTTGTTGACTCTTACAGAAATTGGATATTGAATATGCACTTGTGTGCAGGAGAATGACTCGGTTAATACACTAGTGCAATCTTTCAAATATTTCGGAGATACCTTTAAACATGTTTCAAAACTAAAAGGTTTTCATTTGAAGGCTATTTTTGGTGTCAATTTTGCAATATTGCAGAGTTGTAGCAATGATTCAAAATGAATAGACTATACATACATACATGTTGAATACTAGAATGAAAAATATCCTTTCTTGTCCAAATACTTAGTAAAGTGGTTACCGAAAGAATATCTCAAAACATTCTTAAAGTGTCTGCTACGTTGTCTTTCTAGTCTGTTGAAAGAAGAACAGTAACTCTATGTATTATAAATCTCAAAGACTGAAACGGAAAAGGTTGTTTGTAGATTTCACTTGGACTGTCCTTCCTATCTTTTGTTAAATGAATAGAAGAGAGTTTTCCTCGGTTTTAGACCAAACGAAAAAAGTGGCAGCAAAAACTTGAGGCTCCAACTTGAGGACCTGCACTGCGGTCTAAAAAAGAGTTTTAGTTTCTTGAAATTCGATAAAAGTTTAGATTCCTTTCGTTTTTATGTGTTTTTTTCAAACTGCATTTCTAGCCTTGGAATTCATATGAATGGCTTCTACAAATATGAAACTTGTTGGAACTAAGAGAAAATATAGTAAAGATAAGAACAAATACTAAAAAAAGTATTTTGGTTTGCAATTCAAACTCTATCTCAAAAGTATTCACGACACTATATATTCAAACTCTGTTTTAGTGAATTAGACTGAAAACTCACCGACTCTTAGATAGGGAAAGGAACCCGGTTGCAAAGATGATATTCGATATAAAAAATTTCGTTTGACTATTAATAGAACAAGAGCATCTTAAATGAATCTATCCATGTGACAGTCAGATAAAAAACTTTCTATTTCAGAAAATTACTATTTACAGAGGAGTTCTATTTATATTGCATTGCAAAGGACAACTTTGAGAGTGGAACAGAATTGTTTCTAATTAGTCAAAGGAAACCATATCCAATCTTGAAGTATTGTCATTCCACAACAATCACTTGACAGATAACTTAGGAACTACAACGTATTTCAGTCAAGAGTCATGTTGGGTAAAAGTTCTTCAATATGGAGTGGCTTTCAGTTGGAGAATTGCTGAAGCTTTCAAGTTGGTACACTACTCGACCTTGACTCAAGTATAAAAGGCTTCTTCTTTAGCAAAATAATTTTTTGGCTCAGTCTTTTACTCTTTTTTCAGCATCGATATGTGGAAAATGAACGGTTATAGTTACTATATTTGAAGCCTTTATTGATGTTTTTATATACGACATATTCAGAACTTTTTAAAAGTCGAACAAAGGATAGACAACTTGTGTAGCTATTATATCAATAATGGCTTGTATTTAATGATAAGTCAGTATGACAGTCTACATAATACACTTCTCCAAATTCAATTAGATATTTTTGTATTTATAAACTCTGCTACGAACGGTTACAAACTAACAGACTTCCCATTCATTGCAATTCTCTGTTTCCCACTGTATTTCGTCTGTAACTTACAAAAAGCTTGTATCTTATTAGACTTGTATATAGGAGTTTGCGTGTAAGATGGTGTGGAAGATAGTAGAAAAACTCTCTTACAGTATACAAGCCATAGAAATAGTACCCATCAATCTAATTCACCACAAAAACTCATAGAAACCTATTTCTTGTCTATAGTAAAAGAAAGTTTCTAGTTATGACAAGCAAGAAAATATTCCTGCTTTCTCTCTATTGTCATTGTGAGTCTAGAAGTGTCAAAGAGATCAGTTTTACCAATCACCAAATAAAGCAATCTCTCGAACAATAAAACATACACTCTCTTCCATCTCCTTTGTCCTCCTCCAAGTGTTTTGTTCTCGGCTCCTTTGAAAGCTTTTAGGTCATCGCTTTCATCACCCTTTTATCATCATCACTCATTCATTGATTTTGGATTGGCGGCGTGGAAAATGGCTAGTCAAGAGATACGCATAAGTTTGCCTGGAATGACAAAAGTACCGTTAATAGATAGAAAAGAAGATGTTTACTCTATTCTTCTAACTTATTTGCACCAGTTTTCTCCAGTTGAGGGAAACTTTAACATACGCCCTTCAGCTTGTTTCTCTCCTCATATTTTTGGGGCTGGCAAGAGTTTTGTTGGTGAAAATTTTTTAGAGTTTTTAAAAAAATTCGCCGACGAAGAAGAAGAGCAGACGGAGACGGAGGTTTTCAACAAGAGCTCATCGGGAAAAGTTGATTTGAAGATTTTTTCTTGGAAACACTTTGCGGAAAACACTTTGTCAGTTATCTTAGAACTAAGAGAGAGCTTTTCTGATGCTCCTTTTCCAAGGTTTCGAAAGGCTTTGATGTATAACATAGCTATGGCTACAGCCGAGTGTAATGGTATGAGTGCCCGAGAAATTGTAGAATTCACGGACGCAGCGATGAAGCAACCTAGTGTTTCTTTATTTGTCCAGTATCTTCTCGAACAATTTCAGAAACAATATTTATTTTTGATGATAGACGAACTTAGTCACCTGAGTTACCTCACCACATACTATAGTGAACTTACCACGAAACAGTTCGTCGAGTCTGACCCAAAATATGTACCTTTCCGGAATTTCTTCCGTATTTTACGTGATTTGTTGATTACAGGGAAGGTAATTGTCTATTTGGCAGGTCGGACTGCTGAAATCTCAGCCCGCCTGTCTGATGCTCGCTCCAGTAGAGTGAGTCTCCATATGTTGCGGCTGAATCCCTTTAATCTCCATGATATTAACGAATATATTGAGCTGGCAATTTATGATGGAAAGTCCTTGAAGGACTGGTTATTGCCCTCTGATGAATTACGGTATCGATTCGTAGAATTGTTGAAGAAGAAGACAGGAGGTATTCCGTTGATTGTAAAGAATACTTTATTAGCCCTAGTAGGGAAAGTTGCAAACTTATCGCAACCTGCTATCAACAACGACAATATGGAATTTTTATTAGATGGTGTCTTTGAAGATATACTAAATGAGTCAGGAACGTTTATTATTCCGGAGATACTAGATTCCGCAACCCTTCTTCGATATCAATTTGTCCTTTTGAATTATCAACTCGGAACGATTTTCCCAATCGGATTTGCAATTACTCTATGTGGAACGAGAACTTATTTGATGGACTTGGTTGCAACTTTTGGGTTTTATTCTGAAAATTGTGGAACTGACGGGATTGATTTGGGCACTAAGTTTAAGATTGGTTGTTGTGAATTTATATTGCGAGCTCATAGCAACTATAACTTTTTCCGTGAAGCTACTGAACTTTTTCCTTTATCTCCGTTTAGTTATATTCCCGACACTTCAACAGCAAAAGGAGTCTTCTTTGAATTTGTATTTATGAAGATCTTTCGTTTTCGCTTATTAACTTTTCTTCATTCTAATTCCTCGCCTATTGTACATTCTGCTATTCCAGGAATTTTCCAGGGTTCTTTTATTGAACAGGACAATGTTTCGTATTCTATGGAATCTACAAAATCTAATGATATACCCATCTTGAGAAATGTCTCTCGTTCATTTTCTGGTCATTATAGAGATTATTTACAACATTGTGGTATTTTTGTTCCAAAGGAGGGCAATTCGAGTGGTCCTGATGCATATGTTGTATTCCATAATGGACAAACACGTTATGTTGTTGGATTTTCATTCAAATTTTATCACAAAACTGAATTTTCGAAAACAAATATTGAGGAAGAAGCCAAAAAATTTTTTAAGGGAGTTGTTTCCGTTTTGAATGACGAATCTTTTTCATCTGTTCAACTTCGTTTTCAGTTTGTGGTAGTATGTACTAGATATGATCAATCTGTAGGTTTCTCTACCGAAGAACATAATATTGTTGAAGATGCAAGTGGTTTTGTGACTCAACATTCTTCGGGATCAACTTTGAATGAAAGTAGTCGATCATGTCTGCAATTGGTAATTGTTTCTCAAAGGAACCTTGAAATGTATTTGGGAAGAGATAATGTCGAAACGTTGAGGAAAATTGGGGAAGCAAACCGAGGAGAGTTTTCTAAAAACTTTTCAGTATGGTGTGAAACTGTCTTTGAGTCGATGTCCAATGAATATGTTTCATCTTTGGAAGCTGAGCAATCAACTGTTACTTTAAGAGTGGCTCGAAATATAAGACCGAGAACCAATGAGGAGAATAGGATGCAAATGGAAGGTTTTCAAAGTGCTATGCAAGTGGAAGAAGGTATAACAAGAAGCGAACAAGTATCAAGTGATATTACACATTTTGACTGGAAAGAGTTTCTTTGCAAGTCTGCGTTATTACCGGAAGAATTTGCCTCTCGTCATGCTTCGAGATTTTTACGCATATTTGGAGATAATCCTCAAGTGATTCGAAGAAAGTCACTAGAGTTGATGGGTATACCAGAACAATATATTCAACAAATTCTAATTGCAACGATGTTACTGGAAGAAAACACAGAAATGAAAGAATAATTAGCTGCTTTCAAATTTGTGTTATTTACGGACATTCTTTTTAGAACAATAATGGAAAGTTGGCTAGTAAGTGGATAGAGAGAGTGCTTTATGCTTTCATTCTAATTGAAGCTTACAACAGCAGCAAAGCTTAACTCTGACTTGTGAGCTTTTCTCTTTGTTTTCAGGAAAATGAGGAATAAAACTATGTTTTTTGGGTTGAAGAAACTCTGGTTATTTTAGCGAACTAAAACGAAAAAACTCAATCTTCGAAATCATTGTTGTTTCTTTGGTTGGCATTGTAAAGGCACAGCCTGTCAATAATGCAAACTCTTCAGCTTTTTAACGAGCAGTTGAGAACGTAAGTTTTATTGACCCAGTATTGCTTGCTCTTCTTGTGGTTTCTATATAAAGATTGATTTGGAAACTTTGTCGGTATTGCCCTAAAATCTGTAGTTTTTTGCTTTTTACTGCAAATATGTGCCAAGGTGACTTCATATCTAGTAATGGCAAGGATATATATGGTCTATCCTTTTTGGAAATCTTCTCAAGTTTATCTTTTCTGTTAAAATTTAGATTCTGTAAGATGGTTATGAAAATATCCAATAGTTTTCCTTTTGTAACAAAGTGAGAAAGTCTTTATAGTCTCGCGAATAATAATAGCTGAAAAATCATGAATTTAGAAGGAAATGACGAATGTTGTTACAGCATGTGTCTTCTTCAGCGGAAGATACATCTCCAACGCCAATAATAGCCAGTTCAAGTTTTCATCTCCATATAAGAAAAACTGCTATGATTGCCTTCCATCTGTCGTCAAATAAACTTTCTGAATACTCGATGTGAAAGTCTTCTTTAAAGCAGGATCACTTTAACCATCCTTCTCCGCTGTCACTTGTTTTCCCAAAAGAGGTTTCGGAATGGTTTTTATTGGAAATAACAGTCACCACTACCGAAAGATCCATTCAGGTAATCATAATATCCTAACACCCAAAATAACAAATAAATACAAAACTCGTTTGGGGAAAATACAGAACGCTCTCTATACGTCCAGTTAGGCTATATAGATATCAACGCAGGCGGTTTTTCTCTTGGTAAACGTTCTTTCGGTGGCTATCTCGAACTGTGATATGACACGCTGAAACAAATTAGCGAGTTGATTATTCCACTGGCGGTTTCGAAGATTAGGAGTATTCGGGAGCAAACATTAATTACCAAGTAATCAGCCATGCCGTAAACGACGTCACCCTAGTCTCAAAATCCAACTTGGCGTCTTCTGGATCCTTGTCTTTTCCTGAGTTGGAAAGATCAACCTGCTTATGCACTATAAATTTTCGTAATCTCTTAAAAACTACACTAATTCTTGAAGCCAAAAACCAATGGTAACTGCTTGTTCCTTCTCCAGCCAGAATATTCAAGGTTTAGGGTTCTTTCTTTATGATTCCGCGGTTACTGAACCATCTTCTACAAAACCAAACCCAGCTGATGACACGGCATCGAAACAACCTGCGCTTGTCAAACCCTGTCGCTGCTAGTCGATATGACTGTCAAATAAGTCACAGGAAAGACCGGAATAATAAGCTTTCAGTCTCTATTCTTCAGACTCACGAACGAAACTACAAACCCAATCAATTCCGTTACATCCTTAATGCATCTTTGAGACTGGGGGAACGAAGTATTGAAGCAGTCTCAAAGAATTTGTCAGAAACCGGATAAGCTATCACCCTAGTTATCTTGATTAGAAAAGTTCTTATTAATCAAAATTTGAATATCAACGCAATTTGTTCCCTCATATCTCGATGGTGCGTCAGCCTGTCTAAATGTCTCGCTTCCATGAAAGCTCGAACATATATCGTTTGTTGTTGAGTCAGAAATGATTCGTCAGTGGTTGAAGAGTCTTTGGTTTTTTAAATTTTGTACGATAAGAAATAGTGGAAGACATTGCAGCAAGTTTTTGTTGTGCCTCTTGCTTTAATTTTTTTGCGAAGTGACAAAGAGAACTTTTTGAAAACAGGAAAACTTTCTGTTGATAGACAAAGTGTGAGTGAATGTTCACAAACATGGGAGGAGAAAGCAAGTATCAAAATTGAATAATTAAGCCATTTTGAAGTAATGGTGCTCGTTGAATCTCTCCAAGAGCTCTTTGTGGTTTTGAGAAACTGAATTGTATTCATAATCACGATATTAAGGTTGAGTCTTTTTTCAGGTTCCTCTAAAACTAAATAACACTGAGAAGCTAACCCTACATTGTCTGTTTTATAAACAAATGGTTTTTGTAGAATACTTGGATCTTTTTGGAGTTGCACTAGATGAATGTGTGTGTCAACTGTCGCAGTTTTTCGATTCGTTTGCAGATTGCAGTGCTTATGCAAGTTTTGAAATACTTCATGTTTTTTAAAATAAATGTTATGATTCAACTGCAAAAAGTTGATATGGATCAATTGTTTGCCTAGAAAAAGCTGCCTTTGTTCTTAAAAAGAGATATTAATTTTTTCAATTCACTTACTTGAAATTCTTTCTATACGCTCTATCCTATCACATATTCACATATAGCCATTTGGAATTAACCTTGTGAAATGAGCAGTAAAATTTTGCACAATATTCCAAGCTTGTTTAATGGATAGTAAACTGTTCAACAGTTAAGCACGAAGACTGGGAAGTCGAGGATATTTTTGGTCAGAAAAGAACGATTCCATCTAAGAAATTGATATAGAGTTCTTATTGAAATATTTCTAATAAAATCTTTGGAAGTTTTCATTGCTCATTTATTTTGAGTTCTCTGTACAGTATCCAGTTCAAACTGTTTTCTCAAAGCTTCATTTGGTTTATTTCATATTTTACGATTTACTTGCTCTATTTATCATTCTTCAATGTCATGTGCAAGATGTGACATTGTTTGCAACCAATGGAATGCAAAAGCACTTTAAAATTGAATCTGTCTATAACAAAGAATGAAAATGATGGATAGACTAAAAAATATCTTCCCAAAAGTAAGCTCAGAATACTCGAAACAAGCCAGTTGCATAGAATAGATAATTTTGCTTTCATGTTGACGAATACTGAGAATTCTTTCACACTCAAGCTAACTTTTCATTCTTCTAACACATCAATATAAACACTAGCTGGTTTCCATACTTAAAATTGAATTTTTTGCAATGAAATGTTTCTGAGCAATTTCTCTCAAATTCTTATGAGAGAACTTATTTAAAGAAATCTCCCAGAAGATATCGTAATATATGATGAAACCATTGTCAATCAGAGTACCTTTATATTATGCAAATCAACTAGTGCTTCTTTGGCACGTTCAAACAACCATAAATTGCTAAACATACTATCCTTCATATTACGCCTCTTCGACTTATCGCCGTTCCTGCCAAATCAATTACGGTTCCTGCTAATATTGAACTTGTGGAACAACACATGCTTCAGTATACTGCACACACATTATCTTTGGAATTTGGCAACATTGCTGCAGTTCTATCAGCTTGTATTCTTGGCATGGATAGTAAATCTAGTGGCACTGTTAAGTATACAAGAAATGTGGAGAAAAATACCTCCATACCTGAGTTTGACATGGATAACTCACAGATTGTTGATACGAAAGTTGACAGTACTATGCATCATATTCTTTTCAGCACATCACTTTGAAGAAAATCAATATTGACATACCTGCTGACAAACTTGCTCCTGTTGATAATTCTGTTGTTCATACTCTTGTTCACAACAAACTTGCTGATATTCCGTCTCATATTTATAACACGTAGTTGGTGATGAGGTTACACATTGAGACATATAAGGAGCCTAGCACATCACTAAGGTTTGAAGCCTTGAATATAGACTGGGTCTTTTTACCTGTGTTTGAGTATAAATACAACTTTGAGATTGCGTTTGTGTGGCCGTAACACAGATCTACAAAGTACCAAGGGTTATCCTCTGAGGCCATTTAACTAGGAGCAGTTTTAAAACTTTACCTTTTGACATTGTTGCGTCTGAGTAGGCGAAACTGTGTATCCTCTTTCAACGGTGGTTACTTTTTCCTCTGTTACTGCATGAACCGTACAAATTATACTGAACAGTAGTACCACAAGGCTAGCTGCCAAGGAAGATTGCAGTATTCGTAGGTTACTTTGATGCATGTCCAGTCAAAATTCTTGTAACTAAATTTTGCATAGATTTGTCGTACTTTTTATAAGATGAATCTGTCGCTTCGAATCGTCATGAATCGCTGCCTTTAGATGGCACATGCAATTTTGAATTTCTAGAACATCATCTTTGGATATTGACGATTCATGGAGATGAAGAGAAATTCGTTTCTACCAAAATGGCCTTGGTGGGGGCCTCGGCATAAAATTTCAAGTCTCCCACAAGTTTGTTTCAGTAGCAATAGTCGTTTTCTTCGATTGATTTCTTCCCACTGACTTGAAAGAAATCAATACGTGATCTTCTTGGCAACTGGAAAGTTACGGTAGACGACAGTTAAACTTAGAGTCTCTGCATTGCTACAAAAAACCATTTGTCAGGTGAGTTTTGCGACTTCTTCACATATAGGTAGAATAATATCCGCCAAAACTATCACGAAAGGTTTGAAGAGTGATAAGAACCAGTATATAAGCGGACCATGAAACAGTATGACGAAGACTCCTGTCTCGTATTCCTTGAGTGAAATGCCACTTGTTTCCTTCGCGGAAAGGTGTTCCAGTCTAGCAAGTTTTGAAACAACTTGTGGTGGGTAACCCTCCGGGTCAGGCTAAGTCCATATATATACGTATTTTATGCAAATATTATATATATATATTGGCAACTCGTGTAAAACGGCCGTGTTCCAAACGTTTGGTGTTCTTTTGAAACTTGATCAGAATCTTAAGTGAAACAGTTAATTAGACACAAACTGATTCAGCAGAACTTGAATTCAAAAGGGTACCACACCAGACATAAACTTATGGGCCGATATGTATTGGTTGTGGTGGAACTGGATGGACAAATTCTTCTATCAGAAGAACTAGAGCAACTTGAAATATATTGCAGGTGACTCTTGCGAAGTCTTTCTAAGGTTTTGACGTCTATTTTCTTCTGGTAATTTTGTGCGTAAAGACTTGAGCCTAATCCAAAATTCGGAGCTGGAACCGATTGGCAGCAAGTGTCTGATACGAGAAGTCTTCTAGGATAAACTGTTTGCAATTTGGGATAGAAATGAGCTTCGCTGTTCCTCGCACGAAGAAATTGCTTATGAGACCCTAAAGTTAAAACTAATGTGAGTGTTGAGCGTTTTTGCGGTAGGAAGTAAGGCTATTTACTGTCGTGAAAAGGAAGTGAAATAGTACAACTCACAAACTTTTTGGCGACTAGATTGCACACCAAGACAGTAGATTTGAGAGTATTATTCTTTAGAACTAAACGCAGTTCCGAAGGCTGTTCTGATATAGATCTCCAGTCCTAGATAGAAAGATTTCTTTAGTTTCGTATATTCTTATTCTTAACGCATTAATTATTGTCTCTCCTCGGAATAACAAGAATTTTTTTAAGAGATTTGCGATACCTTGATGAAAATCTGTGAGAACATGCAAGGATGCTACGTGGTGCCAGACATTTTTTGAAAAATGATAGGATGTAGAGGAAGCCTTTAAAGCTAAAAAAATCAAAAAAAACTATCCAATAGAGGATAGAACTATGAGACAGAAAATAAACAAGAATGATTAGAATGGAACTTGTTCTGTTAGAAAACTTTAACTGTTGATGCAATTTCCAAGAGGAAGAGAAAAGTCAAGGAGAGTTGGCATTGTCAGACTAAATACTCAAGTGGGAACAGAGACTGCTCAATCTGTCTAGGCTTTAATTGGAAAGAGTTTTTGAGACTGCGTTGATCTCTGAAAACATGCTGGTTGATATACATTAATAATATATTGTTGGAAATAATATGAGTAAAATTGATGGGAAATTATTAAGAATCATTCGAGTCGAAGACGAACATCTCAAATGAACATGCAAAAGGAAATCTCAAAGACATGTAGCATTAAACTACAAGGCGCGTAGAAGTTGTAGCTATTGAGATCACGAGGACAGATGAGACTTCGGGTCATTTGTTCAAACTTCGCACGTATATAAACAAGAAGTGTAAAGGTCAGTTGCCCAATTTCGAACAGACATTTCAATTTGAAGTCATTGCAAATTGTATGAATAGCTCAGTTTTCGCTATTCACATCTCAACTTGATCTTTGAAAGCTCATTTACATTAGTTATACGATAGAACAAGTCTTCATATGTTACTCTGTGGAGTCACAATATCAAGAGCTTCAAGAGATTTGATACGAACCTTGGTAACTGTCATGTAGCTGTCTCTTACAATTGCCAACTGCAGTGAGAAGAGGTTTTCAGTTGTAAACTATAATTCTACTGCGACGAATCAACCGATTCCACTTTTTAATTATTATTATTTTCGTTGAATACTGCAGCTTTGGGTCAGGTTGATGAGCTTATGCTTTCCACTTGACTACTGTCTAAGAAAAACTTGCGTTTCTTTCAAAAAGTCTTTAATATTTTCAGATTTTCGAAAATATGCAACAACTTTTAGAGAATTCAACCGTTCTCATGAAGATACACCAACCGAATGGAAGAGTGTAGCCGAAGAGATTCAAGCGTTTCCTGAACTTATACAAGTGGACGAACTTTTAAAGGAAAGAAGAAAGTTGGAGGCTATTATTCCTTGCTTTCAAAGGTCACTCCATGTTTTTAGAAATATGCGGAACAAAGCATACGAAGTATTGCTTAGGGAAAAGTTGGCTGAAACGTTCAACTGGTACGGTAAAATAGAGCAAGAATATAGTGAGAGGAAGATAATATTTACTATGTTGAATTCGCTTGGAGACGGGAGGTTAACTGGTGTCGTTAGCCGCGCAGAGAACTCCTTGAAACTTTGTTATTTGAGACAGGGGACAGTGGAACCAAGAGAACCGCCGTCGTCACTGCAGACGCAAGGAGTTGCAGCTGCTAAGAAGGATTCTGCACCTTGTCTTGAGAAACTTTTTACTATTTCCAGGGCACATGACTTTCTCACACAGCTGAAATTGAATAAATCAAAGGATTTTATGGCAGATAGTTGGAAGGAACTTGTCGAATCAGCACGCAACTTCGAGATATGCCCAGAATATGGTGACTCTGTTGGATATTTTTTGTTGCTTGCCTCAAATTACGGACTAAAGTGTTGCAATTTGCCGAAGGATTTGATTGACTTTGTATCAGCTGCCGTTGTTCGATATGACAGTGACGAAGCTCCGTCATTCAAAGACATTACTTTGCATCGTGAGTTTGCTAGATACCTGTCTTTATGTTATCTAGGTGAGCTTTATATCAAACAAAATCGGTTAGATGATGCAGAAGCAACCTTAACACGTGCATTGCAGACTGCGAAACAGTTGGTAAGTTAGACTTGTGTGGTTAACAAGTTGCTCAATATGACCTTGTAACGACCTAGTATCCACGGAAACATCCTCGACAGGTTGAGCCTTTGAGGTTATTGGCAAAGCTCTATGAACATAAGCTGGAGCCAATCTATGCAGAAGGCTTATATCGAAGTTGTCTTGATCGAGTTGCTATCCCTTCTTGGGCATTGCCACGAGACATAAATATTTTGAAGAGTAGTTTAGATATTGATAATGCGTTTGATACTATGTCGATCTTGACCATTGTTGAACTAAGATGTCAGCTGCTTGAAGATTTTGCCATGCTTTTAGAGAAACTGGAATGGAACCAACAAAGTCGCAAAGCAGAAGCAGAACATTTTCGGAAGGAAAAGCAAATGCTGTTTGGAATTTTTCCTTCAGTTGGTTGTTCAAATTCGGAAATGAATCGATTTCTACCTGGTTGGTATTGTGATGAATCGCTAAAGCATTTTCACTGTGTATAAAAACTGTAGAAGTGAGTTATTTTTTATCGTGATTAGAAAGATTTCGACTCATTTCGTTTATACGGCATTCCTTTGTATCACTAAAAATTGTAAACAAATTGTTTGAAGTAAATGTCAAGTTTCTCGTCCAGAGAAAACAACTTCCATTCAAAACACTTCATTTCATTCCTCTATAAGAGTCGTATTTACAGTTTAAAATCCTTTCATAATTTATCATTGGAACTTATGAAAAACCTGATCCTGGAAAGATATTAAAAGTCATCTTTCTATTGTACACTCTTTTTTATTGTGTACATGGGATCCAATCGTCAGTATGTAATGAGTTTTCCTTGAAGCGTAAGACAGATTTGAGAAATTATGTATATAAAAAAGCATCGAAGAAGTTTTTTTGCTTTTTTAAGTATTCTATCCATATTGAACTACAAAACGACATAAATTTGTCTAGTAGCTTTTAAATCGATACAAACTGTCTTGCTTGAGAAAGTTTCATGACATGTCCGACTAAAAAGGTGTCCCATAGTAATTGCAACTATTCTGAGGCCCAATGCATATGTGCCACCAAATTTATTGAAATATATGCCAGCAGTGATTCATTATAAAATTTTATCAAATGACAATGCTGTCTACGCCACCTTTATGGCGTCCTGGTTGCATTGTTCACCTTGAAACCATTATTCTCTGCGTATCCGCAATTTTTCTGTTCATTTTCTTCCTAGCGTTTGCGACATTTGAAAAGAATTTTTCTACAAATTTTTGTGAAGGGATTTCCAAGTTGAGTAGAATGTCAAGTTTAAACTCACAAAGAATGTAGGAAAATGATAAAGGATCAACGACATTTTTATCATTTGTAATCAATACAATTTCCATATTAAATGTTGTCGGGGTGGTCTAGTGGCTAGGACGTCAGTCTCACACACTGAAGGTCGCGAGTTCGAACCTCGCCTCCGACATTGTTTTGTCTGGTTTTTGGTAAGACAATCAGCTATTGCAAATACGATGGAAACCTTTTTTTTATTATTAAACCTCGCACTGTTGGCTACGTTCGAAGTTTTTAAAAGAAGTGGGAAGAAAGCTTGTTTACAGTTTCTGAAAGTTCAAGTCTCACTCACGGTTCAACTTGGTTGAGTTGACTCCAACTTTTTTGAGAAATTTACTTATATCTCAACGTAAGACGGAACGTTGCTTTTTTGGTTTTAAAAGACTCTTTTCCTTGTTCTCGGGTGTTTTTTGAAGTCCTGTTCACCACAAAGTTGGCTTGAGTATTTTCTATCATCCTTCGAGTGCCTTGTAGTTTTCTGACTGTTTTTAGCGTTTTTAACAATGAATGGTGCTAGTGGCAATGTCTTTCAAAACCAAACGTTCCTTTAGCCTTTTCAATTTTGTGCTTGACATTCGTCACCAGTACTCGTTGAATATACGTTGCAAAACAGCCTGAGAATAAAAACTCTGGAAAGTCTTTCTATCTTATATAGAAAGCAGTTTGCTATGCATCTAGATTCTAACAATTGTTTACAGCTACAGAACTATTGACGGATGGAGTTGTTGGAATATTTAGAAACTTTGTTAAAACTGAGAGAAACTGCGCAACAGGAGTCGTAAACAGCATTGTTGTCCATCCAAATAAATATAAAGTGAACAGATGAATTATTTTTATCGCACATGTCTCGTCCACCACCTTTAAAGCCGATTCGTTCAGTTGGTGAGTCTGAATCAAACTTTTCTAAACACAGTTTGCTACAACCCATTATTGAAGAGAAAAATAGCCGAAATAATAGTTTTGCAAGTGGCACCCATTTTCTTGCTGAAGACAATCAGCGCTTAAGTGAGTTGTCACCGCTGCCGTGGAATGATTATTTTCGAACGCGTACCTTGGTTTTACCTGAAAATTGCAAAGGTATTGGCTTTCGCGTGTATGCTACAGGATCTTTAACAGAATTGTTGTTGGCTCAATCTACCGTTTCTTCGCAGACAGATGAAACGAGTAGTTTATATACTTCTCATCGAGCTGCAAGTTCCTTTAAACAACCTCTTTTGATGCTCTTTCACGGGGGAGGATATTCAGCTCTGAGTTTTGGGTTACTTGTGAAATATTTGGTTCAGAAGTTACCCAATCCTGAGTCTTTGTCTGTTCTTGCTTTTGATGCCAGAGGCCACGGGGAGACTGATGTGGAGAATGAGCAGAACCTTTCTGCTGAACAACAGGTTCAAGACGCTCTGGACTTACTGAAGAGTATATTCGGAAAACTTGACTCTGATTTACCTCCAATTGTTTTGGCAGGACATAGTATGGGCGGTGCTATTGCCGTACGTGTTGGTGCATCTGGACAGATACCAACTTTGTGTGGTCTTATTGTTATAGATGTTGTTGAAGGAACAGCGATGGCATCTCTGCCTCATATGCAGGTTAGTCTTTTTTTATGTTATTTTGTTAGTTGGGTTCAGAACTTGTGAGGATAGACTGTTTTGATGAAAAGACCCAAATCCTTTTCATCCGTGGAAAAAGCCATTCTATACTCGTTGGAAACTGGTCAAACCAAGTCAAGAGAATCTTGTCGCTTGTCACTACCTTCACAGTTAAGGTGGAATGAGGACGAAAAGTGCTATTCCTGGAGGACCAATCTTGAGGTTAGCATGTTTATTGTTAGAGTTGTATCTTTTCAATCTCTTTTTCTAGGAAAGTGAGTGCTACTGGAAGAGCTGGTTTGAAAATTTGTCGCCAACTTTTCTTAAGATTGCTGTTCCAAAGTTGCTGATATTGGCAGGTCAAGATAGATTGGATAAGCCTTTAACTATTGCGCAAATGCAAGGGCAGTTTCAATTGAGTGTGGTTCGTGATAGTGGTCACAATTTGCATGAAGATCAACCAGAAGGTACTGCTCAAATATTTGTAGAGTTTCTACGAAGACATTCTATAATTAACTAGTTTGCTGCTTGTATAATTATTTCTTTGCATAGTTATACTTGTAAGCCAACTCATGATAGTTTCCTACAAAGCTCTCTATTCGACCCAATCCATTACGGTCGCTTCCATATGCAATCGTTTCAATAATGACTTGTCATCACTCTTTATTAAAAATCAACTTTTGGCAAATCTTTTTCGCGCGTCTCTATCTTTTGCCAACCAAAAGAGGCAATGCGCACTACGATGACACACAGAACACGAACACACATAATGCAAATGCCGTTTATAAATTATTCTTGTTTACTCCGATCCTGTTCGTCCTTTCCATCTGCTTTCGTTGCGTTTCCATCTTCTTCACCACCCATGTCCGAGGTCCACAAGGTAAGATTATCACGTAACAATTGCATAATAAGGGTCGAGTCTTTATAGCTTTCTTCCGACAGAGTATCCAACTCTGCTATGGCATCATCAAATGCTTGTTTTGCCAACTGACAAGCACGATCAGGAGAGTTCATTATTTCATAATAGAAGACTGAAAAGTTGAGAGCAAGCCCTAATCTGATGGGATGTGTCGGAGCCAATTCTGTTGAGGCAATTTCACTTGCTGCCTTATAAGCCTCCAAAGATGCTTCAGCAGATACTTTTCTATCTTCCTGATTTGTAAACTCTGCGAGATAACGATAATAATCACCTTTCCTACATAAAAACTATAAAAATAAGGTTCGAAAAATATCCCGTGCTCACATTTTAAAATAAAATACTTTGCTCTCGCCTGACTTGGCAGAGGGAATCAGATTGTTCTCAAGTATGGACAAAATATCTCGACAAATAGAGCTCAGTTCGTTCTCTATCTTCTTCCGATATTCTCTGTTTATCAATACATGAGTTTGGTTCCCCTTTGACTCTTCTTTTTGTTCAATAGAAGAAATAATCCTCCAAGAAGCTCGTCGGGCTCCAATCACGTTTTTATATGCCACTGAGAGTAGATTGCGTTCCTCCACACTGAGCTCAGGTACATTTTCGTTGGCATCTGAAGCAACTTTTCTCATTTCTTGTATCATCTCTAATACAGATATAAGACACAAGTTGAATTAAACACTAAAACAATACCGTCGTAACGCTCAGCCTGCTCAGCAAGTTTGGCCAAGTAAACAGATTTTTCTCGGCTCTCTGTGTCCATCAAACCTACCAACGATGAAGTTAGACAGGTGACACCAATAACAGTAAAGAGGCAAACTTCAAGGCCTCTTCAAGACTCTATTTTAAATTACGAGAAGAAAAATTGAATACCTTTTCTCCTACAAACACAGTGTTAACGGGCGATCCGTCCAAGTACAAACTAAGATTCTTTTAGTCAAGGTGAAAATTGAGAAATGACGACGTTAATATGTAGTTGATACGCTTTTGTCGACACTCGAAAAAGACGTTCCCACTGTAATGCGCCATACTTACCAAAACAAAACAAACAGTGACTAAACAAGTTTGGCACAACGGTCAAGACAACAGTGACAAAATCCAAAAGGTAATTTGGACAGCAAATATGAAAAAAATGCCCTAAAATGGCGCGCAAAATTGATCAGAGATTTCAAAAATGAAAGGCCGATTCATAACTTTGCGAATTCTTATTGTCGATTTTTACATACATTGTTTTGGTTCACACTACTCTTGCCTCTACACATCGTCACTTATACTCAGAAGCTGTTGTTCTGCATACTGAAGAGAACATAATTGGAAGAGACGAACCAAAAGAGAAATTTTATAATGATTGAATAAGTTAAATATGTCAAAAATCTTGAGTGAAAGCTAATCATAAAAAGGATAAATAAATGTATTTGTTTTGACAACATTTATTACAATTCCGTACCATTACATGTTATTCCCTTAATGGGTATTTCGGATCTGGATGCTTGGATAGAAAAACTGAAAGACAGTGTTCTCCCTAGTGAAGACGAAATAAAAGTACTTTGCGGAAAGGTTAGAGAAATTTTGGTCGAAGAAGGCAACGTTCAAGTTGTCTATGCCCCTGTAGTTGTAAGTATTTGTTTTCGGTGGTGTACTAATAGAGGCTTATTCGTTAACCAGGTCGTTGGTGATGTTCACGGTCAATTCTACGACCTTTTAGAACTTTTTAAAGTAGGAGGTGAGCCTCCTTGGACAAACTATATTTTCTTGGGGGATTTTGTTGATCGTGGATATAACTCCGTAGAAACCTTGTTGCTACTACTAGCCCTTAAAGTTCGATTTCCCGATAGGGTAGCCCTTATACGAGGAAATCACGAAAGTCGCCAAGTCACGCAAGTCTATGGGTTTTATGAAGAATGTGTGAGGAAGTTTGGTTCAGCCACTGTTTGGAGACTTTGTGCTGAGATATTCGATTGCATGAGTCTCAGCGCAGTAGTAGAGCAAAGAGTCTTTTGTGTTCACGGAGGACTATCACCGGGTATAGAGAGTTTGGAAGATATTGAGGCCATTGATAGGAAACAAGAAGTTCCCCATGAAGGTCCTATGTGTGATTTATTATGGTCAGATCCAGAAGAAGTCGAGGGATGGACTTTGAGTCCTCGTGGGGCTGGATATCTTTTTGGTGAGGAAGCTGTCCAACACTTTTTGCATGTCAACCACCTGAACTTTATTGCTCGAGCCCATCAACTGGTTATGGAGGGTTATAAACAAATGTTTCAAGGACGCGTTGTGACTGTTTGGTCAGCACCAAACTATTGCTATCGTTGTGGTAACGTTGCATCTATTATGGAACTGGACGAGAATCTGGAGAGAAACTTCAAAGTATTCGAAGCCGCACCAGAAAGCAGTCGTCCGGAAAAGGGAAGAGTAAAAGCTCCAGACTATTTTTTATGATTGTTGCATGCGTGAAAACATTCAACAAGTAGTATTCTGTCCTTGGTGATTGTTAACACTCTCTTCTTCTGCTTGAACGAGTTCCCATGTTGAAGCAAATATATGCTTCCCTAGTTGTAGTCGGATATGCTGTTTGTCTAGTATGAGACTAACGCTACCTTCATCTGAGGAGAACAATAGAGTGAGAACTAGAACAAAATGGCAATACAAAAACATACTTGGATGAAGAATTTCAGAAGTTTCTCTTATTAGACAATATCGAACCACAGATTCGGTTCTCGCATCATCTCCCACAAGTTCTTTAATCAGTTTTCTGCTCGGACGCAATCCAGCTCTAACCAAACATATTTTCAATGGCATATCATGAATTGCTTCAACTTGGCTGTATTCAATGATGGGAACGTAATTGGGCTTATATTCGAATGTCAAAGGTGGTGGAGTATGGAGAGCTTCTTTTAGGTTGTTGCGATACTTTTGAAGTATTCTAAGAGGAAGTTATGTTAGTATGTTGCAACTACATACGCATTTCAATGACAAAGTCATATACCTTCTGAGAAGAACATCGTCGGTATCTACAAAAACTTCAATTTCATCTCTTGGTAAGAGCCCTGCCTTCTTTCTGAGCTTTTGTACTCGATTGATAAGTTCCCGTGCGATGCCCTCTTCATACAAATTTTCATCCTGTTTCATATCCATAAATATTAAAAGCCCGCTAGTGTCATTGGATGCGACCATTTCATATTCTTCCTGTAACATAGTGATATCTTTCTTGACTTGACGAATTACTTTCACTTGTTCTAATAATATGCAATGTCCTTCGATATCCAATTTTCCACTTTGTTCCAACTCAAAAATATCATCGCTACTTAGTTGCTGTATTGCACTGCGAATTTTTGCGAAATCTTTTCCCAGTTTCGAGCCAAGTGCTCTTCCATCGGCATCTGCACGAAGTAAAACATATTGTTTTTCTTCTGTGGTATAAACCAACTGCTTTACATTCAACTCCAAAACAATATAACTTTCAAGTTGTCGAATAGCTTCCAAAACTTGGGCATCCCGATGAATAATCACCAATTTCCTTAAAGGCTGTTTGAGAGGAACATTTCGTCTATCACGAGCTATGCGTCCCAAAAGGATAACCTGCTGAATGTACGAAACAGTTTGTTCAAACTTTTGATCGATTGAATGCAACCTTGGCTCTGGAATCATCAAATAGTGGACAGAATCAGCAAAAGAATCTAGAGGTGCTACTTTCTTTAAGTTTTGAAAGATCATTTCAGAAGTAAATGGAGCAAATGGGGCCATAAGACGACAAAATACGATAAGAACGTCGCCCAATACTGTTAGGGAAGTCTTCCATTCTTTCTTTCCACTGTTGCCTTTCAAACGAGGCCTATTTAGTCTCACATACCAATTGGTAAGAGAATCTATGAATCCCAACAAACGAGGAACTACATTATATAAATGATACGCTTCCATTTCTTTGCGTACGTACAACACAAGTGAGGCAAGAGAAGACTCAATCCAACTATTACAAAATCAAAAACCTGTCAATATATCATGCAAAAAGAAGCGCTTACTGATCCATTTCATTCACATTAGACTTGGAAAGCAAATCCAACTCAATAGCACCAAACTCTTCATCCATTTCAAGCTCATATTGCTTTACATTTTGAACAAAGAAACGATACGCATTATACCAAGGCAAAATAACATCTCGCACCACTTCTCTCACTCCCGATTCTTTGAAACGGAGAGTTTCTGCTCGAACCACAGGAGAGTTAATCAAATATAGTCGAAGAGCATCGGCTCCGTGTGACTACAAGAACTCAATTAACCAAATACTTTCAACCAAACGTTACTTACTTCTGTAACTTGGATGGGATCGGGGTAGTTCTTCAGTCTCTTAGACATTTTCTTTCCATCTTCTGCGAGTATCAAACCATTGACGATACAATGTTGAAACGCTGGCTTATCAAATAGGGCAGTACTTAAGACCATCAAAGTATAAAACCAACCCCTCGTCTGATCTAACCCTTCAGCAACAAAAACTGCAGGAAAGGTACTGCGAAATACTGCCTCAGAATCTGGTTCAAAAGGATAATGAATCGATGCATACGGCATCGAACCCGACTCGAACCAACAATCAAATACTTCGTCTACTCTTCGAAGAACCTTGCCAGACTTTGACTGAATAGTTATGTGGTCAATTGAGTCTCTATGTAGATCGGTGAGTTTTTCTTGAAGCCCTGCTAGCTGTCGAAGTTCTTCTTCCGACCCAATAACAACTATCTCTTGCTTATCCTATAAAATTTCAATTACTGTGCATTTCAATACAGAATGAAAACTCACGTCACTCATCCAAATGGGAATTGGAGTTCCCCAATAACGATTCCGAGAAACATTCCAATCACGAGCATTCTCCAACCAATTTCCAAACCGGTTAAACTGAACTGCTTCTGGGACCCAGGATGACTTTTTATTGTTTTCCGTTAATCTGTTTCGGAAAGATTCCACTCTGACGAACCAAGAAGGAACAGCTCGATAGATTAAAGGGGTCTCCGATCTCCAACAAAAAGGGTACGAATGAACTATTCTTTCATTCGTAATTAAGCGATTCAGTGATTTGATGAATTGTATGATGGATTTGTCTGCTTCCTTCACATGCAATCCACAAAAGTCGGTTACAGGTTGTATAAAACGTCCATTGTCATCGATTGGACAAGGTACTTCATCATTATAAGAAATAATGCCAGCATTGGAGCAAACACTTGTCCCAATCAACATAAATATAACTGCATGATAAAAACTTGAAACTTACCGAAAGTCATCTTCACCAAAAGCAGGAGCCTGGTGAACAATACCTGTACCTGTATCACTCGTTACATATTCATCAACCAAAACCAGAAATGCTTTATCTTTAAAACGCTCATAAAAGTATTCAAACAAAGGTTGGTACTGAAGGCCTTTGAGGTCCGTTCCTTTGCAGCGAGAGGTAATCCTAAGCACTTCCGATGAAGCTTTCTTAGAATCGCGTCTCAGCGCTTTCAAACATTCTTCCTTTCTCCCTTCAGCAAAGATATATTTCTTTCCTTGTATAGTGTCCTCCACAGTTACATAATCCAAATCTGGATGCACACACAAGGAAAGATTCGAAGGAAGGGTCCATGGAGTAGTAGTCCATGCAAGTAAACAAGTATTGGGATCAGTCAATAACGGAAAAGAAACTATGACGGAGGGATCGCTAATCTCTTTGTAGTTCAGGTTGGCTTCAAAATTACTCATTGGAGTGTTCAAAGCTGTCGAATAAGGCATTACACGAAAACCTCGATAGACCAATCCTTTCAAATACAATTGCTTAAAAACCCACCAAACACTTTCCATGTAAGTCATATCTAACGTCTTATAGTCATTCTTGAAATCAATCCATCTACCCAAACGTTTCACAATTGTTTCCCACTCTGAAGCATAGCGTAAAACGATGGATCTTATACAACTTTCAGATTGGAAGTAACCACAGTGTAATCATACCCACCGACACTCTGCATTGTATTTGTCAATTCCCAACCTCAAGACATCCTCTCGACACTTCACTCCAAGTTTTTTATCAATCTCGTGCTCTACTGGCAAGCCGTGACAGTCCCAGCCAAATCGTCTCGGAACATCATGCCCTGTCTACACAAAAGTATATTTTACAAGATGCACTTTCCACATCAAGTCTCGTACCTGATATGCATAGCGAGTCACTACATCTTTAATAGTTCCTGCCAAGATATTGCCATAATGCGGTAACCCGGTAGCGAAAGGAGGTCCATCGTAAAAACTAAATGTTTGTCGACCTTTACTCATATCCATAGAAGTATGAAAGGCACTTTTCTCTTCCCAGAATTGAAGTATTTTTCTCTCTTCTTCAGGAAAAGAAACTCTTTCAGGAACTTCATCGAGAGCATCTCGCTTTGACATGTTCATTAAAAACCTTAAAACTTTGCCTGTCTGACTTGTCAAGAACTGACCAGTTTTCCAATATCGCCCGATAATCAAAGTCTCCGTCGTCCTCAAAAACAAAACTTCACAATTGCAAAAAATGAATGAGTAATTAATTGATATTCCAAATATGGTTTACTTCTTCACTACACATGATACTCAATATATTATTTATATGGGAAGGGATAAATTTGAGAACGAGCACTTACTTCAATATGGCTGGGAGGAAGATGTTTGGTTCCACGTGGATAAGGCAAGTGGTCAGTAGGTATGAAAGTAGCAAAGGCATGACTTATTTGTGAGCTTTAGCATTCTTCTGCACACGTATATTTGAGACTACCTTCAGGCAAAACTATAGATGAAATTCCTTCAAATATATTAGAAGATTGTGCGCAATTGGTAAAGTACAATTCCATAGAAGGAAACAAGCTTCATAGCGTTGTCGTTGTATATACGTCCTGGAGCAACCTAAAGAAAACAGGAGATATGGATGTTGGACAAGTGGGTTTTAAAGATAGAAAGAGCGTAAAAACTATTACTGTTGAAAGGAGAAAAAATGACATAATCAACCGGCTTGAAAAGTCGAAAAGAGAGGCATTTCCAAACTTGGCGCAAGAAAAGGAAGATCACGAAAGAGAGCACATATTGAAACGAAAACAAGTGCGCTTGCTGCAAAAAATTTCGTTGTGGTTATTAATACTCAAATGTAGGCTTTTAAAGAACAACTAAAGGCAGAAAAACTGCAAAGACAAGAACAGGAGTTGAGAAGGCAGGAACTCAGCTATTCACGGATCATGGTTGAAGACAACATGACTAGCAATAAGGATTTGGAAAGCTCCACTTTTGAAGAATATGAAGAAAGCTTCCTATAAGCTTGAGTTCTACTGTTATATCTCTTCGAATGTTGCAAAAATTTCAATTTCATGGGCTTCATGCCTTTGAAAAATTTCTTTGGCCAGACTGAAGGTCTTCATCGTTGAAATAGTCGTTGCTATGTATAGATTTGCGGTCCTGGTGATGACTTAGAATAATACGTATATTTAGATGATACTTCTTGTATGCTATGCCATATTATTGGCATAATTTGTTTAAATTGTGGTAAAGATTCTCTGTGTAGCAAGTTCATTTGTTTCGTTGTTGGCTCAAATTGTTTTGAGAGAGACTTGGAGGATGGCGCCTTCCACACTGCATTTTTCTTTGTCCCATTCGAGCTGGAATTGCAAAGTTGGTTTGTACTTTGGCTACTTTTGGGGGGTGCTGCTTGCAGTTGCTTGCAGTGAACACTCTGTGACTGCAGAAGGAAGGTTCTTGTTTAATGGAAGAGCCAAAAGATAGAGGGGAATGGGTACATATGGTGGAGAAAAGCGAAGAGAACGTAGAACCTACTTCGAGTTCCGAATTAAGGTTAACTGAGCCAGAAGAGGAGTCAGTGACACCCTTAAATACAGAAGGTCAAGAAATGGCTACAAACCAGGAAGACTCCTCTAACTTCGAGGAAGATCCGCACGAACACTGGCATAACAATTTGGAGATGGAAGAGGTCGAAGGCAGGGAGAACAATGCCGGACTACCAAGTGAAGAGTCGACAGAAGCACGGGCTGCTTTAGAAAACGACACAGATGGCTCTGAAGAGAATGTTTCAACTTCTGAACTGGCAGATGAGGGAATCACTGTCACGCAACAACAGGATCCAAGCTTGTCCTCAAACGCAGAGGCAGAGACACATCAGACCAACGAACACGGTTCGTATGGTGAAAATTCAAAGATTCAGCCTCTCGCAAAGTTAATAGAGCAATCGTTGTTAAAGATTACGAAGCTAGCTTCTAGTAGAAAATACAGGAAATTAAGGAACGTTTGCAAGGAGGCTGTTGAAATCGTCAAAGCGGATGCCAGTGATATTGGTAACGAAAAGGTTTTTGAAGCTTTACTGTTAGGCTGTGATTCAGGAAAGACTCAAGTTGTAGTTGTTTCGTTGGATACTTTACAAAAACTAATTGCGTATGGCTGGATTCAAGCTAAAGCCTTTCGTGACAAGAAGGAAACGCGAGTTGTAGATGATGTCGTAAAGTCAGTTTGTGATTGTTTTCAAATGAAAGATGACTCTATCTTTCTTCGAATGACGCAAATCTTGTTAAATATAGTTTCTGGACTGTCGCCTGAAGTTGGCATTCACGAGGGAATATTAGTCTTTAACGTAAGGACTCTTTATAATATTCACTTAAGTGCCCGCTCCTCAAGTGTTCGAACTATTTCACGAGCTGCGCTGACACAAGTCTTGGACACAGTTTTTTCACGTATGGAGAAAACAGTAGCGGAGGGGAATAGACCTGCTTCGTCTTCGGAAAACGGAAACGATGATGTTGTAGAAAGTCGACTTTCATTTAAAGTTCCGGGTGTTGAGTCGGAAGACTTGAAGGAGGATACTTCACTTGACACAGAGCCTTTACAGAAAAGTGATAGAGCATCTTATATTAGAAGCATTGAGGAACCAGAATACGGCAGTGAGAAAGTAGAAACCTCAAGTGTTACTACAAATGAAAATAATGGAGTCTCTTCAAAAATTTGGGAGACTCAAACACAAAAGGAAAGAGTCAAGTCTGTAACGGAAAATGTTGTTACAGAAAGTGTGACCGAGTCATCAAGTGAGACATTTCATTATGAGGTATTAGAAAGAGATGCATATCTTTTATTCCGAGCACTTTGCAAGCTGTCTTCCCGTGAGCAGAGTGAGTTATCGTCATCAACATCATTGAGTACTCGTTCCAAAATTCTCTCATTAGAGTTGATTAAGGAGATTATTGAAACAAGTGGCCCTGCCTTCCGTTCAAGTCCTCGGTTTGTTTATGCCGTCCGTAACTTTCTTATTCCTTCATTGCTTACGAATTGCGTGGCACCAACAATGGCAATTATGGAATTGGCACTATCTATTGTAGAATTGTTGCTTTACAAACTTCGTTCTTGTCTCAAGTGGGAAATATCTGCAATTTTTCACACGGTGATTTTTCGGTATTTGGAGTCAGCCACCTCCACACATGCTCAAACCAAACGAGCATTGCTTTTAGTGAATAAGTTAGTGAATGATCCCCAGTTGCTTGCTGATTTGTTCTTAAACTATGACTGTGATATCAATTCAAATAATGTGTATGAAAGGATTGTGAGTGACCTCAGTAGAATTATACAAAAGAATGCTTCACTAAGTGCAAACTCAGTCTTTGAGGGTGGAGTTGGTTTGAGCCAACCTTCAGAAGGACAACACGCCGCGCAGGAAGTCGAATTGAGACAGCTTGCTCTCACAGGGATATCTTACTTACTTAGCTCATTAAAGGAATGGAGCAAACCGCTAATATCATCGCAAAGAGTCCAACAAAACTCGAATTTGACAGAAGGAAGTTTCCCAAATTCCAGTGTTACTGAAATAGTTCAAGGAATACAAACAGGTCATTCCGACAACGTTCTGAATGAGACTGAAGATGGCTCAAGAGAGGAGCATTTGGACACATCTGTTGTGGAAAAGAGACTGCAAATAAAGCGAGAAGTAGACGAAGCCATAAGATTTTTTAATTTTGATGCTGATCAAGGAATTGATTATCTCTGTAAAGTAGGGTATCTGAGGAGGGATCCAAAGGAAATTGCCAAATTCTTGCTGAAGACTGAAGGCTTAGATGCCACTATGGTTGGGCAATATTTGGGAGATGGCAACGAGTTTCATATGGAAGTTATGCACGAATTTGTCGATTTACATGATTTTGTAGACTTGAAATTTGATGAAGCTATTCGTTTATTTCTCTCTAACTTTCGTTTGCCTGGAGAAGCACAGAAGATAGATCGCATCATGGAAAAGTTTGCCAGTCGCTATTGTGCTTGCAACCCGGAGTTATTTGCCAACGCAGACACAGCTTATGTTTTAGCATACGCTGTTATTATGTTAAATACCGATGCACATCACCCACAAGTGAAGCACAAAATGAGTAAAGAAGAGTTTATTAAAAATAACAGAGGAATAAACGATGGAGAAGATCTGCCGGAAGAATTTCTCGGAGAACTTTATGATAGAATTGTGAATGAAGAGATACGATTGGGAGATTTCGTGAAAGATTCATCTTCGTCAAAGTACACTTCTTCTAACAAACTACATGACTCATTTCGTGAGTCAGAAAGGCTTATGAAGTACACTAAGCAACTTTTTTCATCTCGTGACAAGATAAAAAATGAGAATCCGAACAATGGTATTGATTATACATATTACTCTGCTACGAATCCTTTCCATGGGAAGCTTATGTTTGAAGTATCGTGGTGTGCCATCCTCGCTGCAATTTCAGTATTGTTAGAGCGTGCAGGTTCGCATGATACAGATGTTGTGGGTTTATGTACGCAATGTTTTCGAGATGCTCTAGTGATTGCCTCCATATATGGTATGGATACTGAGAGAAATGCTTTGGCTTCGTCCTTGGCCAAATTTACTCATTTGAGTGGTATTTCTGATATGAAAATCAAGAATATTGAATGTATTCGAGCTATATTACAAGTTGCGATCTCAGATGGAGACTTTCTTGGTGATACTTGGATGCACATTCTGAAAGCAATAAGTCAACTAGAGGAAATTCGAGCTATAGCTGCAGGAGATCCAGAAAGATATCATGTGTCGGATGCAAAATCCAATCGAATAGAAGAACAGATATCAGCAGCCATTCAGATGCTTGAAAAGGGCGGAAGTGCTGTTGGAATTTCGAGTGAATCTATATTGTTTCAAGTGCCTGACAAGGAAACTAAGGAAAAGGAAAGCAGTGATCATTCAAGGAAGTCACTAAGACAAAGTGGGCGTTCTAACGTTCATCACAATGATAGTAATGGTAATGTTTCGAAGAGTGTGGATCCGAACTTGTCGTTGGTTGCATCAACTATCAAAGATGATGAAATACAAAGAGTCTTTAGCAACTCTGTAGAATTATCTTCAACAGGTATCGCTGATTTTTGCAAAGCTTTAAGTTACATTGCCTGGGAAGAAATTGCTGAAGCCAAAACACCAAGTTTTTATATGTTACTCAAGGCTGTTGAAGTCGCACACTATAATATGCAAGCCAGAATTCGAGTAGAATGGAAACAAGTTTGGGACCATTTAGAGCCACTCTTCTCCAAATCAGGCTGTCATCCAAAACAAGCTATAGCAATGTTTGCGATAGATGCATTGCGCCAGCTTTCTCTTGAATTTTTAGAAAGGGAGGAACTCTCACAATATGCTTTTCAAAGGAGCTTCCTCAAACCCTTTCAACTCATTTTTGCAAAAACAGTATCAGCTAATTTAAAGGAATTAATTTTGAGTTGTTTGGCACAGATAGTCTGTCAGAGGTACAACAGATTACGCTCTGGTTGGAAGTCTATATTTCAGATATTGTCTCAAGCTGCAGAGGATAAGACTACCAAATGGAATGTGCATTCTACTTCAGATTTTCATTCTGAAGCTACTGAAACAACCTATTCTGTTATGTCACAAAGTTATCAGTTATTGGATCAGATTCTCCGGGACCATTTGAAGGATTCCACCGATGAAATGTTTATAGAAGCTGTCCATTGTTTAGCTGCATATGCGAAGTCTCCACTGTCGGTGTCTATTTCTCTTTCAGCCATCAATCATTTATCTATCAGAGTCTCGTCTCTATTGGAAGATAGATTTGATGAAAATATGGTTTTCGAAGATGATTGCGATCTACATGTAAAGTTATGGTTCCCTTTATTAATGGCGTTGTCATCTTGCACAGGTGATGCACGGGAATCCGTTCGTTCAAGTGCAACTGATGCACTATTTGAAGTGCTAAGACAGTTTGGTAATAAGTTTTCCCCGGGATTCTGGAAACTTGTTGTTCGTGGTATTTTAGTGCCTATTTTTGATGATATTCGACATCTTCCTGGGGGAAATGATGAGCAAGAACGAAGTCATATAGAAGTGGATCATAATAAGCAGTGGGCTGTTTCCACTGGAACCATGGCTCTGAACAATCTAATAGATCTTTTTGTCAGATATATGCAATCAACCAAACACCTTTTATGGGAACTGTTGAAGTTATTAGAGAGTTGGATAAATCAAGAATCTGAAAATTTGGCCAGAGAAGGAGTTAGTGCGTTGTCTCGTCTCTCTCGCAAGGGAGGAGAGAGTTTCAGCGAGGAAGAATGGATCACGCTTACTTCTTTTCTGGAAACCTTGGTTCAATCCACGTTGCCACACGAACTGTTTGATAATTTGGAGTTGCTTAATGAAATGGAGCAGTTACATTCTAACGGTATAGATTCTGAAAGAGTAAAAGCCAATACATCCGTTCCAAGTAACCTTATTACTGAAACAGAAAGGACATCATCCAATGTAGACGTATCTGGAGGCTCCCGCTTGGATGAAATGACTGAGTCACCAGGAAGTTTCCAAACTGTGCCAACGCAAAAGTCAGCAAAAGACAAGGAAGATAACGAAAATGAGGTTGTAGTTTTCGTTGAAGATGATGAATGGCCTGGTCCTATGTGCTTCTACGAATATCATCCAGAAGAGACTAGTCAAAGAGACCGAGCCCAAGAAGAGCTAATATCCCAAGCAACCAAGTTTTCTACGGAAAAGGGGAGTTCTTCCAAGTCAGGAAACCAACATTCTTCTTCTAATACTACCAATGCGTTCCATCACACAGCCAACTTTAAGGTGGTACGATGTAAAAGTGTAGTGCAGTTGTTACTGAGTCAGTTGATTCTTGAGACTGTAGAAGAACATTTCCATCGTATCCCAGACGTTGCCATTGAGAAGATGATATCTAGTATGGAAACAAGTATATCCTTTGCACGTAGTTTCAATAGTAATTATCAACTACGTTTTGCTCTTTGGAAGTCAGGATTTATGAATCAGATACCCAATTTACTAAAGCAGGAGATGAACGGGACTATGAATTTACTACAAGTATTAGGATGGATCTTGAGTAACGATAACAGTGGAAACAAGCGATCCTCAGAGTTTATTGAAAAATTGGAATTACATAGAATACATCTTTGCCAACAAATTTTGAAAGAATATAGTACCCTCCTGGAAAGGAGCTTAGAGTCTTCTCCCAAGAAAACCGAAGAACAAAGAGAATTACAAGCTGCGAGTTCCGTTGTAGTGAGTGTTCTTCATCAGTTGATAGCAATGTCCGATTTTCAGTTCCAGAAAACTTTGCAAGAAAGTTACGATTGCTTAATGAACTTGGTACGTAGTGAGTCACCACAAGTTCGAGATGCTGTTGCCAAGCTGTTGCAAGAAAAAGTCCGTTTGATGTTTCATTCTTAAAAAGTACAATCCAAAAATGGGGTTTTCATTTTTTTCCAACCACTGTGTGTTTTGTAAAGTCACTTGTCTCAAGGAACACAAGTCTCCAGTGAAATGAATAAATATGACATTAGTATCGTGGCAGAAACCAAAACTTTTCTATCAGCGGACGTCGTAGAGTGCCGTTACAGAGATTCCGAAATACTTGTTGCTTGTGGACTTTATCAATTTTTGCAGGAAGAACAAACACGTGTCGGATCTCTCCAACTTTATAGCTTGAAACAACGTGGTTACTTTACTCTTGAGCACTCATGGGATTTACCAGCTGTGTTGGATTGTCAGTGGTTAGACTCTGACCACATTGCAGTTGCTTGTGCAAACGGAACGGTTGTACTGGTGAAGTACACTGCTCAGGAGAGCGATAATAATCCCATTTCCTCGTTTTTAGTCGACAGTCATTCGCTCATACTTTCCTTGGACTATAGTCCAAAGAACAATATGATCATTTGTAGCGATTCTCTGGGTAACTTGTCTCTGATTGATGCTTTCACTGGAGTTAAACAGAATACCTACAAAGCCCATTCTGCAGAGGGCTGGTGCGCAGCCTTCTATGACGAAGTTCTTTGTTGCAGTGGTGGAGATGACGGTCTGCTCACTTTGTGGGATATTCGATGTAGAACAGGTTCCTCCCATCAACTGAATATGGAACCCTTAAAAACAGTAACATCATCACACAGTGGTATTGGCATCACCAGTATTCTTCCTGTTTTTAACAGTAACGTTCTATTGACCGGTGGATACGATGACCATTTAGTTGGACACGATATTCGCATGTTGTGCAAGTCCTTATTTGCTTACAATGTGGGAGGTGGTGTGTGGAGACTTGGACAAGATGGAAATCGACCGAGCAATTTTTTAGCTGCTACAATGTATGATGGCTTCAAATTTTTTCGACTCGATTATAATAGCGACTTCACCATCGACTTGCATCGTTTTGGTGAAAGTGCCTCTACAATAGCTTATGGCGTTTGTTGGTTGCCCTTGGAAAAAGACAGTGAAGCTATAACTTGCACATTTTATGATGGCCTTTTACAACATTGGAAAATTCAAGATAGAGTCAGCGCACAGTCGTAAAGAGACATCCACCTGAAAGGGTAATTTATTTAATGATACTGAGGAAAAATTCGTTTCATCCAGTCGATGACTTGAGCTGGCTGTTTGCCATTTCCTTCCAGTTCTTTATCTACAACCAAAAAATCTTCGAGATCTGCATAGTCGTCACCATCGGATTCTTCTTCCACCAAACAAGCATCGATAAAGCGATTCCGACTTCTAAACTTCCGTCGATTAACTTTTCTTGATAGCTTGCTTTCATTTTGTTGGAATGATTGGTCAAAAGTCAAAGACTCGGTGTCAGCTTCTGTTGTCTGATGAAATCCTTGAAAATCTTGAACCACTTTTTGAAATAGTGGACGCATCTCCATATCCAGAAGGTGTAGAATTTTACTACACTCTACATGTAATTTGGCAAAGTGATATTGAATTCGAGGTAATGTCGTCGAACGTGTTGTTTTAATGTGAAACTTGCTCCTTCCTTTCCAAATCCATCCGATGATAGTTTGCAAACGAGTCGCCACGTTCTCTACAAATGTTGCCAAGCTCTTGATGTAAACTTCATCCTTTTTCCAACCGGATATCGTCTTGCGATTTCTATTGATCCACTGAAAAGCAGTCTTTGAAATTCTGGAAATAAGTTGAAGCAAACGATTGACAAAACTTGGAGGATAGTGAAGAGTATGAGGCAATTGTTCACCTCTCATTTCATAATTTTCTTCACCAACTAAGATAGTATGGACGACCATCAAGATATTTACCAATTCGTCCAAGGATTCTTGATTAGGAAGTTTCTTTGTAGGTACCGAGTTATAACGAGTTTCCAAATGCTGTAAGACTACAATCAAAACTACTGTTCGACATGATTCACTTTCCGGTAGAGGAATCTTACTCGATTGAAGTAATTCACTTAGACCAGGAGACATTTGGTCGTAATCCGAACTCGCTACAGAATTCGTCATAATTTTCTGATATTTCGTAGTGTCTTCGTCAATACGTCTTTTTGCAAAGTTGTCGGATGACTTAGGCAAAGCTGCGACTCGACATGTATACGCCAAATGATGAAGTAAGGAGAAGATAAATTTCGAGTTGTTGCAGCATTTTATAAGTATGCGAATCAACAGTCGAAGGACCGATGTTTGTTGCATGGAATATTGACCGAGGAGGCGTACCACTTTTCGAGCAACTGAAAAATAGTTTGTTTGCTCGGTGCTAGTTTGAACTTGGCTTAGTCCGTGGAGTATAAGTTGAAGATGCAATTGTGCATGAGTGATTGGAATGCCTGTCTTTCTTGCAAATTCTGTTTCGTAAAAATTCCAAAGAGATATAAGCACTTTGTGCTCATGTGCAACTGTTTTCAACTCATCGTCCATAAAAGATTCTTCAAGCTGATCCAAAGTTTCTGGATAAACGTCTCGATGGAATACAAAATGTCCTTTGCAACATAATGTGTCTAGAATTGTCAAAATGTAAAATAGACACATTTGACGTGGAGAAATTGAAGAATATTTCTGAAGAAAGTTTTCCCACCACTCCATACCTGTCTGCTGAGTCTTCCACTCTATTTCACTCAAGTCATTTCTAGAAAGTTTGCTGTACTCGAGTCGGTTGCTATAACTAACCAACTGCAAAGCTAGGTTTCCCAAGAAACTGGCGTTTTCTTGATTAATTTCTGTTAAGGCATAACCACTTAGCTTTCTCAAAAATATGTACAGTGCATTGACATAGTCCAAACTCGAAGACACGAACTTGAACAGGATTTCAAAGCTATGACATTCTTCAAGAAGGGAAATATCTCGTACGACTTCCTTTTCAACTAAAACATTTGAAGCGGAAACACCAAAAGCAATGGGATCTATTTCTAAGGTTCCAGAAGAACGAGAGAGCATAAAATCTTGTAATTCATACAAGACTGTTAGACATGGTATTACTCTAGCACGGTTAAACTGATCATCGAAAAACTGCAACAGCACATCGCCAACATTATGTAAAGCTTTTACAAGGCATACAGAAGACGCGATATCTTCATCACTGCCCAGAGAACATTTGGAAAATATGCAATTGAGTAATCTAAATAAGTTGCAAAACCATTCCATGCATTTCCCAAGACTAGGATGCTTCGAGTCTATAGTCCAAAGACAACGCAATAAGTGTGCAATCGGTTCCTTGGGATACGAAACACAACTACTACTAGTGAATTCAAAGGACTCTTTCAAAGAGAATTCCCCATTTTTCCAGTCGATGGATAGTTCTTCGAGTCTATGCAAAAGAAATTCCTGCATCATAGGTAAAATTAAGCTATCTTGAGATTTCATTTCAAACATTGCAAGCTGTCTCCATCCTTCATATATCACCAGACGGATGCCGTAACTGCTTCTGGTAGCTAAGCTTTGTAAAATGTTGATTGCATTCGAATGAACCCGTTGTAAGCTTTTCTCAGAAAGGACAGCGATAAAACCGATTGCTCCTAAGCACTGTCCACCAAGATAACGCCCAAACGCCTTTTGTTGCAAAAATTTCATTAAAAAGTTGGTAAAAGAATGAGAAATAGTTGCCAAGCGACAAAGAGATTTCAAAAATCTCTTACAAACTACAATTGGCAATGATTCTAAGAACTGCAGTGCATCCTGAATCTTCGGAACAAAAGATGCAAGATCGATGATGTTGGTACGCAACAAGTGTTCAATTATATCACATAGATGCAGACGATAGGGTATGCTATGACTTGGCTCAGCCATTTCAAAGAAAATGTAATGAACAATTTCTCCACGTGAGCACGCTTGCTTCTGAAACATGCTGACGATGATTGAAGTTGCTTTCTGTTTTGTAGAGGTTTTACGGCATTTCTCGTCTGACATCCAGTGGTAACAAATTTCTAAAACGTAGATTAGTAAGTATTCTGTGTCCTGAAAGTTTATCAACTCTGTAAATAAAGCACAAAAGGTATCTTCTGTTGAACTTTCAGCAGAGGCTTGGATTTTTTCAGGACAATCTGCCAAGCGCTCCAGCGTGCTAGTGATATTATTCTTCATATCCTCATGAATACTGAAAATCAATACTAACAAAGCTAGATCCTGCATGCGAAAAGCAGTTAAAAAGTCATCTGTACCAGCAAAGGTTTCATAATATCGCTGTATAGTCATACCAATGCTGGGAATATTACTAATTTCAATATCTAACAAACATAATATATCTCTGAATACTGACAACGGTGCAGAGTAGATAAAAATTCGAAAAACTTCTATCCAAGGAAAGAGTTTGTCATTCGTCTCTTTCAAACGGTTTCTTATGACTTCAAACAGTCCTTTCATAAAAGGAAGACATTGCGATGCGTCGAGATTATCTATCAATTGAATCGTTTTGCGCCTTTTCGAATATTTGAGTTGACAATATAGTTAACAATTGAAGACTTGCCTCAAAATTTGGGATAGTTCTTGATCCAAATGCAGATCGTTGATAACGGACAACACCAAAGAGCAACTTTCTAAATCAAATATATAGTCGATCATACAGCGTGCTATCCGCGTGGAGAGCATTTTACCTAGTTATTTCTTAGTTTCACGAATAAACGTTGCATGGCAGAATTTTTTACCGCGTGATTTATCAATTTGAACAGCACTTTTACTAATGGACACAAAAACGTCCACAACTCTGCATCTTGTGCTAGAATCGAAAGACTGTAGCAAAGCTTCCATGCGCAACCATATTCCTTGAATCTCCTTATTACATGTTGGCCTCTGAAATGATGCTCCAATAAGGAAATTCACATACCTGGAATTTTTCACTAACTGATAGCTTCGAGTCTCTCAAGACTGAAAGGAAGCCTTGTTCTAGCTCTGTTATTAGTACGTTTCTTTCTTTTGGAGAGCATCCTTCCACCAGAATCCGTCCTAACAAAGCTAGAAGCGTTTGCTCCTAATCATTCAACTTGATTTCCGTAAAAGTTTCCTGCAACTTACTCGTAAGGATTGATTTAGTAGCAAAGCTCTTACTGTTTCCAAGATAGAAACGAGATCTTCTGCCACAGAATCTTCTTGAAAGTGACTCTCTATACCACTACGCACATGATTCAACAACTCATTCCGCGTCTTCTCGGGAAGAGTATCCAAAAAGAGTTCAACGTCGTTGGGGTCTCTGTGTACAAGTTTTCGAAGTTCTTCTTGTATCGTTTGAATGTGGGACATTACACAAAAAAAGGCGCCAAAACTGCATTTTTTATTTTGAAATTGTCTCTTCTTCTCTATGGGCATTCAATCAATCCATCAATATTATTCGCATTTTGCGACAGAAACTTTCCAACTCGTGTCTTGTAGCCTCTTAATAACTTGCTGTAGGTACATTCCTTGTGAGACATAGTTGTATTATCACTGTATATGGGGCATGGCCGTTAGTTTATCATAGGCTGCAAACTAGTTGTATCCACTTCAACATAAAAGTCAAAAGTTGTCATTAGACACATTTATATTTGGATACCACCACAATAGCGCATATAGACTAATGCCAAAGAGTTAAAACTCTCCTTTTGGACCATGCAACATAGGCACTCAACCTTACCTAATGCCTAAATGTGAAAGTAGTCTATTGACATGCTGCAAGTGTATTTTGCCAAACGGAATTTCTACACTAGGTTGTATCCACTGATTTTGCTTTCTTGATACTACGAGAAAACAGTGGTTACGAAACAAAACACCATGAAATTCAAACAAGAACATATGCAGTCAAGGTTATTATTATTATTATTATCATCACATTATCGTGTAGCATTTTACAGAAATATACCAAAAACAACGTGACTTCTAATAATGATGACCAAGTTGCTTCTCGTCACGATAACAATTAAAGTTGATAAAAGGATTACTTGGGTCATTAGAACTCCAATCGCTCAAAGTATCCACGTCGTCATCATCGTCCTAAACACTTTATAAATAATAACAACCCAGATCATAGAAAAAGTACATATACCTCGACGTTCAATGAGGCATATAAAGAAAGATCACGAGGATCAGGTATGGAAGGAATTATGGGCGGGCGTTCATTACGAATAAGCGCAAAATTGATATTGGAAAACCACGGATGCCTCTTAATGTCTGACGCTCCATTCTCGTGGCCTAAGCGACGCTCGGGCTAAAACAAAAGGACTTCAATTTCAGCTTGGAAAAAAACTTGATTCACTTACATCTCTTTTAAGTAGCTTCTTAATTAAGCTCTTGCACTCAGGTGACACAACAACATCTTCAGGGAACTTGACACCATTTGCTATAATATTGCTAAACGTTTCATCAGAAAAGGAACCCTTAAAAGGGGTTGAACCAAATATCATTTCGTATATAAGGATACCTAAAGTCCACCAGTCCACGCTGGACGAGTGACCGACTCCTCTAACGACCTTGTCAAAATGTAAGCATAACCGGCAAAGAAACTCTGTAGACATACCTCTGGTGCTACATATTCCTCAGTTCCCACAAATGAATTTGTAGCATATGAGAGCACGGGTTCTGAATCAACAATGTCTAGTTTTTGAGAAGGATCCACGTTTTTCCCTTGGAAGTTGTTGCGTATCTTCTCAAGAAGAGACATTTGATGACTGACAACACGAGGAGAAACAGCTTGAGCTTGTTTCGAAAGGTCGAAATCGGTGAGAGCGAGGTGTCCATCACCTCTCATAAGAATGTTCTCCGGTTTTAAGTCTCGATATATAAACCCCATGTGATGCAGATATTCCAGTGCTAATAAGACTAAAGGCGAAGCTTAGTACTAAGCAACCACTTCACAGACACTTGCCTTCAGCAGCATAGAATTTAGCCGCTTCCTCTTTTAACCTCTTCTTAGGTTGCCTCTGGAGCACAGCGAAAAATTCTCCTCCAGCACAGTATTCTGTTATGAAGTACAACCGCTTTTCAGTTTGGAAGGAGGCATACATAGTGACGATGAAAGGGTGGTTCACAGTTGCCAAAATTTCTCGTTCTGTCAAAACTCTTTTTACCTAACACCCATATCAGCAAAGTTTTTGGTGTCCGAGCAAGCATTACTTTGTTCTTCACAATCATTTCCTCCTTGGTTAACACTTTCATGGCATAAAGTTTGTCTGTTCCCTTCAACGCAACCAAATACGTTTTACCTACTGCTCCTTTGCCCAAAAGTTTTAGCTTTGTAAAGTGTTGCGGTCCAACCTAGGTAGCTATGAGATGTGAAACAGGGAAGTTTCATCTATACTCACTTGGTCCTGAGGGATGGGAAAGCGTTCTGAGAAAGGCACTGCCGACCTGGCAAGAACCTCTGGCGCTTTATGCTTATAGGGAGGACTTGAGTTTGAAACTTGTCCCATAACCGGTCCACCCTGGTCCTCTTTAACGTCATTTTTGTAGGAATTCATTTCCAAGAAACAAAAACAGAACAAGCTGCTCTATATCAAACGAAGCGAGGCGCCAATCCTCTTTTCTCCCCCCAAAAGACCAACAAAAAATAAAAATGTGTTAGATATGCCTTTACTACAAAAGTTCAGATGCGGGCTTTTCTTCTATTTCAATTATTATTTTTGTTCGATCCTTTTTAACCATTCTACATAAGTTGTTTCTAGTTTTGTGGCATCTTCCTTTGAAAAAGCTCTAAAAAGAAGACTCTTTGGTTTTCCGTCTTCTCCAGGAGCACAGAACCGCACACTTCTCTCACTAGCTCTATCTATTTGAAACTCTGAGTAAATCGGAAAGTTTAACAGTACACGGAGATTCCCTTCTGCTCGCATCACAAATCGACCTCGAGAGTCGTCCTCTTGTTGAACATTGAAACGTAACTGGCCTACTCCTTTCTCCTTCCACTGTTTGTCCTCCAACGCATATAGCTTACCACGTATCCTGAGAAGATTTTCTTCCTCTTCTTCACCAGTCACCGTCTTTTGCTCCGGTAAAATAGGCTCTTTGGTTTCAATTGGAACTTCATATGACTTTTTCTCGCCATCATCATCAACCGTATCCTCCGACTCTTCAACTTGAGAGTCGCTTTTACCAGAAGGCCTCATTTTCTTGGCATCCTTCCAGAAGAATTCCTTACTATCAGTAGATGACTGTAAACCTTTGCTTTGTTTGACAAGTTGATCCATATGAATCTCACCACCAGAAAAGCCTCCGAAACTCTTTGGTACAAAAGGATGACTCTTTCCTTGTGCTTCCTTTGAAACTTTTTCTTCTACAGCAGAATTATTCTCTTCATTTGTATCGTTGAAACGGATTTCAACAACTTTGTCAACACCTTCGTCCCTTTGAACGGTTGTCGTAGGATTGCCGTGAGTCCCATTCGTGCTTTCAAGTTTTTCTTCCTGTTGGACTTCACTTTTATCCCTGCCAGAACTCTGGCCTTTTGAATCTTCTTGAATGCTTTCGTCTCCTCCTTTCTGAGACAAAGTTGAGGTGGTTGGCACAAGGGAAACAGAAGCAAAAGGATTGGAAGCAAGTGGTCTCGAATCCTGGGATGAGCTGTGAAACTCATCTACACTTGTCATAGATACTGCACTGTTTTCACTGGAAAAGGCTGGTCGCAATCTTCTTGCTTTGATAACCCTTCTCCTCGCTATTTCTTCCTCCGAAGCTCTCGTAAAGCTGCTCTCCTAAAGAACGAGCAAAACTTAAAATAAGACAGGGAACACTGAAACACACTCGTACTGTGCGTGATGATATGTTGCTTTCTTGTTTCTCTTCCTCTTCTTCATTTTCTTGGTCATCTTTGGTTAGCTGTTTCTCAGCAGCTCTCTTCACCATTTATTTTCAAAGTATTGCCAAAATTTGAATGGACTGTCATCATTTATTTCTCATTCATCATCATTTGGTATTCACAAAGCTAAGCTTCTGAATATTTTAAGAGCAAAATCAAAGCAAGAGATTCCAACTCTATAATACAAGTTATTATTTCTGTGCACGAAACAATCTTATAGTTGTTTATAAGATACATGCGAAAGAAATGTCTGCAAAGAAATTCAGAAAATTCTCATACAATAAAGTCACATTGTCTCAGAAAACCACCTTAGCAACGTTTTCTGATTTATGTTTTGGGTTTTGGACATTTTAGTTTGGCGTCTTTGTTTTTCATCTCTGACCATAGAATCATCGGATATTTTACGTTTGTGACAAGTGTTCGTTTCGTGATGATTCCCATGGTCTACAATACCAATGGCTCTTATATTGTCTTCTCTATATTTCGGTTTTGCTCTTCCTTCTTCAGCTAGCAATTGAAAAGCTGTACAAAAGGTAGAAGCCAATCGATTATCGGAAACAGGATCCCCAAGAGATGCTTCAGTCTCTTTCGGAAGGTTATTCATTACTGATGAATTAGGAGACATCGTACAGAATTTTGAGAAACAAATATCGCAAGAGTCACAAATGCCTGAAAAAGTTTCTCCGAAATATTTGACAAGTTGTTTTCTCCGACAGATGGGTTGATTACAAAACTCATATAGTGCTTCTATACCTCTACTACATTTATCCAAGTAGGTGGATGGCATATACTCTTTACCTCTCGACATTTCTTGCAAACTGAAAAAGTCGGATGAGGAGTAATACAAACGACTGCAACTTGGAAACCCATCTCTTCCAGCTCTTCCACTTTCTTGATAAAAGTTTTCCAAACTCTTTGGGAGATTGAAATGGATAACGAATCGAACATCTGGTTTATCAATGCCCATTCCAAAAGCAACCGTACAGCAGATGACAGAGAGGTCGTTAGAAAGCCAATCCTTTAAAGTCTTTTGCTTTTCACAAGCCTTTTTTCCAGCATGATAAACACCTGCCTTTATACCTGATGCAATGAGTTTTTGACACAAGTATTCTGTCACTTCTCTTTGCCTTGCATATATTATTCCACTAGAATTTCCAAAAGAGGATACAAAGCATTTCAAATCATCCATGACATTCATTGACAATTGGCTCTAAGGTTTAGTGACATAAGCAGATATCATAAAATACAATTGAGCATTTCTGAAAACGAATTCGCCAGTCGTTTAAATACCTCATGAATTACTTGGTAGAAAATATTAGGTCTATTGAAACTTTGTCGAAATTGAATACATTGCTTCATTCCAAGACAAGTAATGATATCATCCACTACCATTTTTGTGGCTGTTGCAGTAAGTGCCAAGATAGGTATATCACAACATAACTGCTTCAATATCTCCAGTCTTCGATATTTTGGTCGAAAGTCATGACCCCAGCAACTAATACAATGTGCTTCATCTACTGCAAACAATCCAATCTCTTTGTTTCTATACAAAGACTTTAACAATTTCTGGAATCTGTTTGTCGAAACACACTCAGGCGTCAGGTATATCAAAGAAGGTAATCTCTCCTTGTGACTTTGTTCCAATAGGGAGAAAATCCTTTCCTTGTGTTTCTTTCCTTGGCAACTCAGTATACTATAGGCTCTTATATTTAAGGCTGTTAGTTTATTCACTTGGTCTTCTATCAAAGCCACTAAAGGGCTGATGACAAAAGACACTTTTCCCTCCAATAGCAAAGCTGGAAGTTGGAAACAAAGAGATTTCCCACCTCCTGTAGGAGCCAAAAAGAACACATCCTTACCCTCTAGTACAGAGGTGATAACTTCTTGCTGTAAAGGACGAAAGTTTTCGTATCCAAAGTACTTTTTGAGATTATTTTCAATCCTTGTGAAAGTCATTTTAAATTTAAACGACAATCAAAACATGTTGAAATTCAATCCGATTTGCATATCATATGATAGATAGCTATTGATATAACAAAACAATTTCATTCCATCATAACAACTGCTCTCAATCTTTTATAATGGAAAGGGCAACTCAAAATCAGTTTCAACCAAAATAATTATTCTGTAAGCCAATGCAAACGCTGTTTTCAAGTAACCAACATTTTTTAACCAAAGTTTCTTATTGTTCAAAATACTTTCAACTACGTCATATCCTATCATGTTTCTGTTCTTCCTCTATTAGATACAGAAATTCATTCTTCCTCAGCCTCCTTTTCCTTTACTTGAGTCTCCTTTATATGGATCACTTTCTGGATACTGGTTGCTACACGCTCAACTTGACTCATTCTTAAAGCTCCTAAATTCAAACGCCCATCTGGCTGAAGATAAATACCGTAACCTTTGCGAAGTTGTTCCACTTGTTCAATTTCTAATGCTGTAAATAGAAACATTCCCTTTTGCTGCAGCAGAAATGACCAATCTACAGGAGTATCAAGAGAAACGAGCTTGTCATGAAGAGCTTGACGAGTTTCTTGAATCCTTTCAACTAATTTTCGTGACTCCTCTATCCATTCATTCCTCAACTCTTCATTCAACAAAATCGTTTTTACTATCAAACGTCCATAATTAGGAACATGACAATACATCGAATGGGTCAAAGAACGAAGATGAGACCAAACACTTTCCTTTTCTTGTTGGTTGCTAGTAACAACTGAGAGCGTACCAATAGCATTGCCTTGGAGACTAAAGCTTTTGGATAGACTCTGACATACAATCACTTGATGACCATCTTGGATAAGCTGACGCAATCCTAAGGCATCAGTATCTATATTGCCATGGACAAGACCTTGATGAGCCATATCCACTACACATAGATATTTCCTATCTTTTAGTATTTGAGACAATTCTTGCCACTGTTCAGGCAAAAAATCAGTTCCTAAATGAGTGCATTCAATGACCAACAGGTAAAACGCCGCTTTCATATGCATACCAGTGGGATTCTGACCACTTGCTTGAAGCAGTGCTACGGAGCCTTTTGTTGCCCGAAAGAGATCCGACAAACAACTCTTCAAGTCAACTCCTTGTAAATTCTTTCTATAACTTCTGTAGTCTCTCATCTTCAGACCAGCACTCCTAATAATATCTTTATGATTAGGCCAAGTCATATTGGGCACATAGACACGAGGTTTTTGACCATCCAAACTTATAAAACAACGACTAATAAACTCAAAAGCCGTACGCAAAGCACTAGTGCCTCCAACTGTCTCAACTGCTGCAATCTAAAGCACATTCTTGTCATAAGAAACACAAAATACTCAAGGAACCTACATGTTCTCTTTGATATATTTCAGAACCGTATGCCAACTCCAGTGCACAGTCTAAGAACTCTTGGTCGCCTAAAATAGAAGACTCTGTGGAAAAGATGGCTTGTGGTGAGATTCTCTCTTGAGCTTTTAGTACACTACATCAAACAACAGATGAGTTGATATTATTATTTCAGATATAAAGAGGACAGCATACCTTTCAAACACAAAAGGGTTTCCATTTTCGTCCAATAAAACATCAGTTGCCAGATCCAACTTGTTGCTTTCTTCACTTTTCTGGTAAGACAAACTCGTGTTCAAATAATTTTCCAATGTAGCTGGAGACAAGTTTTTCCATATATCTTGTGTGCCTTCCTTTGGCATCTTCCCGAAAGGTTCTTTGCGTTCCGAGAAAAGGTCTCTGTAGGGTCGTCCATTATATCTAGAGGAATAGAAACTTCTTCTTATACTGCTATATGGACAAATCTTTCTACATGTTTGTAGTAACTTGATCATATTGTTTTACAACTTGAAGAATGTTGGATCAAATGCAATCGACGTCGTTACTTCAATTGTGTTTTTGTTTCTTTCGCGACTTGGAAATATGCCTCAAGTAGAGTTGCAGTTCGGGTAATGTTTATTAAAAGTTTTCAAGTCACAATAGATGACTTTTATTTTTGTAGTGGTGGTCTGGAAAGCTTGACAGGTGGAAACAAGGTTGTCCCAGCTAACTTTTCTGGAGAACAAGTTGTTCTAGGGCGAGTTATCGACTGGATTAGGACGTGCTTGATTAAAGAGAAACATGAATACTTTGTACAAGGTGAACATATGTGAGTAAGATATATTAAGGTTGATATTGGTTTATTGTACTGAATATGACAAGTCGTCCGGGTATTCTTGTGCTTATCAATGACGTTGACTGGGAATTGGAAGGAAAGACCAGTTACGTTATTCAAGAAGGAGATCGTATTACTTTTATTTCCACTTTACACGGAGGTTAAGAGTTGTGAACAATTCGTTGTAGTACAGTTGGTTTCTAACATAGTTGTATTTATTTTATTCCAAAAATGTTGATAATCATAAATCGATTCCTTTTTCCATTGGATTCAAAAACCGTCTTTGAGGGAAACTAAGGCCGATGATGGACAACGACGCTCAACAACTGGCGTCCTATTTGGAAAACGTCTTGGTTCAACTACAAGATTCCAATAATAGTGTGCGTTCAGAAGCAGAGAAGGAGTTTGAACAAGCAAAGCAACACGCTTCCGCATGTTTGAAGGCATTGGTCGGTTTACCACATTCTTCTCAGGTTCGCGTTGTTCTTCCTTCAAATGGGTCCAATCCTCAACTAGTTTTAGAACCCAATTGTAAAGGTTTCTGCACCGGTATTACTTCGAAGAAACGGAATCGAACTTTGGAATGGCTCCGATGAAGCAAGCAGGAAGATGGCAAAGGAAAATATTTTCAACGTCTTAAGACTCGAACTGAATAATAAGAGCCTAAGAAAGAAAGTACGACGTTCATTGTTTGTGTTGAGCTTTTGTTTCTCAAGTTGTGTGTGTTTTTAGCTTTGTGACACTTTAACGTTCCTTTCTTGTAACTGCGGTACAGTAGACGATCAACCGTGGCCCGAATTGTTGCCTTTTCTGTTTCAACTCATGCAATCAAACAACGTAGGAGAAAAAGTTTGTGGTCTTGAACTGTTATGCCAAATGGTGGAATATGTAAGTTCGTCCTGGATAGAGCCTCAATTGCCTTCTTTCCATACCGTATTTCATAGCGCTTTGTCAAGTGGTCAACAGGAATTACAGTCGGTTGCACTACGCGCTACTTGCAGTGTTTTAACTACAGTCGAGAGCAAGTTATGTGCACACTTTCAAGATTTGGCTCCTCTTATGTTACAAACACTGAATAACTTGATCAGTCAAGGACTTTTCGAAGAAACAGAATCTTGTCTAGAAAGTTTGGTCGAAGTTGCGGACAGTGAACCCAAATACTTTAAACGAGTCATTGCACAATATTGTGATTTTCTAACCAAATTGGCTGCAGAGATCAATATGGAAGAAGATATTCGACAGGAAGCACTAGAGTTTCTGGTTGCTATATGTGAAAAGTTACCAAGCATCTCTAAAAAGACTAGAAACTTTGTACCTGAACTGTTCCGAGTCTCTTTGTCTATGATGTTAGAACTGGAGGATGATCCCGAGTGGTATACTGTCGATGACGAGGATGAAGATGATTCAGGATTTAGTCCCAACTTCGATGCAGGTCAGGAGGCTTTAGATCGTATCGCACTTTCACTCGGAGGAAAGACATTATTGCCTATTGCATTTCAAGTACTGCCACATTTTCTAGCCAGTCAACAATCTTGGGTTCATAGACACGCAGCGATTTTAGCTATTAGCCAAATTGGAGAAGGATGTCGAGACCAAATGGTTGAGCAATTAGAAGCTGTTGTAGATATGGTTCTTCAGAGACTGCAAGATCCTCATCCTCGTGTTCGTTGGGCTGCTATTAACTGTATCGGACAAATGTGTACCGACTTCGCTCCCTGGATGCAACAAAGACTTCATCAAAAGATTATTCCAGGTCTCATATCTTTAATGAATGATACTGCCAATCCACGCGTTCAAGCGCATGCAGCTGCTGCTATCATCAACTTTTGTGAAGATGCTTCTCCAGATATTATTTCTCCTTATTTGGATGGATTATTACAAAAGCTTTTGGAACTTTTAGCTTCCAATCGTCGAATCGTTCAAGAACAAGCAGTTTCAGCTATCGCTGCAGTTGCTGACTCTGCTGAACAATTTTTCATCAGATATTATGACTCATTTATGCCTCTTTTGAAGAATATTTTGTATTCGACAGAAGGACATAAACCCCTTCGCCGACTTCGAGGAAAAGTAATCGAATGTATTTCACTTATTGGAGTAGCTGTTGGAAGAGATAAATTTGGTGTAGATGCTGCACAAATAATGGACCTATTGGTAAGAACTCAGTCTGCACAACTAGAACCAGACGATCCTCAAGCGGCATATCTCATGCAAGCTTATGCAAGAATATGTCGGTGTCTTCGAGAAGCGTTTGTTCCATATCTTCCTTATGTCATGCCAGCTCTGTTGATTGCTGCAAAAGTAAAACCAGATATTGAGGTATGTAATTATGAAATGCTCAACCACAAAGAAGTTTTTAGTTTTGCTTTAGGTAGCAGATGCTCTCGAAGATAACGTAGAGGAAGATACTGACGGTGAATTGGATACTTTTCGAGTGGGTGACAAAAGAATAGGAATAAAGACCAGCGTATTGGAAGATAAAGCTACGGCTTGCGGAATGATTGCTTGTTTTGCTTCGGAACTACGAGGCTATTTTTATGACTATGTAGAAGAAGTGACCAAGATAATGGTGCCTTTGTTGAAATTCTTGTTTCATGAAGATGTCCGATCTGCGGCCGCTAGTTGCCTTCCAGACTTGTTACGTTCAGTGAATGATAAATTTCGAGCAGATGAACAGTCACGTAGAGCTGGGATACAGGGTTTGGTTGACTATATGATTCCCAAATTACTTGAAGCTATTGAATTGGAACCTGAGCCGGATGTTTTGGATGTGATGATAGATTCTCTTGGAGAATGTTGTGTTTTGGCAAAGTTTCCAATTCTCTCCGATAAAACAATGACTCAGATTTGTCAGCTTCTGAAGAATGTGTTGCAAGACCGAAAGAGTCGTTTAGAAGAATTGGGAGATTTGGATGATGAAGACGAGGGTTTGGAAGATGAGGAATCTGGTCATGCAGCAGGAGAAGCCCGGGAAAAGGTTAGAATGGCCACTTTATGACAATATTATTTCATTTTCAAGTGTTTCATATAGGAAGATACCTTATTGGACTCTGTTATTGATTGTGTGGCTTGTCTTATCAAGACGCATACAAATGTCGGATTTATCAAAGCATTAGAAACCCCAGTTGGAAATGAAGGCACACCTATTTCTCTGGTGGCAAAATTTGCGGAAATGTTGTCCAATCAAGTTGAGCCAGTCGAGCGAAAAGCAGCTATTTGTGTTTTTGATGATATTATTGAATGGGGTGGTGAAGAAGGTCGCAGATATATACGTCAGGTGTTGCCTGCATTGGATGCTTTTGTTACTGACAAAGATGCCAACGTGAGACAATCAGCTGCCTATGGGTTAGGTTTATGTGCACAATTGGGTGGAACAGACTTTAGTAGTTATTCTTCTTCCGTAGGACAAAAACTACTAAGCTACTTATCCTGGCAAGGAGCGTACACATCGGAAAATGTTTCTTCCACGGAAAACGTGATATCAGCTCTCATGAAGATGGTAGAATATCAAAGGTCTCTTTGTGATGTTTCCAACTTCATAGACCCCATTCTGAATGGTCTTCCACTAAAACAAGATGAGTCAGAAGCACTTATTGCGCACGAACTGTTTTCTATATGGCTAGAAAGAAGGGATGCTATGATATTAGGGCAGCAATATGAAAGGCTTTTACAAGTTGTCCGAATTGCCCTGAATATCGTAGGTTCCAATCTAGTGAGTGATACCTCAAATTGTCGACTGGTAAACTTTCTGAAGAGTCTAAGTAATGACTATTCTGATCTACAAAGGACATTGGCTGAGCTTGAGGAAGGCTTACAACAAAAACTGTATGGGATTTGGAAAGAGAGTTGAATAAATTCAATCCTGTTTTTTTTAACGTAAGAAGAAAATAAGGAAAGGTGAACAGAAATAGCTAGTTTAAAAGGATTTCTTTCCTTTGCGTTTTTTGGGATAAGCAACTGACTTTCCTGGAGGATTATTCACATTTTCCTTAGCAACTGCCCGACTATATTCCGGGTTACTTGCTGCTAGTTCACTACCGAAAGAAACGTTACCTCCTGAATAGGAAGAAGTCAGACGAGACACACCAGAGCTTTGAACTGTAGATAAAAGTGGATCAACCCTTTGTAGAAAGGATGAAAGCAAAAACGGATTGTTTAAAACACTGCCAACAGAATCTCCTCCCATAAGACGTTGAGTAGCAGTACCTGATCCTCCTCCCCGTTTCAAAATCTCGTTCTCCATCCATAGCTGTAGTAGACTTCCTTCCAGTCTCATCTAATGATCGATAGTCCACTGAGCAACGAAGGGAAATAAAATGCCACGTCATACCTTTTCAGCTGTTAGATTTTCCACTCTGCGTTCCAGTTCAGCAATATAATTATTTTTTCGAATGCGTGACCTGAAGAATTAGGAACAAAAAGTATATTGGATTCGTGGAAACACGCATACCTCATAGCTGACTCACGATTTCTTTGAATTCGAAGTTCTCGTTTACGTCTCTCTTCATCATCATTCGTATTATCCTGCAAATGAGAGCTTACTGAGCCTGTAGAAGACTGATCTACTTTCGTATTATCCTCCGATTCAAAGCTTTTCAGTTTCTCAGTGCTTTCTTGTTCATCTAAGAAAAAATCATCTCGAGATTCATCCCCCTTTTTTGTCTCTCCAAATAGAAGATTATCTGGAAACGAATCAAGAGGCTGATGCATTGAATTGGTTTCAAATAATTTGTTGGATATTTCTGGCATGTTAGAACTGGGACTTGGAATCGAAGTGGGTGTTCGCTTTTCGCTACCGCTCGAGCTTGGTATTCCGTGAAACATTTCTAGGAACGGTAGCTCAAAATTGGACAGAAATTCTGCGCATTTGAATGGATCAAACAGTCAACAAGTATTTTGCTATGAAACTTACCACCAGTCTGATCAAATGGAGAGAACAAGCTTCTTGAATGTGAACTCATGGGAGGTAGAAACTATTCTCTTTCAGTTGCTTTTAGATATACACCGTAGTTCGTTCCTTACCCGAAAGTCTTCATTGTCATTGACGCCCGAAGTGGTGATAGTTGCACGAACCCTTTTATTTGACTTGGATGAGGGTATATTTACAGATAAGTTTCCAACGACGTTGCCTTGAGAAGTTTCCTGGTTTTCGTGTAACTTTTCGTTTTCAGACTCGTTATTCATGGACAGTTGCAAGTTTTCTGTGTCTTCTAAGCTTTCATAGAAGGAATCTCAAACCTATTGTAGACTTTTCGCTGTTGCTAGAAGCCAAAGAAAACGTGATGCAATTGTAGAAAATTTTGTCTTGTCTATATTTAGTTCACAAAGATGTTGGTAGTAGTGTTCTCAAGAAATAAACCAAGAGACAACTTGTTTTACTCAGTCTGATGAAAATCTATGGAAAAGGAAAAATGCTTATTGGATGAAGCCAAATGATCGCGCCAAATACAAAGGAAAAATGTTATTTCCAAAAATAGAAAATCCTTTCTCCCTTCATGTCTGTTGGACATCGAGAAATCGGACGAGCACTCGTCCCAAAAAGGAAATGAACAGATCCAAGTCCTTTAGTAGAGCCACCTTGTGCTTGACAACAATTTCTTTTGTGTTGATATAGATTTTCTCTAAATCGAATTTTTTTGATTCCTTGTACCCAGGAACAAGCGATTCTTTTCCTCTTCAAACCTTCTAGACGATATTACAGCGTTGTTCAACTTGAGAATAAACCTGTATAGATTTCCATGTACGTTGGATTGATTTCACCACATGACTCCTTGTTTCGATGGAATGGATTTCAGGATAACTTGCTTGTTTGTAACTCATAAACGCAAATGTCTACAATGGATGGCTGTGCTTTGTCTTCTTCAAAATGACACTCACTTAATGCTTTATAATGATTTGGAGTACTTTTCAAGCTAAGCATAACAAGTCGAGGGATGAAAATTGAAAAGCCAGAGACAGTTTCCTTCGAGCTGCTACTCTTAAATATTTCATGGTGAACAAGCTAAGAAACCGTTGAACAGCGTAAAGTTTTTTCCATCAATCCGTCTTATTTAAAGCAAAATGAGGCATATCATTGGAACAGAATACTACAATCGGGAAAGACATGCATTCCTTTGTCGGCTGTTAAATAATTAGAAAACGTGGATGAGCTTTTATCGGTTTTTAATCCTAAGAATGAGCAGTCTTGAAATTAGGAGTGCTATTATTGGATTTTGTTTTAGATTCTCTCAGACGATGACAAGTAACTAGTGAAGAATAACTGAAATGCAAAGTTGAAAAACGCTAATTGCGGGAAACTTGTAAACCCTACAGTAATAATATGAACAGTTGAAAGGTTTTCAGGCGACTTATTAGCTTGTTCTATAATATATTTTTGTGAAAAAGACTTTTTTCGGAAACTATTAATTTACTTTTCAGAAAAAACGCAAATAGTTACTCCGATTCTCTTATTCACTGTCAATAAATGGACGACACCTCTTAAAGTCACGGAATTTACTTGTAATATAAACAAGAGAAGTGAAGAATAAATAATTTTTTTCAACAAGAAGTAATCCTTTGCATTCACAAGTGAAACTCTGGTTAGTCTTCGTATGGTATTTCAGGGATACTCGGGATGCTTCAACATGACCAACCGCCCAAACTTTTTTAGGAATTTGCTGTGCTCGTTTTGGGGCGTAGCATTTCAAAGTTATGGCAGACGAGTTGTCACGGTTAAAACAATATGACTATGCTGCCAACGCCAACCTTGTTCTGGCCCAGACAGAAAGAAGAAGAAGGGATCCCTCGGAACCTACTGGTGAAGTTGAACCTTTAAAAGTGAGCGAGTTGAAAGGACGCATGGGAGACAGAGTTAGTCACGAAAGGGCGCCAGAACTTGAAGAGAGGCTGCAGCGACTACAAAAAAGTAAAAGTATGCAGAATAGAGGAATATTTGCAGATAAGAAGAGAAGAAAAGAAGCTAGAAACCTCACGGGGGACTACGGTGACGTGATTGCAGCTGCTCGCGACTTGGAGTTGGGAGTTTACAGACCAACGACTTCCGAAACACGAGTTGCTTATGAATATTTACTCGATTTTATAACCAAAAGAATTGGTGACCAGCCACAGGACGTCTTGCATGGAGCTGCAAATGAAGTGCTTGCGATATTAAAGGAGCAAAAGACAACGGTGAGTTTTTTTCCTTAACGCCTTTAGTATCGCTTGAAGGATGAAACAATACAGACCTGTTCCGATATTTACAGTGTGAGGAACCGTTTTCCAATTTTCTGATATATTGCGATACTTGAGGTTGTTGTTTGATATTTTACTGACGTACTTTGTTAAGGAGGAACAAAAGATAGAAGACGTAAAAGAACTTATCGGTGAAATGGATGCAGACAGTTTTGCAGAACTTTCCAATATCTCCCGTTCTATCACGGATTACGGTAAGGAAGAGGACCAGTTTCAAACAGAGGAAGAAACTGCTGCGGGACAAACCATGGACGAAGATCTTGGCGTGGCAGTTGTTTTTGAAGATGAAGAAAATGAAACTGAGAGCAATTTGGTCGAGTTGGTTGTTTTAGATGACGACGATTATGAAAATGAGGGAGAAGGGGACGAAGCAAATATAGACTCTACTCTAGAATCTACAAACGTCCCAAGTGAAATAGATACGAAGGACAACGCCGAGTCGAGATATTATGTTCACGTCCGTGAGATTGACGGTTACTGGTTACAGCGAAGTTTGGTGAAGCACTATTCAGATGTGGATAAGAGTCGCCAAGTGGCAGAACAAGTTTTTCGCATTCTTTCGGATGAAAGTATGAATATTAGAGAGTGTGAAAATCAACTTGTGCTTTTGCTGGGCTTTGATAAATTTGAGTTGGTAAAAAAGTTGCTTATCAATCGTTGGAAAATAGTTTATTGCACAAAGCTAGCTTTATCATCAAGTGAGGACGAGCGCAAGATATTGCAAGGAAAGATGAAGGATGATCCTCAATTGTCTGGAATCTTAGAGGAACTTGTAAGTGAAGACAATGTAATGCAAGAGGATAAGCGCATGTTGGATACGAAAGCTACCATGAAACATGATAGAGAACGTTCTGCATTGAATTCTGATAGTAATATATTACCTGTTGTCGACTTAGAATCTCTTGCACTTCAAGGAGGTTCACATTTTATGTCCATTGCAAAGGTAGAGCTTCCAAAAGGTTCTGTCAGAGTTCAGAAAAAGGATTATGAAGAAGTTTATGTTCCTGCTCCCAAATCAAAGCCTGTCTCGGGAGATGAGAAGTTGGTTCCAATTGAACAACTTCCGGAGTGGGCTCGTGAGGCGTTCAAAGGCATGCGTTCACTCAACCGTATTCAGTCTCAATTGTACAAAGCTGCTTTTGAGAGCGATGAGAATTTATTGTTATGTGCCCCAACGGGTTCTGGCAAAACCAATGTTGCAGTTCTGAGTATTTTAAGGTTAATCAGTCAAGCTTTGGAGGAAGGAGACGAAAGTCTTGAGTCATTCAAAGCAGTTTATGTAGCTCCAATGAAAGCACTTGTTGCAGAAGTGGTTGGCAATTTGGATAGGAGGTTATCTTACTTAGGTTTAACGGTCCATGAATTGACGGGAGATGTGAGTATGACATGGAAGGAAATCATGGAAACATCCGTCATTGTGACAACACCTGAAAAGTGGGATATTGTAACCAGAAAGACAGGAGAAAGAGCTGTAGTAGATTATGTGAAACTTTTGATTATCGACGAAATTCATCTGTTGCATGATGAAAGAGGTAAGAACTTTGAGGTGGAAAGGATGGGATTTTCTAATATGATTTCATTTAGGTCCCGTCTTGGAGTCTATTGTTGCACGAACTATTCGGTCGATGGAAACATCCAACTGGAATTGTCGCCTTGTTGGTCTTTCTGCTACTTTGCCAAATTACCACGATGTTAGTGTGTTTATGAAAGTAGATCCCAATGTTGGCCTATTTTACTTTGACAATTCATATCGGCCTGTTCCTTTGCAGCAAGAATTTGTAGGAGTAACTGTGAAAAGTGCATTGAAAAGATATCAAGCAATGAATGAAATTGCTTATCAAAAGGTGAAACAAGAAATAATGGGAGGCGCGTCACAACATCAACAGATATTGGTTTTCGTTCATTCTCGAAAGGAAACGGCGAAAACTGCCAGTTATTTTAGAGACATGGCTGTTCAAGAGAATATATTTGACTCATTTTTAACTCCAGGTTCTGCTTCTGCGGAAATAATCAAGTCTGAACTGGAAAACGTAAAGAATCAACAGTTGGCAGGACTCTTAACTCATGGATTCGCTATTCATCACGCAGGCTTGACTAGAAGTGATCGAACCTTGGTCGAAGACTTGTTTGCTGATGGACACATTCGTTGCCTAGTGAGTACGGCAACCCTTGCTTGGGGTGTTAATTTACCTGCACATACAGTTATCATTAAAGGAACTCAAGTCTATTCTCCGGAAAAGGCTAAATGGACGGAACTGTCAGCGATGGATGTTATGCAAATGATGGGAAGAGCGGGTAGACCTCAGTACGATACTTCAGGCAAAGGTATTATCATTACATCTGCAAATGAACTACAGTATTATTTGTCTTTGCTGAATACGCAGCTCCCTATCGAAAGTCAGATGATTGCACGTTTGGCTGACTTTATGAATGCTGAAATTGCTTTGGGAACAGTGCATGACTTGGAAGACTGTGCAGACTGGTTGAGTTATACTTATTTGTTTGTAAGAATGTTAAAGAATCCCGTTTTATATGGAATCACTCCAGAGTTGGTGAAACAGGACCCAACCTTGAAACAGAGACGTCTTCAATTAGTACATTCGGCAGCTGTAACTTTAGATAATGCTGGCCTGATAAGATATGAAAAACGTTCCGGAAGTATACAGCCCACAGATTTAGGAAGAGTAGCTGCTCGTTATTATGTAACTTACCATACTGCCACAATCTATTCGGAAAATATATCTTTGAATTTAACTGAAGTAGATATATGTAGACTAATTACTTTGTCGAGTGAATTTTGCTTTATGAGAGTAAGAGAAGAAGAGAAACTTGAGCTCGAAAGATTAGCGGAACGGACTCCTATTCCCATCAAAGAGTCTTTAGATGAGCCAACTGCAAAAGCGAATGTTTTGTTACAAAGTTATATTTCCAAATTGAAATTGGAAGGTCTAGCTTTAGCTGCTGATGCTGTTTTCATTTCACAATCGGCTGGAAGACTTGCAAGAGCACTATTTGAAATTTCCTTACGTCGTAGATATGCTCAAGTATCTCTTCGTTGTTTGAATTTAGCAAAAGCGATTGATCGACGAATTTGGCCACATTCGCATACGCCTCTTCGACAGTTCTCTTCGCATCTTCCTGAAGAAGTATTGAAGCGAATTGAAAGAAAAACGGATTTGGAAATCGAACAGTACTTGGATTTATCTCCTGCCGAGTTGGGAGAGCTGTTCCGAAGTCCTAAGGATGGTAAGACGATTCATCGTCTTTTGCATTTATTGCCCAGAATGGAACTGGCGGTTCATGTTCAACCCATAACTCGCTCAACGATTCGCATGGAATTGACGTTGACTCCGGATTTTCTTTTTGATTCCAAGGTTCATGGTGCAGGAGAACCTTTTTGGATATGGGTCGAGGATCCTGATGGAGAGAACTTATTGCATGTAGAGCCTTTTTATCTTCGTGCAAGTTTAAGCCAAGAGGAACATACTGTAGCCTTTATTGTCCCAGTTTTGGATCCTTTACCTCCCCAATACTTCATACGATGTATTAGTGATCGATGGATATCTCCTGAAGTCACATTGCCAGTTTCCTTTAAGCATCTTATTCTTCCATCCAAATTTTCTCCTTTTACAGATCTTTTGGATATGCAACCTTTGTCTGTATATAGTGCATTTCGTTCTCCTCTCGAAAAAGAAACTGAAGCCATGTGGTATGTTTTGAGTGGATTGGAAGCTCATTTTTCAAAGTCATTTGAACATTTCAATCCAATACAAACCCAAACATTTGCGGCTATATTTAAGACAAATGAAAATATTTTCGTTGCTTCTCCTCCTGGTTCGGGCAGATTGGTCCTAATAGAACTTGCACTGGGCAGACTTTTTGCTTTAGATCCTGCTGCGACGGCAGTTTATGTCGTAGCCAAAGAAGATTTGGCACAACGTCGTTTGGAAGAGTTGAATTTGGGATTAGCCCAAGTATTAGGGTTTTCAGTACATTATATGACGGGGGAGTCCACCATTGATCTTGGCTATTTGGCGGTTCCAGGTTCAGTGTTGATTGCCACGCCGGAGCGTTGGGATGCCCTTTCTCGTAGGTGGAAACATCGCAAAGCAGTTCGTCAAGTTTCTCTATTCATTATTGACGACTTACATTTGGTAAGTTGTGGAATTGGGGGTGGTATTGGTAATAGAAATGCAGTAAATGGTGTGGCAATGGAAATTTCTTGTTCAAGAATGCGTCTCATGTCTCATCAAGTCTCAGCGGCGGGAGGAAAACCTTGTCGAATGATTGGTCTTTCAGATCCCATTGCGAATGCCAGAGATTTGGGTGATTGGCTATTTGTACCTTCCCAGTATATTTTCACTTTTCATCATAGTGCTCGACCTATACCTCTAGTTACTCATATTCAATCAAATGAGTTTGGAGGAACAGGATTTGGATTTGGATTGGATGCATTTAGCGGTTCAGTCTCAGCTGCAGCAGCAGCAATGGTTCGTCCTATTTCATCATTACTAAGGAAGTATTGGAACAACACTGCGTCTTCTGTCATTATTTTTGTCCCTTCTCGTAGACTAACGAGGGCACTTGCGACAGAATTGATATATAATCTATCTACACAGCAACTTGACTTCCTTAGTTTATCTCAACAAGATATAGAACCCTTAAAGCAGGAGGTGAAAAGTTCATCTCTTAAAGAATGTATGTCTATGGGAATATTGTTCTGTCATGAGTCGATGGATAACTATGACCAAAAACTCGTCGAAAAATTATTCGGAACAGGTGCTTGTCGACTGCTAATCACTACTGAAGCTTTTACATGGACGTCTTCAGTATGTGCACAAACAGTGATTATCGCTGGAACTTCATTTGGTGGAGCTGGAGGCTCTAGTAGCGTTGGTGGTTATAGTGATGCATTGAGACGTTCAGATTATGCAGTTGCCGATATTATGCGTATGATGGGACGTGCAGGTAGACCACTAGAAGATGTCAGTGGTACATGTGTTATATTGACGGATCCTTCGAGCAAAGAATATTATCAAAAATTCTTAAAAGATCCTCTGCCTGTGGAGTCTCATTTAGATATGATTCTGGCGGACTTGTTAAATGCAGAAGTTGCATCGCATATTGTAGAAACGAAGCAAGATGCTGTAGACTTGATTACATGGACTTTGTATTATCGACGATTGGCACAAAATCCCAATTACTATGGAATAACTGGGGCAACTCCGAAACATATCAGTGACCATTTATCAGAATGTATTGATAATGCTTTAAATGAATTGGAGAATTGCAAATGTGTTGCTTTAGAAGGTTTTGAAGAGAAGCAAGATGAAGAGATGACTGACGAGATGCCAAGTAGAAAGGAAGATGCAGATACTGCAATAGGTCCACTTAATTTGGGTATGATAGCGGCATTTTATTATATACGTTATACTACTGTAGAATTATTTGCATCGAGTATAAGTGAAAAGATTCGTTTAAGAGGTCTTCTTGAAGTATTATCTTCAGCATCTGAATATTATACGGTACCCATAAGAGTAGGTGAAGATGAAGTTTTGAGAAAGATAGCTAGTCATGCACCATATGCTCCTATTGGAAGTAGTGGAGGAGTTGTAAGATATGCAGATCCCCATGTGAAAACTCATATTCTTTTCCAGTCTCATTTTTCTAGAATTCCATTAAAAGGAGAATTAGCAGAAGATAGGGAAGTAGTTATAGCTGGTGCACCTCGATTGATTCAAGCCTTGGTGGATGTTATTAGTTCTGCTGGTTATTTGAAGGCAGCATTGGCAGCAATGGAAACGTGTCAAATGATTATTCAAGGAATGTGGGAAAGAGATTCTTTGCTTCTGCAGTTGCCACATATGGATAAGGAGCGTTGTGATCAGTTGAAGGAGATGGGAGTTGAAAGCGTTTTTGATTTTATGGAAATGGAAGATGAACAACGTAGACAGTCATTGCAAGGTTTGAGTAGGCAACAGATTGCGGATATTGTTGACGCTTGTGCAGCTTATCCCAACGTTGATTTGAGTTTTCAGCTTATTTGTGAAGAAAGCTCTTCATCAGAGGTGGTTTATCCTGGTTCCACTATTCGTTTAGTTGCCCAATTAACACGAGAAGAAGAAGAAGAGACAACGGAAGAGGTTGCCGATCATCCCATTGCTTATAGTACTCGTTTTCCAGAAAAGAAAGAAGAAAGTTGGTGGTTATTAGTAGGCGAGTTGGGAAGTAGTCAAACTCTGGTTGCTATTAAGCGTTTGGTCATTAAAGGAGGTGGAAAGAGTAACCAAGTCAAGTTAGAATGGATGGCACCTAACGAAATAGGTAGTCATGAATATATTTTATATTTAATTTGCGACTCCTATTTAGGAGTTGATCAAGAAGAATCTATTTCCATTCAAGTAGTTGACTCTTCATGAGATAACGTTGTACTATTCAAAGCTTCCAAAAATTGTTTGTGAAAGTCCTGAGGATTTTCCAAAAATAGATAATGACCAGCAAAAGGTACTCTTCGAATATCCGTAATAAAGGAATTGTATTGTTGTTTCAATGCCAGTGCAGCACGATAGTCCATCCAATCCTGTTCACCATAAATGAATATCGTTGGTACTCGAACTTTATCCCAACGATCACATAAAGGTTGTTTTGCCCAAGCACCAGGAAGCAAAATAGCATTCAAAGCATATTCTCCACTAGGCGTTCCTCTCACACACATTTCATAAACATATTCTGCAACTTGTACACGAGCTGCTTCAGGTAAGCAATGTTGAAAACGACGATGGGCATATTTCATAGTCAACCAACGACCAAAATAGGGACCTGTGACTCTCAAAACAGAGTGAGGAGTAATATCATGTTTCCAAAACCAAGTAAACAGTGCTATCCAATGTCGATATTTCCTTCTATATTGCTGTACTCTTTCATCATCTTTCATAGGCTGAGCACTGGACGCTTGTGAAGGCGATGATAATGAAGTTTGTTGTTCTGGTGCGTGAGGTATTCCTACTGGACTCAGTAATACTAAACGTTCTACATTTTCAGGATATTTGCTGGCATAAACAGCAGATAAATATCCACCTAAACTATGTCCCACCAGGATAAAAGGCTTTGATAAACTATCTCCCATTTGTTGTCTCCACAGTTCCAAACTATCCACAAAATAAGACTCGGCTTGTTCAACTGTTCCTTTCAAAGGAAACTTTGGCTTGGAAGAAGCACCACATCCCAGCCAGTCAACACAATATACTCTAAAGTGTTGAGATAGAGTATCCAAATTTCTAGCAAACACACCAATACCTGAACAATAGCCTACAGAAATTCAAACAAGTCAATGGCAAAGAAGATACTCCTAACCTGGGGTGAGTACTAAGCAAGGTTTATCATGGTCTCCTAATATCACCGTATTCATCAATTCTCCGTTAGGTAGCTCAACAAAACGACGTTCCCACCGTTGTTGTACGAACATTTCAAACAGTTTTGTTTCAGACTCTGCAATTTGTTGACAATAAATGGGAGGTTGAACTAGTGACGTTTTTCGTGGCTTCCATGAGGCAAACCAGTTTTGTAACTTGACTAACCAACTTGTGGAGTAAGTATCGTTGTTAGTTGTAGGAGAAGTGGAAGTGATACAGTTGGTAGACTCTCGTTGCATCTTCACCACCAACCACCAACATTTCCATTCATGGATTTGAAGTACCACTAAAATTACAATCGTTTTATAAGGAAAACATTGGTTTCTACAACTGTTTGTACATCGATATATATATATATATATGACTTTTGTCTACAAGTTCAATCATTCCTGTGTTTCACTCGACTGACTTTTAGACATAAAATGTAGACTGGGAGATATCGGAGGTACATCCAAGTAAAATGTGGTAGACTCGGACCTTTCTGGATCTTCTATATCCACCAGACGGGATGACGAATTCCCAGTTGCAACGCTATCCTCACTACAACGTGTCTGATTGAGCTGATTGAAATGAGTTGGACAAGATGTGGACAAAGATGGCTTGTAAAGATGGCTACTCGAACCAGAAAGTGAAAATATATCAAGAAAACTAGAGTCGTCTTCATCCATATCCACTAGGTGTTCTGAATGTGAACTTCCACCAAGTGATTCATCTACAACATCATATCTATTCATGCTCAAAAATAAGTACAAAGAAAAATTACCTTTCTTCTCCGTTGAACTCTCCCTGCTTTTGGATTTGTGTTCCATATATGAACGATGCAAGGCTATAATGACAGCCAAGTCTTCCTCTGAAATTTCTTCTTGCTGGAGAATATTGCAAACATTTTGAAGGGATAAACCCTTTGTCTCGTAATAATCGGAATTATTCGACAAAACTAGTCTATTCCGGACTCTTTCCAATAAAGAAGAACTCAAATGAGACAAAGATGAACTTCTTTTGTCTTCCTCTGAATCGAACTGAATAAAATTATCATCAGTTTGTAAAACAGCATCTTTTTTGGACACACATTCCGTTTCATCTTTCAAACTTGCTCTCTTTCTCAACTCTAAAGATATGTCCTCTACATACTCTAGAAAACGCTCTTCATCCGTTCGAGGACCAAAGAACATGACTTCTAATTTGGGCCGATTACAAAAAGGACAACTCTTCCGTTTACCATGCCTCTGAATATGCAAGAAACAATTGGTACACAGAGCCTATAACAACTAAATATAAAAAAAATAATTGGAAAATGATGCTTACTTTGTTACAACAACAAGTTGTATTCAACATAGGAAAATATGCAAAACAGATAGGACATTCATCCAAGTTCTCCCCTATAGGTTCGTCAGTGCCTCTGTCACGAGGAGCCAACGACTTAGAATCCACCATTTGCTTCACTTTTGTTTCCGTCCACTTGTTCTCTCCTCCATCACCACTATGATGCATTCGTCTAGTTTCTGCCATCAATCTTTCTAAAGCAACTCTTGAAGTCCTACTTGCTCTATGGACTGAATGATGTGAGGGACTGCGGTTTCGACGAGTTACTCTCCTTGGAACATGTCGGGAAACGCCAGTGTTTGAGCTACGACCAGACGCTGAATTGGCTCTTGTTGAACCACTACTTCGCCTTGAGTTACCAGCTTGATCCTCAGTAGCGATTGGAAACCTCAAACTGCTTTCAGACCTTCGTATGTATTGCCCAAGTGGTCTATTTGAGTTGAAGTCCCAAACTGCAGAAGAAGGACTGTTTCCCATTCACAAAAGTATAGTTGACCAATATAATTATCCGAATTAGCTTATCAGTTTTGGCAAATACATAAAATGGCACGCTGCTATTGGTTGCAATTTCCCAGTAGGTAGTTATCACGACAAAAACTAGTTACAAGTAATGTCTAAAAGTGACAGTATTCAAAGCTTTTAAAAGGACCCAAAAAAGTGTCAAAAAAGCTAGTCGAGTTGTTGTAAAGTAACCCAAGTGAGCTGCAATGCTGCTTTTCGACACACACGGATAAGAAACCCGCTGGGAAGAATCTTTTCTAGAAAGAAAATTTTGGGTCACACCATTATTTGTATGGACACAATAATAAGAAATGTAAATGAATCACTAGCTAACCTTAATATAAAAGGAACAACGGAGATAGTAAGAACCTGTTGTGGGTTTTTTAGTGCACACTATGTCGCAAGGAGTCTAGTTCTAGCCTCTGTTCAACTGTTGACAACAACTTGTGAGTTGGAATTTTCTGTTTTCTAGTTTGACCATTTGTTGTAAATATTCACAAGTCATTCTGTATAAAACTGCCTATATCCGGTTGTAAGAGACTGTAGAATATGAGGTACTATTTAAATAAAATTTCACTTTCAGGCAGTCGCAGCATATTGCAGCTCAATGTTTCCTTGTCATGTGGACTTCTCATTCTTTCTTAGAAAAGCTTCGACTTTTTCAATATTTTCTTAGAAATAGACTGTCTCCGTGATATTGAAAACATAGTCACGTTGCCATATGAAATCGTTGCGTGGATTAATTTGGGTATAGAACAATGCTGCTGCTTTTTTTGGTGTGCATTTTTTTCCACAATTATTTAAATCAAATATGGAGGGCAGCATTTTTCTTCCTTCTCAAGGTGAGTTTAAAAAGATAGCTGGAAGCGTCTTGCCTTCGAGCTTTAATTGATTTTCTTGTTGTAATGAAATACTTTGTGGCTGTATCACTTATCGTATTGCTATCACTTCAAGGTTTAGCAGTTCAAAATGTACATTGTGCACCCATTCTATCTACTGACAGAGTACAAGTAAGAAGACAAGTTTCGCATTCATGCACCTTTCTAAGCTTCTCTATGTAGAATAGCACAAGTGCGACAGGTTCGTCTCAGCTATCTCCTCAAGTAATTGTTTCAAATGGCGTTCCCGTTGCTATTGTGTTTCCAGATCCAACAGAAGCACCTGCTCCGATTCCAACAGGAGAAACCCTCCTTGTTGAAACTTCGGAAGGAGACTTCGAAATCGTCACAAGAAGTCATTATCCAAAAATAATTCATCAAAACTCATATAATGCGAAGCAAAATTCAATATCATCTGCTGATCTAGAAAGTATTGTTAGAAAACTAGTTGAAAAAATTCAACTTGATTCTTTACAAGAGGAGCAGCAAATGGATAGTACTCTGCAAGATGCTTGGTCAAATATGAGACAATTAGCAACTTTGATACCCGAGCCAACCACATCAGGTCCTTCTGACTTGCTTTTATTCCCTTCTCCAGAACAATTGGGACCAAACGCTGCTCGTGTTCCGTTGAAAGACTCCAAGTCGTTTTCTCAAGGTCGAACAATAGAGTTGCAGATCCATATCGGTTCCAATGATAACATCCGAGTGGCCTTGCCAACAGCAGTGTTAGCCTCACCAGTCGAGGCTTTACCTACCGACGTTCCTGTTCCAACAGAAATACCTCCACCCTTCTCACAAGTAGGCAGCAACCAGCCTTTCTATTTCCTGGGACCTCCTACTGTTTTCGAGCCTAATCAGACCCAATCTTCAAGAGGTATTTTGAGACTGGTTGAGGTTGAAATAGCTAATGCCCTGTAGTTTTAGATAAGGATGAGTTGTCGAAACAGATTGGATACTTGGTACTTGATCAAGTTTTAGAATATCTATCGAGAAAAGGTAAGAAAAGTTCTTTTCTATGAGTTGTTTAAGCTAATGGAATTGAAGAGGAGCCATATGATGATTTCGAAAAGTATATTATTGGAAAGAACTCATACAAGATTTCCAAGGAACGACTGGTGGATGCTACTGAAGCGCCACTTCCTGCACAGTCATCTCAGCCAAAACAAGGAACCACACTTCCCTTGTCTCTTTCTAATCTACCACCACCACCAGCTGTAGTCTTACCAAACGGGAGTCTTTCGTAAGGAATGTACACTTTTGTTACGTTGTGTGATAAATAATAAAGATGTGATGATTTTCGTATGGCTTTGGATTGTGTTGGCGCGTAAATCAAGCCCGCTAAAAATCGAGCGTTCCTTTAAATACGCTGCATATTGCCATTTGATTCCTTTTTCTTTGTGGTGAGATGGGTTTGGATTCAAGTCGCAAACCTTCTCACTACTGACAAGTTTCTTCAATTTCTCACAATTCTCCTTTGGCAATAAAGTATGAAGTTTCTCTTTGGTAGTGAATGTATACAAGCTAGTTGTTGGTACTTGAGGGGAAAATTTGGTTTCGAGAACCATCCAATCACATGGGAAAAATATTTATTGACACCTATGTTGGATTGGTAATACAAAATGCTGCATTGCTTCCACTCGCCTGTTCAACTACTGTATCCGTTGTCGTAGTCTTCATCGTCCGAGAGACTAGCATAAATAATTTTCGGCACAGTTAGCTCAGTGTCAGCCGTCAACAACTGACTAGTACTTCCCTGCTGGTTCAAGTGTCGCCGTTCACAACTTTTATGCGTCTTTTTGCTGTTGACTAGGGTTGTCCTTGGTACTTCATGGTGATAACTTTGAGATGAACCTTGACTTCTAGCTTCAGACTCAAGGTCTTTTGTGTCGCCACTAAAGTTCTCATAGGAAAGTGACAAACTGTTCGAAGACTGGGAAGAGTATCTTCGACTAGCTAAGAAGTTTTCTTGGAGCGCACTAGGCTCCAACCGTCTATGTGAATACTCCCGTGGCCTTAGATCATCAGTTTCTACTTGTTCGTCTACCTTATCCAATGATTCTTCGATCTCCTTAGGAAGGGTCTCTAAATGGTTCGTATGAGTGGGATTATGACCTTGGGAAGTGCTTCTAGTATTGCGTTCACTTAAATCAACTTGAACTGCCACATCAACTCGGTTTTTTGCTCTAGGTTTGTTGAGCCAAGAATTATTTGGTTGCCTTCCATACGCTGGTAGCACAGTAGTCTTAAGAGGTTGAAACAAGTCATTTTTTGGATCGTCATCTGTTGCTGAGGAGACTGGGGACATGATATGTCCGGAGCCTAGTTCCATTTTTGCGAGGACACTATCTTCAGAAATATCTTCTTGTGAAGGAGAACGGGGTCTTCTTGTTTGGTTCCAAAACTTGGAAGCTTCTCCTGGTAGAGACTTCATTCCACGACTGGCGCTTTCTCGATAATTTTTATAATCAGGAGCAATTCCTAGGCTGCGAAAATATTTCTTAAGGGATTCCATTTCCTCATGTAAACGTTGAAGTTGCTGCTTTGTGGTTGGGTCTTGTTGTTCATCATGCTTTTTGTTCTCTACTTGTTCTTTTGCTTTTGTTACAATTTGACGATGTTCACCTTCAGTGATGTCTTCTTCAGAAGATTTACTTGACATATTATCTTTCCATGTCCAATCGCGCTCAGAATTCTTATTCACCGAATTTCTATCAAGCGAAGAATATGTTAATTTTCGTCTATCAAGAGTAGTGGCATTGAGAGCAAAGAATCTATATATTTTGACTGGTAGTCCGAGATATCCAGCGATATCTGTGTTCATATTATATCCAGGAATAGTAAAATGGCAACTAAATGGTTTCAGAGATAATTTTTGGAGGAGAGTAGGATTTGAGCTATTCCATTGTTGACCTTTTGGTTGGTTTCCCAGTTTGGCTTCACAATTGCAGCATAAGATGGAGTATTTCTGTTGGTTTCCATTATATAACAAAATCAGAAAAGAACCATTTTGAAGTACACGCTCACAAATACCCTCCATAAAAAGGAAATCGTAGCAAGCCATCCAAAGCATAGCAGGATCGAACCTATCCTTGACAAACATCCAAAGGCCAACAACAGGTTGTCTTTCAAGAATATCAGGGTCATCTTTGCTGTATAGTAATAGTTTGCGAACTGAATTCATCGACAAGAATCCAAAGTTATCTATCATGGGATACAATTCTATGCTTTCATTCTTCTTTTGGTTATTCGCTAGACATTGATGGAGAACTTCCATATTATGTACTCGAGGTGAAGATATTTTCGTGAAAACAAACTGAATATCTGGAATGTAGAATCTTAAACATAGCACAACATCGTTTCCATGTTCTTCCAACTCTATTCTGGGAGGAAAATACTTAGCAAGTTCGCATAACCAAAATCCACGAAACATAGGTTTATAAGTTTGCTCTTTCATTTTTTCAAAAACAGCAGTTTCCGGATCATTCACTAGTAACGAGATACTAGCTCTCTGTTGGTCATCGACTTGTTCAGGTTTATCGGAAACAGCCTCGAAAATCAACTTCCGGGGAAAAATTCGCAAGTTGCCAGTGTCACACCACGTTTCACGTATGGTTGCAAAATAATGGTCTTGCTTTCGTTCTCGTAACTTTTGGCGCAACTGATTCACAACTTCCGTTTTCCATACCCATTCAGAAGAAAGTAATTGTTCTGCCGAAATAGTAAACATGGTTTCTATGTTGCTACTTGTTGCATCTTCCCCTTCTTTTTCTGGGGTGGGATCCCATAATATACTTCGTACGCGTGGAAAATTCATAACTATATCAAGGTTGGATATCTTCCAAAGAAACAAGCCAATTACGTTTCTCGTACTCGATGAAATAGAATCCACTAGAGTAGAAGATACTACACATAGAATAACAATGAATCCAAAGGGTCCTTAGGTTCCGGAAAACCCCTTTTTATCTGTATTGCTTGTCGTTCTTGTCGTAACCTTTGGAGCGAGTCTTATGGGTTTTTCTTTTGAACTAGACAATAATCAAGGGGTAGTAAAGGCCGTAATATTCAAGTCTCAACGAAAGAAGACTCGACAATAATTCAAGTGTGTATGGGTAACACAAGTTTACGTTACTTTGGAAATTGTGGGAGTGGGTGTAACGGTGAAAGAATTCTCTCAAAGAGCACGTCCCAGGAAATCAAAAGGGATGATGAAAGTGATGAAACACTTTGCGCGGGGAAATGCATTGCTATCCCAAAGCACAGATTTGGGCGGGCTCACAGCTAAAGGAAGCCCTCAGGGATCCTTTGCTTAGATATGGATTTTAGCTTTGTTGGAGTGCTTGCTCTGTGCATATGAAATCAAACGGCACAAATTCGATCTGCACGTCTCTATTCTCACTAAATTTCCGCTATTGTTATTCATAAGAGTTTATAGCATTCCGCTTTGAAAACTATTTTCAACTCGAGCTTGTTCTTGAAATTTCTTTCCATCATTTCAGTTTCATGTCACTGAAAAACTCTTCATATTTTCCTCATAGTTGATCATAAAAAAACCTACGATTCTTCATTTTTGATATTCTTCTTTCTACTAGTCCTTATCCTAGTTACTTGTAAGACTTTCTAAAGAACTTGTACTATTTCGTAACTATCATCAACTTTGTAAAAATATCAAAATTCAAGTAATCATATAGTATTCCTATAGTTCTGTGCTTCAGAATCCATCTATAGCTTCCTTCGATATTAACTTGAAGCTGATCCTTTTTACTGTTGCTTGTCCATCTGATCATGGTGATTCTTCCACCTATTTTCTACCAATTCAAATCGACATCCTAAAGGTATATGGTCCGATGGAAAATTTTCATTGGGAAGGAAATGTTCATATCTCTGTAGCAACTCTGGACATGGAATGACTTGGATGGGTTTCAACTGCGTACCAGTATAAAATATATAATCAATATTGTCTGTGAATTTTTCTGTTCGATTGCTCCAATCCATTTCCTTCCCTAACACAGACCAAATAGCACTTTTGAACTGAAATGGAATGTTAACCATCACATGACGTGCAAAAATAGGAGTCCACAATGCGCTCCTACTAGTGGTCATCGTATTCACCATTTCATTATTGTTGTCCGTTCGTTCCAACGGTTCCTTCGATAAACGGAATTGTTGTTCCATCTCCTGACCATACCATTCTACTTGTCCATCAGTCAATAACTTATAAATCAATGTTCCTGGTGAACTATTAAAGTCTCCTGTTAAAAAGACATTTACATTTTCATCTTCCATTCCATCTCTCTTACAACGTTGGATAAACTCATCCATTTCATGAACTGCTTGCAATGTTTGTAATAGCTTCACATCTTCATGCAAAGGATCCCAAAATAAATGTACATTTGCAATACACAAGTGATAAGAAACTTCCGATTCCGTTCTCCACTTCAACCATACACATTGTCCAATATTGTTACGTCTATGACGTTCGTCCACATAAGGATTCCAATTCTCGTGACAATATTTTTTGAGTGTCGGAAACTGTACTTGGTCACAATCCCTAGACAAGCCTAAACCTCTACACCTCCATCAACTCTGAAAACCCGATACTTACCAGCTATGTTCTGCTAGCAACTCAAACTTGTCCGATTGGAAGAAAATGGCGCAACCATCTTTTTTCATTCCGCCTCGAAGTTGAAATATGCCTTTGTAGCCTTTTTCTTGTAGATAAGTTTCTATTTCTTTATAACAATCCACTTCTTGCAAACAGAGAATATCAACTTGTAAACTTTGCAATAAGCTTTTGGTTAAAGCCAGTCGATGCTTGCGCCGGAGATATCGTCTTGGACAATATGGAAATTGACTCGTGTTCACGTACACTTGTGCCAACATATTATAACTGGAGATGGAAAAAGACCTTACTACTTCGTCGACGGGTGGTGTCCAAAAAGTGACTAGTGGTGCAACCCTTTCAGTCATCCAAACCAAAGAATTTGTATTACAGCATAACCATCTTCTTTTACGACAACAGTGAAGTGTATCTCTTTTTATCCTATTTGTCCAACACAACACAAAACCACAACGGGCAAGTAGCCTAATAAAAGAAGACATGTGAATGAAAGGGAATTGTTGTATGAGAGTTTTCAAACCATATCTTGCACAGTTTTTTTTCTTTTATTCATCTTCCAATATCGGCTCTGTTTTTGATTCTTTAATATTATTCAAGTCTCCTGTTCGCACTGCTACAGTTAATGTTTTGTCTCCTCCACGTACGACTTTCATATGGATGACTTGACCAACCTTCACATTATCGACATAAGATTGTACTTCCTTTGCACTTCTCACATTGTGTCCATCTACAGCTTGTATAACATCAAATCTACGTAGACCAGCTTCTGCTGCAGGAGTCTTTGGTAAGATTCTAACAATCAGCGCTCCTTCTACTTCTGGTATAATAATAGGTGCATTGGGGTCTTCATTATTTTGTTTTGCAAGTTCGGGAGTAATAGTCGACATTTGAATACCGATAAAAGGATGTTGAATTTTCTTTCCTTTTGCTAACGCATCGCTTATTGCTTTTGCTTTGTCGATGGGAATAGCGAATCCAATTCCTTCTGCATTGGCTCGAATAGCTGCATTGATACCAACAACTTGACCAAACTCATTTACCAAAGGACCTCCCGAATTGCCAGGATTAATGGCAGCATCCGTTTGAATAAAATCAATTTTCTTTTCAGGTATTCCAACTTCGGCTGCTGAACGATTCAAAGATGATACAATACCTAGAGTAACCGTATTATCCAAACCAACTGGGTTGCCCAACGCAATCACCCAGTCACCCACTTGTAACTCTGACGAATTGCCTAAAGGAGCCACAGGAAGCTCCCTTCCTTTGGGGTCGATTCGAATGACTGCCAAGTCTAACAAGTCATCTGTTCCTTTTACAGTACCAACATAAGCTCTTCCATCCGTTAAAGTTACCGTCACTTTTTCTACATTCTTCACCACATGTGCATTGGTCAATATCAAACCATCCTTGGAAATAATAAATCCTGAACCTTGTCCTCTTTCTGTTCTTTCTCTTGGAAGTTGTCGTTGAAACTCATCACCAAAGAATTTTTTAAAAAAGGGATCCTCCAATAATGGATCATTGGCGGTAGATATCTTCCTTTCCGTATCGATGCGTACAACACTTGGACCAACTGCCTTCACTGCTTCCGTCACAAAAGAAGATGATCTCCTCTTTTCACACAAATGATCGTGTTTTCCATTGTCTTCTGGTCGACTCTTCCAATTCGACGGCAACTTCTCCTCAAATCAACTTTGAATAGTGGACACAAGGATAATCATCAATACTTACTGGTGGATGAAGTGTGACTTCTGCCGACAAATATCTGTTAAAAAATGGTTGACGAAATCCTTGAGTGTCTATACTCGAGGCAGAACAAGAAAGAGACAAAGAGAGCAGCGAGACCGATGTTATCAGCAACCAACGAAACAACTGGCCAATCCAACTACCCACTGTACAAGATATGATAAAAAACGATATGTTCTTACCCATACGACGACGAATTTTGTGGTGTTGATACTTTTTCGGAGCGATATAAGAAGCACAAAGAAGACGAAACAACGGCAAAGCAAAAGTTTTGATAGTGTTCCTTTTAGTAGCTCTAGAACAATGCCAAGTATAGCTACAACATTTAGGTACTAGGAAAGTTGCTTTCATATTTCTCCGATAAAAGAATGAACAGCGTCGCAACTGTGAAACACGAGTTTGTCCCACAGGAAGAAAATAAAGAAAACAGGACTTGGCGGAGTCTTCTTCCTCTTGACTCGAGTATTGTGGATAGGAAATAGCCACTTGAAGAAAACAAGGCTTGGAATAAACAAGTGTCTTCATATTTTGTAAGTTCTTAAGACTCCTCTCTGCCACTCCAATTGTTCTCGAGCAACACAACGCCTTCACCACCAACGCTTTACAATGTTGATAAGAATCACAACTTTCATAAGGAGAAATGTCGATATGAGCTTTTGCATTCTTGAAGCAAAAGGAGTTGGTGAAGAGAGGCATACATAGCAAGTGAAAATATAAATCATGACTCTTAATATTCCATCATGTCAATGAATACAAGATAGGAAATTCCAAAAAAGAACCGAACAAGTTGTTACAAAGATAGTGAAGAGATATTCAAGTGACCATAAGCTCTACATAGCTACTCTATCTTGTCGTAAGTTCTTTTGTTTAACCATCTTTTAGGAATCTTTCATTCAACTGTTATTTATTATATTCTCCAAGTGTAAATGAACCCTCAAGAAAGTGGCTAGGAAAAAATGCTGCAGTTGCTTAATTCAAAAAGCAATTCAAAAAATGTCGTCAAGATGAAAGTCATTTTTATGAGAGCTCAAAAGAGGCAGGTCAAGGTATCGTTTGCTATTCTTGCATTATTCTTGGTTATCTTTCATTGGAAAGTTAACTCTCTTCGTCAACTAGTCACCTTTCCTCATTCTACTTCATATGTTTCTAGACAAGAGGACTTTTGTGAACAAGTGGAGAGAGATGGTCCTTTGAAAGCTGTTTTAGAAAGAATTCTATTGCAGCCTGATTCCCCAGTATCTCAGTTATGTAAAGAATGGAAGCCAGAACTACACTGTAGAAAAGGCCAAACATTCCGTCCTCAGGGTCCCGTCCAAGTTTATGATATCTTTCTCTTTTCGTTTGAAGTAGATGCTTTGGAAATTCGTTTTCATGAATTGAATGAGTTGGTAGACCATTTCGTTATATTAGAATGTAACATTGACCATAAAGGTTATCCCAAACCTCTACTATGGAATATCTTGAAGGATGATCCTAGATTCCTGCCATTTCGTTCCAAAGTTATTCATATCGTCCGTGAAGTTCCTCTTGATGCCGTTCGTGGTGATAGGAATAAGATAGAATGGAGCTTTGAACAACAATCTTGGGAGAAAGCTTTGGAATTTTGTCGTTTTCTACCTTCCAATGCGATAGTGATGTTAGGTTTTGTGGATGAAATTGTATCTCGACAAGCATTATATGAGGCAATTTATTGTGATCCACATCCATCTTATCCTTTAAGTTTTGGTATATGGTTTCCATTTGGACACTTGGAACGAGCATATAAAAGTGATTGGCCAGTAGAGGGACATCCATATACATATGGCTATCCGAGTTTACGATATGCCAATCAGTGTTCCGAAGGAACTTTTCGTCAACAATTTTCAAGCCATCAATTGGGAGGACTACATTTATCCAATTATTGCTTCCCTCCCTTTGTTATATTAAAAGAACTAACAGGAACTGAATATGGGAGCGAATCTTTTCATAGCATGACCCAAGAACAATGTAAGCATTTAGTAAGTAACTGTGAGGGTTCCACTTTTGGAAGGACGGTTCCTTTAGACCAAGTTCCAGAAGAAGACATGGAAGCTGTATACATACCTTGGTTTGTCAAGTGTCACCCCAACAGATATCCAGCTTTGATGCATCAAATAGATTCTAGAGCAGTCGTAGTATCTTAAGATGATGATTGCCTCAAGAGGGTGCGTTGAGCCTGAAGAAAGCGGACCCTCATTTTCCATTTTCTGTACGGCAATTTTCGTCGTCGTGGAAATTAATTGATTTGTAGACTGTTGGACTGTGTTGTGTGTCTTCTCAGTAAAGAATTTTAAGATTATGGTCAAGTTGTAAGTTAACCCAATAATATACTTTGCAAAGGGATTAACAACTTTGTTTAGCTTGAAGCCAGGTAAAGTGGTGGTTGTTTTGCGAGGCAAGTACGCGGGTAGGAAAGCGGTGATCGTTCAAAACTACGACAATGGAACTCAAGAACGACCTTATGGTCATTGTATCATTGCTGGAATAGAAAAATATCCTGCTAAAGTCACTAGAAAGATGAGCGAAAAGAAGATAAAGAAGCGTTCCAAAGTCAGGGCATTTGTGAGAGTAATCAACTACAATCACATCATGCCCACAAGATACACTTTGGATATAGTCGACTCCTTGAAAAAGGCAATACCGGAAGATGCAAGAACCAACCTCACTTCTCGTAAAAAGGGCAAAAAAGCGATTCAACAACTTTTGAAGGAAAGATATTTGACTGGGAAAAATAGATGGTTCTTTACAAAGCTTCGTTTCTAGTGAACGGAATAGCGAAGGTTCCACCTGCTCCTCTAAATAAACCAATCATTCCACAACTTTATCTATTTCCACCCAATGCCCAAAACTTGGCTCCGAGTTTATCCAATTCTTCGACGGTATTGGCACCTTCCAATTTCCAAGTTTCCTGTTCAGGAATCAGAAAACTTTTCACCAGAAAACCTTTGCTTCTCAACTGGGACACAAAATCGGTTGCATAATATTCATATTTGGGTGGATCTTGTCGAGTCTAATGATGAACATCACATATATGACTTGTTTCTTTCATTCAAATAATCACATACCTGACTTGCATAAATATTTCCCAATGCATCAAAATAAGGTTTGCTACGGGCTATCACAATACCTGAATTGAACTCTTCTATTTGATAAAGTTGTTGTTTACTCAACGCTTTACAACCAAAATGCTTCAAAGAACCATCTTCCATTCGATCAATTTGTTTCTTCTCCACAATATCGACAACATTGTCTTCCGAATCACGAATAATTCTTCCATATGCATTGGCACCTACTCCAGCATAACTCATCCTTCCGGTGAGAATCAGTGCTGCATATTTCTAAGATAATCCACATTCAGTGACATTTCTATTTTCACGTAACAGACTTACCTTTCCTATTTGTTGTTTATGTCTTTTATGGCATTCGATCAATCTATCCAATAGAGAACTATCCACACCAGGATTATCTGCATAAGTAATAATAACATCACCTGAAAAGTCTCTTGGTAAAGCACTCTTTACCAAATAGACTGCATGACCTGTTCCCATCTAAACTCCTTTATTACAACACAATGTTACCCAATCGGGAATATTAAACTTACTCTTGTTTCTTGAGTAACGTGTGCCAATTGTTTTCCCAAAGTTCTATACAAACACCCAACGTTAGTCATTCGATACCTTATCTTCAAGCATCCTCTCACCTCAAAACCAATTCCTTTTCATATCCTACCACAAATATAGTTGGTATAGCCCCATCAATCACTTTTCTGGCAGCTTCTAGCGCATAAAGTGCCAAAGGCTTTCCATTGAAAGGATAGATCACTTTGGGTACGCTTGCCTTGAATCTACTTCCTTCACCTGCTGCTAATACAATGCAAGCCATTCCTCTTTGTACAACAAGTTTTCGAAAATTGTCCACATTGGATGGGTTGCATACTCTTTGAGCTTGGACAAAAGTCTGCAACTTGACTTTGGTCCAGTCCGATTGACCACTTTGCAGCCTTTGAAGTTTCTTTCTCCTCGATAGTGCGATAAACCCATATATTCCAAATAAAGCTAACGAGCCCCAAAACAACATCATATTATATTTGCTCGTAGGAATATTTGTATTCTGATCTAACATACACAACAACTTTGGACCGCAAACAATATGTCTTTGTCTTGTATAAAAACAAATATTTCTATAGCAACGAGGATAGAAACTCTTGTAACTTTTCCACTTTTTGTGACACTCACTAGGTTGATAAATAAATAATGACTTTCTACCAAACCAGTTGCAATGAACCAGTGGAATATTACCCGGGTTGAATATTGGCATATAGACACCCCAAAGACTCGCTGTCTTGGCTATTTTCGACTATATGATTTTACCCTTTTGGTCTTGTGTCATAATAAGATACTTGGATAGAGAGAATAAATAAATAAATATATAAGGATCTAAAGAAGAAAGAGATAGATAGAGATGAAATATATGTATGTAAAGACAGAGAAAGAAAAAAGGATAGGCAGATAGAAATGAATATGGCTATCTATATAAAGAGAGAAAAAGAATAGATAGAAAACAATATATATATATATATATGTGTAAGAGAGAGAGAGAGAGAGAGAGAGAAAGAGAGAAAAAAGAATAGATAGGAAACAATATATATATATATATATATATATAGAGAGAGAGAGAGAAATAGAGAGAGAAAAAAAGGATAGGAAACAATATATATATATATATATATATATATATATATATATATAGAGAGAGAGAGAGAGAGAGAGAGAAAGAGAGAAAAAAGAATAGATAGAAAACAATATATATATATATTCCTAGATCAACACACACACACACACAAATTTATTGATTATACTTCAAAACAGTCCGAATAGCCTTTCCATGGTGTAAATCATCAAACGCTTGTTGAATACTTTCAAAAGGCAATTCTCCAGTAACCAAATCATCTACAAATATTTCTCCCTGTTTATATCTTTCAAGGAATCCACCTAATTGAGAACGTCCTTTCACACCACCAAAAGCTGAACCTCTCCATACTCTTCCAGTTACCAACTGAAATGGCCTAGTTGATATTTCTTCTCCAGCACCAGCAACACCAATAATACAACTTTCTCCCCATCCTCGATGACAAGCTTCCAAAGCTGCTCTCATCAACTTGACATTTCCTACTGCTTCAAATGTATAATCTAATCCACCATTGGTCATCTCTATCAATACTTGTTGAATAGGTTTATCATATTTATTCGGATTCACACAATCTGTTGCTCCCATCTTCTTTGCCAACTCAAACTTGCCTTCGTTTATATCAATAGCAACAATGCGTGAAGCTCCAGCAAGTCTTGCACCTTGAATAGCGGATAGTCCAACAGCTCCAAGTCCGAATACTCCAACAGTTTTACCTCTTTCCACCTTACAAGTATTCAATACTGCTCCTATACCCGTAGTTACACCACATCCAAACAAACAAGCTCTTTCAAAAGGAACCGATGGATCCACTTTAGCAACAGATATTTCAGGTAAGACAGTATATTCAGAAAAAGTACTCGTTCCCATATAGTGGTGAATATCCTTTCCTTTGCAATGAAACCGGACTGTTCCATCCGGCATATATCCCTTTCCTTGAGTAGCTCTTATCACCGGGCACAAGTTGGTTCTATTCGATTGACAATATTCGCACTTTCCACATTCTGGGGTATACAAAGGTATGACGTGATCACCCACTTTTACAGATTCTACTCCTTCTCCAATCGATTCCACTACACCACAACCTTCATGTCCCAATATGGAAGGAAATATACCTTCTGGGTCTTTACCAGAAAGTGTATAAGCGTCAGTATGACAAAGTGCAGTAGCGACTATACGAATACGAACCTATTCATAGAAATACATCAGAGTATATACCATCTCATAGTCAACAATTACTTCTCCTTTCTTAGGTGGATCTACTTGAATTTGTTCAATAGAAAGTGGTCTACCTGCTTCCCAAGCGACTGCAGCTTTACAAGAAATGATGGAAGCCATTAATAATAATAATAATAATAATCAATCGTTGAAAGGAAATTTCTAAACGAATTGATATATATAATATCATCATATGTGGAAGGAATCATCAGTCGTTGCTACTATGGCTTCTTTACAAAGACCTGACTTTATGCCCTATCAAAATAATGGAGGGTAAGATATAGATAAATGGAGGGTATAAATATGACTCAACTTGTGAGATATGTAGGACAGTGGTTGCTATTGGAGGTGAAGACTATTGTATCGTCTCCGCAACGACACGTCTTGGTTTGGGGTTTGCTATTCCTACTAGAAACGTTTGTCGATATTCTATACTGAATAATCGTGTGGTGTTAGCAACAGCAGGAATGTTTGCAGACACAGCAACCTTACACAAAGTGATCAAAGCAAGAGTAAAAATATATGAAGAACAACAAGACAAGCCGTTTGGTTTGCATTCAGCTGCACAACTCTTATCCAACACTTTATATTACAGAAGATTCTTTCCTTATTATACTTTCAACGTGTTGGGAGGATTAGATGAAGATGGTAAGAAGAGAGAAGAAGGGGTCAAAATGCATTGGCTTGGACTTGTAACTAACTTTTTTAAAAGGTCAAGGATTCGTATATGGTTTCGACGCAATAGGATCCGGTGAAAAGGTTAAAGTGGTTTGTAATGGTACAGGACAAGCACTCATTCAACCCATTCTCGATAACCAAGTAGAAAAGAAACAACAATATGAGAATAAGCAAATAACCAAACTGTCACTGCAAGAAGCAGTGGACTTGATCAAAGACGTTTTCACTTCCGCAGGAGAAAGAGATATTTATACTGGAGATGCAATAGATATATGCATCATTACAAAAGAAAAGGGAGTTTTAGTGGAGACGTTTCAACTCAAACAGGATTAAAAATGGTGCATAAAAATTATAAAAGTTGCCTTGAATATTATCCAATACTTGATAAACGACGAGTGCGAATCTTAGACTCTAAGAAAAATTCTCCTGCACGGTAAGAACTTCGAACAAGAGGACCAGAAGCTACATACATAAACCCTAAAGACTCGCCTATCGACTTCCATCGTTCAAACTCTTCTGGAGGAACCCACTCTTCCACTTTCATCTGTCTTTTCGAAGGACGAAGATATTGTCCAAATGTAACAATATCTACACCAACTTTCAAAAGATCTTGTAGAGTACGATAGATCTCTTCATGAGTTTCTCCAGCACCAAGCATAATCGACGTCTTTGTAAAAACTTTGCTATTGACAGACTTGGCATATTCAAGAACAGAAAGAGATTGTTGATAGTTGGCTCTTCTATCACGAACAACATGTTGTAAACGACTTACAGTCTCCACATTATGTGCAAATACATCTAAGCCTGAATGCACTACATGACTTACACATTTCAAATTGCCACCAAAATCTGGGGAAAGAAGTTCTACCAAAAGATCCGGTTGTTTCTGTTTTAAAGCTTTGACAGTCGACGCCAAATGACTGGCTCCTCCATCTACCAAATCATCACGATCAACACTTGTCAATACAATGTACGTAAGACCCCACTTAGCAACTGCTGAGGATACTTTCTCTGGCTCTTCTTTATCTAACGGAGGTGGTGTTTTGGAAGTTTTAATGGAACAAAAACGACAACCTCTGGTACACGTGTCGCCCATCAACATGATAGTAGCCGTACCTCCTCCCCAACATTCACCGATATTTGGACAGCGTGCTTCTTCACAAACAGTATGTAAACTTAAACCTCGTAGGGTTTTTTCAGGCGAATGTACTCTTGTTCCAAAGCATGGTCTCCTGCAGGTTTCACCTTTAACCATAAAGGCTTTTGCGGATTCCTAAAAATATACTAATTATCTTTCTCGCTTAATAAAGCCACAACAGACATACTCATATGCGTCAATTCTTTTAATATCTGTCCAAAAAGGTGTGTTTGCCTCTGGTGGAGAAACAGAGACTTTCCCTACCAACTCTGAAGAGTGGACGAAATCGTCAATCTCTGGCTCAGACACCAGTTTTTGTCTCAACTCTTGTAGGCGTTTACCGTACGTCGAAAACGGTTGCTTCCGTTGGTAAAGTCGTAAACAAGGGAAGCTGGCTTTCCACAAGGCCATGAAATTAAATTTCTTGTTAGAGTTGAAGATCCAGGTTTATGCAGGAACCCTTGTAAATTCTTCATCTATGCTGAAGTCATTTCTATTTACAAAGGGAGATACAAAGCTATTGAAAAGAATTTCGTAGATATGGTAGAAGCAAAATGTTACAGAAAAAGTCAAAAAATTATACAAAATGATTAATTTTCTCTCCTGAAAGCTAAGCAGTGAAACCTAATAATTTCTCATTGAAAATTGAACAGCCAAAGCAGTTAGGCGTGAGGAGCAGGGAGGGACCTGGCAATTATCTGTTTTCTCCCAGAACAACCACAAGCAAAGGTAACTTTTAGGGAAAAGTGACCTTTTGAATTTTCAAAACTTGAGAAGTTTCATTAGTTTCCTTTTGTTAGTTTCTCCTTCTCTAGTGTCCAGCCGCATGAGCGACGAAGAGGCCCAGTTGGACAGCATAGCAGCGCAGGTTTCAAGAATGGCACAAACAGCCGACTTGATAAATCGTGAAGTAGACGAACAAACGAAATTGCTAGGAAGCATAGGTAATCAAGTACAAACTGCTGGAGAATTGACACACACGACATTAAGACAAGTCAAAGATACAGGAAAGAACTCAGAGCAGAGAACGATAATTATTTGCTTCCTCACAATATTTCTTATATCTGTCTTGATTTTTTTGTTTCTAAAATTTTACTAATCATAAAAAGGTTAAGACACACAAACGCCGTTGAGGTAAACCAAACAACTCAATCTTAGCAACGCGGATTTAAAAGAAATTGTAATAATTAATTTTTAATTAGTACAAAAGGAGAGAGCATGAGCACTGGTTGACTGACTAGGCAAGTTGTAGCCTCAGCTAGAGAGGCCGTAATTGAAAAAATTAACTTTGGGTTATTAAATTTTCGAAGACTGCTCAATTTTTTAACTTATCATAGTTTTTTAAAGTGGAACTATTTTTTTAATTATATATTAAAATTAAATGACAATTATCAAATTTTTTAGTTGTTGATGATCATCATCTTAGTAGAATTTCTATCTTGATAAGTCTTTAAATTTTTAATTATTATATATAAAATTTCTTGTGTGATTTTAACTTTTCTTATTTATTGAAACTCGACACATTCAGTCAACCATGTATTTGGAACTAATGTTTTCACTAACCTACTCATTTTTTAATCTATTATATCAATTTTCCGTATTTCTTCGGAGATGCTTGATGAAGTATCGTATCTGTTGATATGAAAGGAAGATTCTTGCTTAACGAATGCAGGTCTTACTTCACTTTCAGTTATTTCCGTGCTTGGTAAATTTGTTTGTCGATTGCGTGGTGTTCGTTTAGACGAGTAAATGGCAGGGATGCCTCCTAGAGAAATGAGACCTGCAGCGGTCACTCCAGAAGTAGAGAGAACTGAAAACAAGCGACAGATGCTTGCTGACATTATCTTTTTTGGTTTCTTACTAAGTTTGTTATATGTTACTTCTTCTAAATCTCCTGATAATTCCAAGGCACAAAAGCCATTGGCTAGTAGTGGGGAAAGGAACTTGACAAGTAGCGCCATTTATCAACCTAGGTGGAAAGAAGGGCAACCATTTCTATTGCAATTGTATGTTTCACCGTTGGAGGTCATCTCTCCTGAAGTTGAGAAACCCGTATGGACTGAACTTTTTACTTATGACTTCAACAAAACCAACGAACGACACACGATTCTCGACATCAACTTGGACTATAGCATCTTGAGACAAAACCAAGCATTATTTTGCTATGCTGTTGCCAAGAAACTAGTTCCAGAAGGATCCTTGGGTGACCTCGTAGTGGATAAGGAGGAACCCTTTTTGATGTCTCGTACCAATCTTGTGGTAGTTAAAGATGTGAAGCCTACGGTAGCTAAAGCCCTTATCAAGAAGGGCGAAGACTTGTACCAGCCAACGTCAGACAACTCTTCTGGAATATATTTCAAGCCATTCACAAGTATATCTATTATCGTCGATTTTACTCCTTATGACGTGGATAAAATTCCACCTTTGATCAGCGAACATATTCAGCTGTTAAATGATAGTAAGCAGTATCTTCCACTATTTACTTTTGAGGAGTTTTGGCTTCTTAGTTCCAACCTTGTACCCTTGAATGACTCCGTTAGGAATGTCTCTGTCAAAGTTTCTTTCCGACCACTTTCTTTAATGAAATGGACTATCTTTACGCAGCTTGACAGTTCTTGGAAGACACAGAATGGCCTTGGTTTGAACACTGCTGAAGAAACAGATGAACTGAAAAGAATGTTTTTAGAAACGAATCCATATTTTCTTTCTTTGACCGGAGTTGTTACTGTTTTACATACTATATTTGAGTTTCTTGCATTTAAGAATGATGTTACTCATTGGCGAGATAGAAAGAGCATAGAAGGAATATCGGTACGTTCCATGATGTGGAAACTTGGAATGGAAGTTGTCATCTTATTATATCTATTGGACAATGAGACCTCTTGGATGATAATTATGAGTTCGTTTTTAGGTCTAGCTTTAGAAGCATGGAAGTTATCGAAAGCTTTTCGTTTCAAAGATTTTGGCAAAGTGAAATTATTTGGTATCATTCCATTCTTTAGAGTTCGCAATCGAAAGAGTTACTCGAAGAACACGAAAGAATTAGATGATCAGGCCATGAAGTATATGAGCTTTATTATTTATCCTTTGGTTGCTGGATATTCCATCTACTCGCTTTTCTATGAGACACACAAAAGTTGGTACTCGTGGATTCTCTCAAGTCTAGTGGGTGCGGTCTATGCCTTTGGTTTTATTATGATGTTGCCGCAAATCTTTATCAATTACAAACTCAAGTCAGTGGCACATTTACCCATGAAAGCTATGATGTACAAGTTTTTGAATACAATCATCGATGACCTTTTTGCGTTTATTATCAAAATGCCTACGTTGCATAGACTTGCTTGTTTCCGTGATGATATTGTATTTCTCATCTTTCTATATCAACGTTGGATTTACCCAGTAGACAAGTCTCGAGTCAATGAGTTTGGTCAGGAGTTTACCAATGAAGAAGAAGAGAAGAAGAAGAAACAGTAAGATTCCTTTTTCTGTTTGATTCCATTTTCAATAAATAAAGAATCTTTTCCATGGCGGTTGGAATTTTCATCGATCACGTCTGAAGAAGGAGTGTGACTATCCATGAATTGTCTTAGTTGTAGACTATGTATCATTGGCTCTGGTCCCGCTGCTTATACAGCTGCTATCTATGCAGCCAGAGCAGAACTTCAACCCATATTATTTGAAGGGTTTCTTGCTAATGGAGTGGCAGCAGGTGGACAATTGACTACCACTACTGTGGTGGAAAACTATCCTGGTTTTCCTGAAGGCATTCAAGGTCCAGAGCTATGTGAAAGATTTCGAAAGCAAGGAGAGAGTTTTGGTACTGAAATTTTTACAGAAACTGTGGAAAAAGTGGACTTTTCTCGTCGTCCGTATAGAATATTCAGTAGCAATAGAGTGGTGGAATCCGATTCGGTCATCATAGCCACTGGAGCTTTAGCCAAGAGACTGGATTTCATAGGTTCTGGAGACCCGCCTGATGGTTTTTGGAATAGAGGTATATCTGCTTGTGCTGTTTGTGATGGAGCAGCTCCTATTTTTCGCAATCAAGATTTGGTCGTTGTAGGAGGCGGTGATAGTGCCATGGAGGAAGCCATGTTTTTGACAAAGTTTGGAAAGAGCGTTACTGTTATTCACCGCAGAGATGACTTGAGAGCTTCCAAAGTTATGCAAAATAGAGCAAAGGCCAATGAAAAGATCCGTTTTCTTTTTTCCCACATAGTGGTTGAAGCGTACGGTGACCGTGTTTTGAAAGGTGTCAAGGTGAAAGATTTGAAGAATAATGAGTTGAGGAATTTATCTTGTTCTGGTTTATTTTTTGCTGTTGGTCATTTGCCTGCAACCAAGTTTCTGGAAAATCAAGTTGAACTAGATGAAGATGGATATATCAAAACTGTTCCAGGCAGTACTAAAACGAGCGTTCCAGGAGTATTTGCTTGTGGAGATGTTCAGGATAAGAAATGGAGACAAGCAATCACTGCAGCAGGTACCGGTTGTATGGCAGCACTGGAAGCCGAACATTACTTATCCACAGAAATGGAACAAGTCGATGGCCTTCATTGGATAGAATAATAAATGGTTAAGAGGAATGATCGTTTTATTTGCGTTGTTTTTTACTTGGCCAAAAGAACTTTTTCTTCTCTTTTTTAGGAGTGTTCGTCTTTGAACTGTTATTGGATGATGCCAATGAACTGCTCGTGTACACAGAGGACTCCTTCTTTTGCCTGATAACCAACTGCAAATGTTCATTATCCATTATATATCTACAGAATAGCTCGTAACAAGGTAGAGGACATTGGAAGGAGGCATATTTGTCGACCTTTTTATATACACAAATGAGCCCTGCCAACTTTCTATCTGCTGCAATTTGATTCAGAAAATCAGCAAACACTCGATATCTTATCACAATGTCGTCAGGTATCAACAACACTTTGACTTTCTTAATCGTTTTTAACATCCACTTTGCCCATAACCATCTAGAAGTATGATAAACCGTCTCACCATTGTCCATAGTACCAATCACAGAGGGAGCTAAAAAGAAACTCCATTGCATTCCATGAATACCTTCCCAACGATAATAATGAAGACTGGGTGTTATTAACAGACGATACATACAAAGAGGTGCATCATAATGGTTATCTAAGCCTTCGTTGTTGGACCGAAGAACAACAACAACGATGGCTTCCTCTGTCTGTGCATTCAAACTCTCTTGAATCAACTGTTGAGCATTCTCATAATGGTCTTGTGTTGTAAAACAAACGGAGCCATATTGAAGGATAAGATCATTAGGCTGGAAACCTGCTTCTGCGGCAGGAGAACCAGGTTGCACAAGAGTAACCATGGCAAATGGGATATTTTTGGAAGGTTCCTGAAACTGCTGCTTGAGAATATCAAAGTCGAATGTTGCACCAAGTAAACCATGGTATCTAGGACTTGCTTTTGGAAGTACTTGCAATCGAAACGTCCGCCATTCCTCTATCACTTCTTCAGATTCTTCGGGATAATATTCAAGGCGTCTTAGAACCACTAATTGTAAAGTTCCATTTTGATATTGGTGGCACTCCTTTTCAACCCATCTAGAAATATTCTGAAGACTTATATTACAACCAAGTACAAAAGGTACGCCACGGGAGTCTCTATAAAAGCGTAGTCTACCAAGAGATAATATATAGTCATCTTCTATTAATCCTGACGCGTTGGAAGGTGAACCTGGAACGACGAGACGTACTCTTGCAAAAGGTACAAGTGAGGGAACGCGTCCAGAATGTATATAGGAAACTGTTTTGCTCAAAGCAAAAGAGATGGGTTCATCTTCAGGTAGAGGAGTGAGATCTTCTAAAGGCGCAAGAGGCAAAGGAGTGACTTGTTCTTCTTCTACTATACAAGGCTCCTGAACAGGCGCAATATCACATTGAACAGTTACTCGAAGAATTCTTGCATCAGCTTGCAACCACGATTGAATTTCTTCAGCTTGATATTGATTGCATTTGTTGGTGTGTATTTTATCGGATTCCAAATAAAAGGATACTGGTCCCTGCAATTGAATGGTATCCTTCTTTAAAAGTTGTTCATTTAGTTCTTGAATCAATAATTCTGGACTAAAGAGTGCTTGAGCCATTATTTTGTAATGTAATCCTTGTTGTCCATTATGAGTTTGAGAAGATAGCATATCCAGCGGAGCCTCGGATACCAATGAATGTTCCAGTGTCGGTGCCACTCTTTTCGACTCTGTTGATTTCAAATGTTTTTCTAAAAGTAGCCTTGCTAGAGAACAGTTTCTTTGTTTGCACAATTTATCAAGTTTCATTCTTCCTCTCATCGCTTTGAAAGAGAATGTTCTCGTTTTCCTTTGCAATATTTCCATGATATGTACCAACCCCATATACCAAGATTCGAGTGTTCTTTCATTATCAGTCGCTAGGCAGATTGCTTCGCTCCTATTGCGAAGAAATATAGAAAAGCATTGCCAAGACTCATGTGCTAGAATACCGCCTTTTCGTAAATGTTCCAAATAGTTGGATGAATCTGTTCCATATTCCAACTCCAACATGGAAACTAGAGAAAAACATAGTTCTTTTCTTGTTGAATATAAGAATTCTAAATGTTCGTCCAAATGAAAATGAACATCCGTCTTTCGACAAGGAGAGTTGCGATAGACGCAAAACGTAGCTCCGTCCATCATTCTTCTCAAATGTGTTTCGAAAATTCTATTGGATTTGAGTTCTTGAATCAATAACAGCTTTCTCTGTTTGCTTTCTTCTTGAAGGACTTGTTGGAAAGCACGAAATACTCTTCTAACAGGCCTTTGTTTAGATTTTTGGGAATAAATACCAACAAGGGTTTCAATTCTCAATAACATAAAGCTCCATTTTCGTACAAAGGTCTGTCGTCTGTTGGATATCTGGGTTTCCACAAGTTTTCGATATCGAACGCACTTTATCCATTTTGGCATCCAATAAGATGAACTCTTATGTCTTGAAAACTCAATCGCAACTTGAGTTGCTTGACGCTCTGCAACCATCCATTGAGCATTCTTTCTCCATGTGACAAACATACGATTCAGTAAGCAGTTTTGATTAAATTCAAGAGCTCTGTTATATAAACGACGTCTACGCTTTTTGGTATTCACAAAAGCTCTCAATTCCAAAAGTGACAATCTTCTCAAGTCATCACACAATAGATACATCAGAGAAGAGAAGATGATTCCTTTATGAAGCCTTTGTATGTGATGTAATTTCAATGCTCTCAAAGTAGATGATTCTAACAACAACTTATTCCACAGTTGGATATAATTGGAATATTTTTGGGTTATTCCAGCATTATACAAAGGTAAATGAAACACATGAACCAATTTGCCCAAAGTTCTGCGTATGTCATAGCGACCACCCACTCGAAGAGAGGAACGAGAAACTTTAGCCAGTAAAGAGCTGCTATAGTTGGAACGAAACTTGTAGTAACTTTGGAGAATTCTAAAGACGCCAGATTGACGAATGTTCTTGGCTCTCGTCATAATAAGTCTCTCGCTATATCGAATGTTTATGACATAATGCTGTAGAGCCCATTTGGCTTTGGTATATAGGAAAATCTTACGATGCCGCTGCACATTTTCAATAGCCAACTGTCGTCTTTCCCTGTGCATTTTTGTTATAGTTTTCCAAAATAGGAAGTATTTGCTCTTCCGCTTCCTCTTGTCAATCTCATCTGCATATCGGACTGCTGTCTCGTCCTCATTCAGTATAAAAGTATAAGGCATCTTCACAAACGCGAATTGATAGAGTGCTTTGAGACCCATTCTTAAAAGGTATATATCATATATTCTCTTAGCTAGTCGATTGTTGAAATGCTTATCTAAGAGAACCAGTTTCATACAGTTCCAAATATATTGTTTTTTATAAAATATTCGAAGATCCATCCATCTTTGCAATACATTTTCTTGCCTTCTCTGCACCGCAGGTTTTATCCATGAACTTTTCAATGGCAACTGCAGTGATTTTTCTCGGAATTCCTGATTGTTGTGAATCATATCTCTCAATTGCTTCCAAGAAGATGCCCATAAATGTTTGCATTCTCGAATGTCTTCAATGCCTTGGATCCATATCTTCCATAACAAAGTAATTTGTGTTCTTTGACATCGAAATGCAATTTGGTCAAAGGTTATCACGGGCAAAACAGTCTCTACTGAAGTTTCATAATATGTTTTCTGAACAAGTCGACTGGGGACTGTTCTTGATGAAAAAATCAATGTTACCTTATCTTTGCATCTTGAAGAAATCTTTGCACAATGAAAATACATCAGCCAAAGATGAAACACTCTTAAAATCAATTTTCTTTGAAAATATTTTTCTGCTCTAGCTTCGAGAGCTTCTATCCATGCTCCCATAGTCAGAATGTATTGTGGAAAGGACTTTCCTCTGTTTCCTGTGACATTCCAATTCCCCTTTCTATGAAGTTCTCTTGGGGGCTTTCTATGACTCACATCTTTGAGAGAATCGCATTCAACCATCACCTTGCTGTTTAAAGAGTGAGAAATCAAGGCTAATAATGTCTTCTGCGCCAATAACCGTTTATAGAACAATTCAGCTTTCTGTCTTTGTTCTTTTCGTTTATGTGCATAGTTTTGGAGGGTTCGAAAATATCGTGCAATAACTCCAATCTTCCAAAGTCCAAAATACGCCAATTGACGATGCCTATCGGAGTCTACTTCGTAGCCTTTGTTTACTATAGATCTTCTCCATCGATAATATGACATAAGTAGCGACGCTTGATTCTTTGTCTCCATCTCATAAAAAAGTATTTGCTGTTGAAATATCTTGTCGCATGCTCTGTTGCCACTAGAGTAGTCCATGAGAAGTGTTTCGTGCATCGTCTTTTCAAAGTTTGATAGCTACAAGTCTAGTTTCTTTCAACTCTATTTGCTGAAAACGAAAAGAAAGTGAAAATGAACATCCAGGTCACTCTCTTCATTGCGAGAAGGAGCAAAGCATCCATTTTTTTCTCATTGGGGATTATCGATTTGTTCCCACGTGTCCATTGCTGTGTTCTGTCCCTTCTCATCGAAGAAAAAATTATTCCCAAATTTGGCGCCAAAGACTTGTGCTTGAGAAGATCCTTGAGACAAATCAAGCAAAGCCAAGCGAGAAATGAAGAAAGTTTAAACAACATGCTTCCTTCACTATTTTGTTCAATGGTGAGTAGGCGTCCATGGTACGAAAAGTTTCTAGCAATTGTTCATTAGAGGATATTCCTCGTAATTATTTATTGCATGTTTCGGTATCCCAAGGTAGAATGGGATAGAACAAAAGTACGTGTGAGCAAACTACCCTAATAAACCCTATAAAACAGGTTCGACCATGGTTATAACCCATGAGGCGTTATGAAGAATAGCTTGTTTGATTGTTGGTAGCCATAAAGCTCCTGGTATCTTGTTTCATGCGCGTCTCAATGCTCGGACCCATCTGCAGCTGAAGTGTAACATTTGCATTTGTCAACATCTGTAGAATTATTGTGCAATCATGTTCTTACTTCGGAACTTTTCATTAACACAACTTGCTTCAAAAAGACCAAATCAAAATATTTTACCACCTTTACGTGGCTTGAGTACTTCCGGGATTCATAATGAGACAGAAGCCAACATAATCGAAGGTGAAGCACGTCAAAGACAGGAAAGAGAGATCGAAAAGTACAGGTTCACCAGAAGGGCCAATGAACCATTCTACAAAGTTCCAGGAAGAGAACCGAAACAAGTCAGTGCTGATGAAGCTGTAACTGTGGTTAAAAGTGGAGACAATGTATTTGTTCAAGGCGTTGCTGCTACACCGACACCTCTTTTGGAGGCGCTTTGTAGATGGGGGAAAAAAGCAAACTTGAAAAAGGTCCGTTTGCATCACATTCATACCGAAGGCCCTTTGCCTCATTTAAAGCCGGAATATGAAGGCATCTTTCGTGACAACTCGTTATTCATGGGTGCCAATGTACGAGAAGCTGTCAATGCTGGAAAGGCAGATTATACACCGGTATTCTTAAGCGAGATTCCTAGTTTATTCAGATTAGGTGCTATTCCTTTGGATGTGGCCTTTGTGCAGACAACTCCACCTGATAATCATGGCTATGTTTCTCTTGGAACTAGTGTTGATTGTACTAGAGCTGCCTTGGAAATGGCCAAACACAAAGTTGCTATTGTGAATCCCAGAATGCCGTATACTTTTGGAGACTCTTTTGTTCATGTTTCACAGTTGGATTATATAGTTCAAGATGAATGGGAATTACCCGAGCTTTATGCTAAACCACCCAATTCTGTTCAAGACCGTATTGGTCAATTGATAGCCGCCAATCTTGTAGAAGATGGTGCTTGTTTGCAGATGGGAATAGGCGCAATACCCAATGCAGTTCTTTCCAAGCTAAAAAATCACAAAGGTAGGAGAAATTCAGTTTCATTTCAACCATTAAAACTGTATGTAGATCTCGGTGTTCATACCGAAATGTTTAGTGATGGCCTCATAGACTTGGTAGAATGTGGTGCAGTTACCAATTCTAAGAAAGTTATTAATCCTGGCCGTATTGTTTCAGGATTTTTACTTGGTACCAGGAAATTGTACGACTTTGTGGATCGCAATCCACTTATAACTATGCAAGATATTGCTTTTACCAACAATCCAGTTGTTATCGCCAAAAATTCTCGGGTAACTGCTATTAATTCTGCAATCGAAGGTGAGTATATTTGTTCCATGATATTTTTAGTGTATATTTACCCTTTGTATTTAAGTTGACCTAACTGGACAAGTTATCAGTGATAGCATTGGTACGAAACTTTATAGCGGTGTTGGTGGACAAGTCGATTTCATTCGTGGAGCATCACTTTCAGAAGGTGGAAAACCGATCATTGCTCTTCCTAGTACGACTTCTTCGGGTAATTCTCGGATTGTCAATTTTGCACATCCTGGGGGAGGTGTCGTCACTACTAGAGCACATGTATATTATGTTGTAAGTATACAGTGAAGCACATCTGTTAAGTACTTACTTTGTAAGGTAACGGAATGGGGAATTTGTGAGTTGCATGGCAAGAACTTGAGAGAAAGAGCACTTTCGTTGATCAGTATAGCACATCCTGATCATCGAGAAGCCTTGGAAAAGGCAGCATTTGAACGAGGCTTATTAAGTCAGTAATAAATCCAAGCCATCGTATTTTTGTTATGAGTTTCTTCATCCAGTTCGATCATTTAGTTCTGATCTCTTTCATGGTAACACAATATTTCTTGTGATTATGAAGAATGCATGAGTTTTTACTCGATGCCTATTTCTCACGAGTATTGAATGACAATTGTGTAAGGGTTTGTAAGTTGAGCATGTATTAATTGATATTGAAAACAAGATGTGACTTTGCGCATTGCATTCCCATTTGCATTTTCTTTCAAAAAGGACGAATATGCGAATACAATATTGCGTTGACCCACAGACAAGTTATCCTACCGCTATAGCTTCTGTGGAAGGATTTCGTTGGAGTCAACACGAAAATAGTGATTTCCAGTTGAAAGAAGATGGAAGAGGTTCCCTTGTGTTGGCAGATAATAACAGTGGTTATTCAATGCCGGTAAGCGTGAAGGAAGCAGTATCCCAGCATTGTTTTGCAAGGTATTGGACCTTACTATTTTTTTGTATTGTTCTAATAGGAAGTGAGACAGATATTTTATTGGTGTAAAAAAGAGAGGGGAAAACACAATATATTGTATAGAGCCACAACAAATTGTTCACTTGTATCCGGCCATCAGGCAGACTCAAAGGGACTACTCAGAAACGTCGCAGTTGTCCAAGGGAGAGTTAAAAACTCAGTTAATTGCAAAATTTGGAAGTAAAGCAACGAAAAAGAGACGAGATGCAGTTCTTCGGAATGCAGTTAATGAACTTGAAGTAGATAAGGAAGAATTCAAGGCAGTGGAGTCCTCTATATCCCAAGTGAGGACCAGTAGCAGTCTGGAAGATGCTTTACACTCTATTGCACTTCCTCCTATGAATAAGGAAACGACAGTACTATCAGAAGCATATCCTTTACAAGCTATCATTTTACCGAGAGAATGGAAAGAGATGGAGTCCAGTGTGGGCATTTTAGATAGCTTGATGGATATGGATGCCTTGAAAAAGAACGACATGGTTGACATGTGGGGTGTTCCAGAGCCACTTGCAAATGATTTCTTTATGAGACAAGGTTCGAAAGGACAACAAGAATTGATTTGTTGTCTATTTCTCAAGTACTTGTGCAAATTTCATACTTTTCCCAAAACATTGAAACAAAAACAAGTTGCGTCATGGGCAGAGGACTCTGGAATACCCAACGTACTTTTAGAACGTTTTCTCGCAGATTTTGCTGAATATGATACGAAAAGAAGGACGTAAGTTATTACCAAGTTATCTATGTTTCAAGACATTTCCATCTACATTGATGATAGGTATTTTAGAAGTCCACTGTATATGGACAAGTTGATTTATAGTGCTTTAGTTGTGTGGCTTCATTTGGTAGGTTTTTCTGGAGATCCTCAACATATCGCAGAATTGTTAGGAATGACAGTTTTGCGGTGAGAACGTTATGTTACTTTTGTATTTGAGAACTTATATTGGATAGTTGTTTGCTCTATTTCAGACAATTGGGATGCAAAGTACAACAAATGAAGAAGGGTGCAAATACCAAAAGTTATCAAGCAAGTTTGCAAGTACCCTTACAGTTTCCTGAACCCAAAAAAGCCAGACAGTTGCAACCACGATGAAACTTGATAAAATCACAAACTTTTACTAGGCAAACTCAGAGTGTGCTTTCGCTACTTCCTCATTTGCTTGGTCAGATACCATGTGTGGATATCGGTAGTCCTTTAAAGGAATAAAGCTTTCCTAAAAAAAGAAGAAGAAGAAGAAAATGATTATCTCATCTCTTCTCAATGAAATGAAAATAATACTTACTTTGATACTACGAACCGATACCCAGCGCATGAGATTGGAAGCACTTCCACTCTTATCATTGGTACCACTCTTTCGACTTCCACCAAATGGTTGTTGACCTACAATACTACCAGTACATCTAAACATTATTTGAGATGACAAGATTCTCATTCGATGTATATCATCACATACTTGTCGTTGATATAAAAGTTACCAGCTGAATTCCTTAGAACTTCTTCTGCCTTTGAAATTGCATCTCTATCCTTGGCAAAGATGGACGCGGTCAATCCATATTTGGAACTTGAGTCTGCTAATTCCAACGTTTCCACATAATGTTTGGGGTCATAAGCATAAACAGTTACAACAGGACCGAAAATCTCTTCCTTCATGGTAACAAAGTCTGGATCCGTCGTTTCAATAATGGTGGGTTCAATAAAGTAACCCACACTCTTATCACAGCGACCACCAAACAATATTTTACATGAAGAACTTTCCTTTGCTTTTTGAATATAAGATTGAATCTTATCAAACGACCTTTCATGTATAACTGCAGTCATAAACGACGTAAAGTCAACAGGTGACCCAACTTTGATAGTCTTTGCTTCTGCTACAAGTCGTTCTCTGATACTGGGCCAAAGATTGTTGGGTACGTACATACGAGATGTGGCTGAACATTTTTGACCCTTACATAGAGTATAATAAGAACAAGTTATGTATGCAATCAACGGACATCATTACCTGATACTCAAAAGCTCCACGAATAGTATTATGAACCACATTTTCGATATCGGCAGACTCATGAACAAAGTGGAAATTCTTACCACCTGTTTCTCCCACAACTCTTGGATAACTACGATAGTGACTCATGTTTTGTGCAATCTTCTTTTGAAGCTCTTCAAACACTGCAGTGGAGCCTGTGAAGTGTAATCCACCAAGATGTTCAGAGTGAGTAACTTGTTTTGCAAAATCTGAAGCCTAATAACAAATATGAAGGTGAATAGGAGTTCAGTTTGAAACAATATACAGTTAAGTGCTTACTTTGGCAGGAACGAATTGTATCACGCCATCCGGAAGCCCTGCTTCTCTCAATATATTAAACATAGTCCAAGCTCCTGCATCCAGTTAAGACATAAATATTACAAACAACAATTCCTACTTGCCTAACATGGCACTTTCCGTAGGCTTCCATACTGCCACATTTCCCATAATGGCAGGAGAAGAAGGAAGATTGGCTGCAATCGCAACAAAGTTAAAAGGAGTAATGGCAGCTACAAAACCTTCCAGTGGTCTATGCTCTGCTCTGTTCCAAACTCCCTTTACGTTTTCGGGAGGTTGAATATTATAGATTTCCTTAAGTTACCAAGTGAACGCTTCCTTCCCAGATGTATTGAATACACCAAATACCTCGGCAAACTTACAACCGAATCTCCAAAAGTCGATGGTTTCTACTGCTGCATCAATCTCTGCTTGCCACACTGTCTTGCCTTGTCCCAACATGACAGCAGCACAAGCTTCTGCTCGATATTGAGTACTCAATAGATCAGCGGCCTGTATACCACACTCTGCGTTATTGCTTCTTTTTCTAATTCAGTTGCTTACTTTTAAGAAGATGGAAAGTCTTTCATCGATGGGCATCGTTTCCCAATGTTTTTTGGCTTTCAAGGCTCCTCGAATAGCAGCTTCAACGTTTTCGTGATCAGCGTACTCAAACTCACATATGGTTTGTTGATGTTTATCAGGTCTTTGTTGTTTACCTATCTGTCCAGTTTTTACTTCTTTTCCGTTGATGACAAGTGGAATGTGGGGACATTCAGAGGAGACCTTTTCCAAAGCTTTTCTCAAGTTTATTCTTTCTGGCGATCCTACTGCATAATCGAGAAAAGGTTCATTATGGATGGGAGGAACTTTTGCTTTTGCACGAATACTAAAGTTGGAAAAGTTTCGGTTGAATAAAAGGCGAGTATGCCTAACTGCAAAGTTCCACAGCGACGACATTTTGATTATTTTAATTATGGGTCAAAACCAAAGTGGGTTTTCAGGTCCTCCAGGTTTCAACCAAGGAGGAGGAGGAGGAGGAGATAAGAAAGGTCAAGAAAAGAAAAAATATGAACCACCTACTGGGCCAACTAGAATAGGTCACAAGAAAAGAAAGTCAAGTGGTCCTGAAGCTGCTACTAGACTACCACCCATAACGCCAAGTGCTCGTTGTCGTCTACGAATGTTGAAACTAGAGCGAGTAAAGGATTATTTACTCATTGAAGAAGAGTTTATTACCAAACAAGAGAAAATAAGACCAAGAGAAGAGAAACATGAAGAAGAAAGGTCCAAAGTTGATGATATAAGAGGAACACCGGTTGGAGTGGGTACTTTGGAAGAAATAGTAGACGATAATCACGCCATTGTGTCTTCAGCAGTCGGTCCAGAATATTACGTGAATATGTGTTCTTTTGTGGATAGGGATCAAATTGAACCGGTAAGTATAGGTGAAATGCTCGAAAGTTGTTTGACTAAGAATGGAAAGGGTTGCACGGTACTCTTACATAACAAAGTTTTAAGTGTTGTGGGAGTGCTGGCTGATGATGTGGACCCCATGGTGTCCGTTATGAAGGTGGATAAGGCTCCTTTGGAAAGTTATGCAGATATTGGCGGTTTGGAAAAACAAATACAAGAAATCAAGGAAGCTGTAGAACTTCCTTTGACTCACCCCGAACTATATGAGGATATTGGAATAAGTCCTCCAAAAGGTGTCATATTATATGGGGAACCAGGAACTGGAAAAACCTTATTGGCTAGAGCTGTGGCAAATAGCACTTCAGCAACTTTTCTTCGTGTTGTAGGTTCCGAACTTATTCAGAAATACTTGGGAGATGGTCCCAAATTGGTACGAGAATTATTTCGAGCTGCAGAAGAAATGGCGCCTTCCATAGTGTTCATTGACGAAATTGACGCTATTGGTACAAAGCGATATGAAGCAACTTCTGGTGGTGAACGTGAAATACAGCGTACTATGTTGGAATTGTTGAATCAATTGGATGGGTTTGACTCGAGAGGAGATATCAAAGTATTGTTAGCAACCAACAGAATTGAAACACTGGACCCAGCTCTTCTTCGTCCTGGTAGAATTGACCGAAAGATTGAGTTTCCATTTCCAGATGAGAAGACTAAACGTAAAATATTTCAGATTCATGCTGCGAAGATGACACTTGCAGATGACGTCAACTTGGAAGAGTTGGTAATGACCAAGGATAACTTGTCTGGTGCAGATATCAAAGCTATTTGTACGGAAGCTGGTTTGATGGCATTACGTGAACGACGTATGAAAGTTACTCAGGACGACTTTAGAAAGGCTCGTGAAAATGTTTTGTATAAGAAGAATGAGGGAGTTCCTGAGGGACTTTATCTGTAAGTTTTTGTCTGATTTATGCAACCAAACACAACTACTTGTGGAAGACCTATTTAGTCATAGTAAAGTTCTAAACCCATTCCATCGTGAATTTCGTAGTCCCTAAAACCAAGTCACTATGGGATACAGAACTCAAGTTCCAACATACGCCAAGGAAATATGGTCCTTGTAAACAGTGTACCACTTTTGTATTCTAATCTTCTCAGGTCTTGTTCCTGTTTGAGCTGCAATAAGTTTCTTCAAATCTCCTAAAGGAAACCGTTCATCCTCTTCTTCACAAATATATATATACAGTTTGTGTACAATACCAATGGTATCGTCTGGATTGCACTTGACCCGAATTTTCCTTCCTAAAACCCTTTTGAGTTTATTCATTTCCTGCAAACAAAGTTTACCTAGCCTATCGTTACAAATAACTTCAATCATAGTAAAGAGCACTAGAGAAACCGTTGTAAAGCCCAATAATAATGAATAATGGTCTTACGATGAATCATATTGACCCAGTCGTCGTGCTGCTTTTGCAAATGTTTTAAAAGTTGAAATATTACCAATATGACGAACAGGGTTAGGAACTTTGACAAACGTGGTTAAATGAAGTTTTCTACAGTATTCTTCAATCAACCAATCCACTGGTTGCTTTTGGAACTGTCTTTTAATAAAAGCACTCATATTGTTCATCAAGTTTCTAGGATACAATCTTGCCACAGCGTTGTACGACAATAAAGGCCCACCATCCGTTCTTTGTTTGATATCATATAAAGAAATAGAACATACTCGTCGCCACTTTGATCTTTCCATCCAACCAGGAAGCGCCTCATAAAAAGAAGGAAAATGAGAATTGAACACAGCGTCATCTTGAAGAAGAAGAAAGAAAGTTGTGGATGGATTAGCTAACTTTTCACAATTCTCCATAGTCCTGGCATAGTCGATGGCTTCCTTACATCGCCATTCATAATAGGTCTTATTCTCTATTGCTGGAAAACATTGTGGTAGGAGTTGAATAAAAATCTTCTTTCTACAGTGAAAAGGAATAGTCAAATCCTCATTCCAATAGGGGTTTAAGTCATGATCGTCTAGTTGAAAAATAAAAACTCGGTGGATGTCTTGGGCAACTCTTGGATAGCGCTGACATAATTGAAAGAAAGAATAAATGACTTGAGCGAGGTAAAACGTTTCTCTTTTCACCGTTGGAATGCATATAGTGGTAACCGTCAACGTTTCTTTTCGCAACTCGTTGGTTAGCCACGATGAAAACAACTCGTATACTGGATATAACAACAAAACCAAAAAGGAAACCAATAAGCTACTGGTGAATGACATTCAAATAAAAGTATGGACAGAACAACTCTAGAAGCGCCTTTATCATAAAGTAGAACTGAACCAGCCCTCGATCCTCCTCCTTCCCCTCCTCCTATGGCAACTTGAAATTGATGATTGTTTTTCAAATGATGCATAGGAGCTCAATGATGATTGCAGCATTCAACAAGTCCTTTATGGTAGATAAACTTTGTTGATGAAATAGCAAACCGATTGAGGAAATTGGGTAAAGATTTCATGATCTTTTGAAATAATAGAGCTATGGAATATCTTTCAAGAACAATAGGAAACTTTTCAGAAAGTGACGGCAACTCGATGATTTTTTCATTATGGTCTTGTTGTTTTGCGAGTGATAAGACAACCACTCAACGCTCTCCAACAACAAAATATATTGCTACTCCGTTCCTAAAAAGAGAATGTCCAATAGACTTGCTATGAGAGAGTCAAATCAAATCAAAGAGAAATGAAGATTCCGCCTCCCAATACGAGAGCCAACGACGTGATTGGCTCTGCTGTAATCTCCCTTTGATAGGAAGGTTTTCTGTGTTGCTCCCAAGAGTTGGCGCCGGTTGAAGTTGTATATCATAGCCCAATAGATTCTACAGAAAGCAGAATATTTCACCGTTATCGTTGAGTTTCCAATAGAGAAAGTAAACTTTGGTTCTAAAAAGCAGTAACTTTTAAAAGTAGCTCTCGGAGGGTTCAAGTTTATTGAAGAGAAATTATTGAACAGAGACAGCGATTATTATCCATTGCTTTGCTGTCAACTTTTATGAAAGCTAGCCAAGTATTAGCTTCCCAACTGTGTGAACTTTGTCAAAGTGCAAACTCCAGTATATATTGTGAAGAAGATGATGTATTTTGTTGTGATCAGTGTGACGTTGAATATCATACTTCCACCGCAGACAAAGAATGTCATCTAAGGTATATTTTATAAAAAATTTTAGTAAACATTGGAAGCTAATCACTTTATTTTTAGAATTAGTTTTTTGTGTGAAAGACTGTCCGCCTTTCGAGGACCTTGCAATCCCGCCTTGTATCAAGTACCTACTTGTTCTAAGGAAATGTGCCATTTGAGGGAAGTGATAACTCACATGATTGCCGAACATTGCTCCAAGAATATGAAGCATGATGAGGCAGATATTCTATCTTCAGAGAAAGTTGTCTTAGAGAGTCCTCATATGAAGCCAGTGTCGGGCAACAGTTCTATCCTAGACTCTCCCACTTTTTCGTTAAGCTCAACTTTAGATAGTTGGGTTGATGAGGAATATCCATTTTCCAGTTTTTCCTCTTCTTTGGAAGGCGACGACATGGGCTCATTGTTTTTTCAAGTAGCCAATTATGAAGACAGCGATAAATGTGCAAATGTAGATTCATTCCTTACGAGTGAAGATGGTACAGACAAGCAGGATATAGAAAGTTCTTCTAATGTGCAATCAATTGTTGGTCTGGAAGAAAGTATTTGTGCAGTAACAACATTCCCAAAGTTGGCAAGACCAACGGAGAGTTTATCAGACAGCTATGAAAAATTGAATCGACAAAAGGCAATGTGTCGATTGAGAGAGAAACGTATGCGAATGAAGGTCAACTGCAACACAGGACGAAAGATCCGATATTACTGTCGTAAACAATTGGCAGAGCGTCGATGTCGCTTTAAAGGTCGATTCATCAAAAATACTGCTTCGTGAGATAGTTTCAGTATCTTGTTGAGTTTAATAATTTTTAAGAATGCCTTTATAGTCTTTTTTCATAAATAAAAGTGTGAGAATGTTTAGGTAATGACTTGCAAGTTATTCTCCATCGGAATTGGACCTCTTCTGTTTTTTCCTACACTTTCATTTTATTCCGATTCTGTTGAATCAAGAGAGAAATATTTACCTTGTTTCACTTTTTAGTTTCTTATATTGACGATAACATTGATTATCAGTCCTATTCTTCATGAATGATGCTACAAGAGACCATTTTCCTGTTCCCATTCTAATGCAAATTCATACTTCTCTCTCAATCGATAAATCATACTTACTCTTGAGTAAGTTGTAACAAACGTTCATTTTCCTCATGGGTCCAAGGCTGATGACTCAATGAGGGTTTCAAAACGTCAGTATATCTTTCTCGACATTGTAAATCCGTTCGTCCAGGAACCATTTGAGCTATTTGTGACCAATGACCTTCTCCATATTTTACTACTGCTTTGCGTAGCAGTTCATCTTCTTCTACTGTCCATTTGCCATGATGAATATTCGGACAAAGACCCTATTCCATTCACTCTCTCCATATCTATCTATATATTCAAATCTCACTTACTCTTCTCCAACGATGAAGACATTGTTGACGAGTTCTTCCAGGAACATTACACGATACAAGTGACCACTGCTTTGTACCATATTTCTCTATAGCTGCCAAAAGTTTCATATCTTCTTCCATCGTCCATTTACAAGTCAAACAAGTTGGTCGAAGAGTTCGTTGATATCGACAAAAATATTGCCATGGACTTCGACCTGAATTCACTCGATTGGCTACTTGAACCTTTTAAAAGTTGAATGAGATCCTGTTGCTTTCCATTTCCATTACTTACCCAACTATGTTCTCCAAGTTGTTGTACTGCTTGTAATATTTCTTCATCTTCTTCTTTGCTAAATGAGTCCTTTCGATAAAAGGAAGCTCCATAATTGACCCAATACAGTCTTACATCATCCACTTGAACATTCTCTATAAGTTAACATGTAAGAATTCGATCCAATATGTGTTCAAAGCAAAATACTTACTAGATAACTTGCTTGTATTCTGCTCAAGTAACCCCACCCATTTTTCTCTACTCCAATGCACTGATTGATAACTAGCATCCAATAAGCTCATCTCAGATATTTCCTTAATCTTGTTTCGAAACTCATGATGGCCAATCACACCCTTTGTTAACTCATCAACCAATTCCTGATATCTTTCTTCTTGTGCACTTCTTATGACCATCTTTTCCAATACTTGTTGAAAGTTTCTCGGACGAAAGGATTTCTCAAATGAAATACCCAATTCCTTACGTTTCTGAGAGCCCACTCGCTCCGTATCTGAATGCCGCTTTGGTTCAAGAACTAGTAGTAGCCATGGAAACATAATATTATGATGAGCCAAAGTACTTGATATGATGAATCACTAACCTTCCCTACGACCTTTTTTCACGATTTCAACACCGCAAAATGGAACGTATCCTTTGAATAGGTTAGAAGAAGAAAATCCTAGTCGCTGAATAAAATAGTTGGCATATTTAAACAATGCCGTAGTATACGGTGGATGCTCTAAGCTATGAACAGCATTCTTTTGAGAGTTGGTTCTTATCCAACTCCAATACCACGGCATTGAAGTCCTACTACCGTGACTAACGGAAGAACCATTATTCTTCTGTTGTTGTGATAGGGTGTCCAGTTTCTGAATGGAATCAATTTTTTCCAAACAGTCTTCCACAGCCTGCAACTTTCTACGGTTTAAAAACAAAAGATAAGAAAGATAATGACTATCTTCCGTTCCAAACGCAGAATGGGATGGACGAGAAGAACTATCGACAGATAAGTTATGTACATCAAAGGTGGCTAAACAAGAAGACCTATGTTCCACCTCTCTAGATGCTATATCTATAAGGCTTTCACAGAACTTGTCGACTGCACAATTCGACAATATTCTTTCGTCGTTTCTTTGCAACTTTTCTAAATGAGACGACGTAATAGAATCAACGCCAGGACCCAACTCTATCAACGACTTGGTTCCTTGTTCTACATAGAAAAGTTTAAGACTTGAAAAAAGTATAGTTCTATAAATTACCTTCCATTGGTCTCCACAGGTTTTCAGCTACCAGTTCTTCCTCCAGAGGACCGGTGGTAACTTGCTGAGTGGAGAATATAGAGGAGTCTGCGCCATCATTTGCAAGCTCGGCAACACTGTCAGCTATCTCTTGAAAAGTTGACAAGTGGGGTTCTAGAGGTTGGAAATTTTCTTGCCACTTGGAAAATAACTGGTTTAGTTCTTCTCCAAGCTGTCGACTCGAGTGATCATCCATGATTCGTTTTGACTCACAAAAATGTGGTTACGATACACTCAAGACTTGGTTGGGAAACAAGGAAGTGGTCCTTTTCAAAGACAAGTTTCTGAGCCTCCAGTTTTCTTATATCAGAAAGACCAAACGAATCCTATAGTATTGAAAGGGATTGTATTGAGAGGCTATCAAAGAGGAAGGCAGCTACTTGGTTGTCCAACTGCCAACCTTTCTGTAGAACCCTATCAAGAGCTTCTACAGTCTCTGGATTGTGGCATCTATTTTGGTTGGGCAAAGTTACAAAGGTTTGATTATATGAATATTTTTATCAGTTCTTAGCACACGAAATTTGTAGCAAGTTACCAGTGTATAAGACTGTCGTTTCGGTTGGATGGAACCCTGTGTTTGAAAACGACCAGAAAACAATAGAGGCACATCTTATGGCAGACTTGGAAGATTTTTATGGACAACATTTGTCGTTGTTGTTATTGGGTTTTATACGTCGCGAGTTTAAGTTTTCTTCCATTCCGGCACTCGAAGCTGCCATCCGGGAAGATAAATGGGTTGCAGAAAGGGTTTGTTGTACTTGAAGGCAGAAAGCAGTGAAAGTTTTCACATTGTTTTTGTATTATAGGCTTTGGAATTGGAAGACTGCATAGTTTACAAGTCCCAGTGGGAAAACACATTAGAATGAGAGTGCTTTATACGTTTTGATAGTCATCCACTAAGCCTTGGGTAATAACTGTGGTCTTACACTCTGGATGTTGTGCCAACCAATGAAAACACTTCTCAAACTCTAGAGGAGGTGCACCTTTTACGGTGGTGTTATCATCCAGTCGAAAGGCGTGGGAGTGAAACTCTACCAATAAATAGTCGATCACACCACACAACATGTTTCTCATTAGCAATTGACGAAGAATGGAATATTCTTCTCCTTCTACATCCATCTGTACTATCACTGTTTTAGCTTTTCTTCTATCTTTACATGATCGAAAGGAACATCCCAACACTTGAGCCAAAAAGGAGGAAAAGTCGATACCATATACTTGAATAGACTTTTTCCCACTCATCCAAACATCTCTATGACTAGCAATCAATGAAGAACCCCAAAAATTGTGTTGATAGGAATTTTCATCGAGATAAAAAGGAACGAGACCATTTTGGGTAGTAACCACAGTTTCCGTAAATATTTGAATGCGTTTGGTTACAGAACCAAGAAACTTTTCAAGGTTCGCTAGTTTTTCCTTGAATCGGGGATTACCTTCAAATCCATAGATACAAAAGTCCTTTGCTTGCCATTTATGCTCCCTTACTATTTTGGCAAGGTATGAGTGACGATACTGATGATTGTAGGGGTCCACAAACTTTTCTATGGAATCTCCTACATTGCTTCCCAAATCAATAAAAATATGAGAACAGTGACTAGAACGTCTCCATACAACTCCAATCGATAGGATAAAAAATAGCAACAAGATAAAGAATGGTAGGGAAACTGGTTGACCGCTACTAAATATCCATCTGGGTAATATCCCTAGTTTCTGATAACGTTTAATAATGTGACAAAGCCAACTCCATTGATTTCTTAGTTTGGAACTCTTTATATGAGAGGTGAAGGACTCTTCCGAAGAGGGTTCCATTTGTTGTCAACTGATTGCCAATTCAAAATTGAACCGAATTTCATTTTTCTTATTAGCAATTTTGGATTTTTCCATTCCGCCATTTATAATTGGCTCAAAAAGAATTCAAAGCAATTGTCATAAAAATTAAACTTTTATACTTCCATACAAACGCGATTAACCATCTTCTTCATGAGAAGGAGAATCTGATTTTTGTACAGAATAGCCGTTGCTTTCCGAGTTGTTTTTTGACTCGCTCAAACGCGATGTCTCTTTTCCAGTGTCTTCCTTGGGTACACCTTGGAAGGAGGTCTCCTTGGACTTTTGCAGCTGCTGGTATACAAGTGCTCCTACAAGCATTGCCCCAGTTACGACTTGATTAGCCTGCTCTTCAGGACGACTAAAGAAACTGACTAGCATGGGACCAGGACAAAATCCTCCCAAACCCCAACCAGCACCAAAGAGTGCGCCACCAATAATCAGATTCATATCGACTTCTGCGGCACAAGGAATATATGACTGCGAACATAGAAGAGGACGATTATTTCTTTTTCTCAAAAATGAAAAGGCAGACAAGGATACAACAAGAGCAGAGCCCATTACAAAAGCTAAACTTGGGTTCCTGTGCAAAGTTACTTCTTCATATTGGTCCTTCTATGGTTGATCAATACTTACCAATATGGACGAGTAAAATCAAGAAAACGAACTACTTGGATTGGATTGGTCATACCAGCCACGCCCAAACCAATTGCAAATAAATATCCTGTAGATGCACCAATAATTGGAGAAGCAAACTCATGAACTTTCTTAGGAATGTTTGCATCTAGAGAGAAACTAGCACCGACAATTCCCATCAATGAAAGTATTGCTGGTGTTGCAAAACTGACGAAGCTTTTCAAAAGACTCTTATCGGGAGTAAAGAGATCTCTGGTTACAAGAGAACCAGCTCCATATGCACTAACGCTTTTAGTCAAAATGGCTGTTAGGGCACCACTGGTCATGAACACAAGTACGTTTACTAGAGACCTTTTCGATAACCGACCAAGTCCACATACACCGTGGCCACTAGTGCAACCACTATTTCGAGAGCATTACTTGTCAATTTCAAACTGAAACAACCAATCTTACCTTCCCAGTCTAGTACCAAAACCAACTAATAGACCTGCAGCAGCCAATCTCAACGGAGAAACTAACCCAGATACAATTGGAACAGTACTTGGCAAGAATTTCCTCAATATCCAACCGCCCCCTGCCAGTCCTCCAAGAAAGGATAATCTCCAACGCAAGCCTGACTGTTTGGCAAGGACACCACCGACAATACCACTTATACCTGTTACCCTTCCAAGAAGCACAGCGTTCACGGCAACTGAAAAGCCTATGGCAAGTCCACCGCAGATGGCCTCAATAACACCCGGCATACCAGAATCCACAAATTGAATAGCTTAGAAAAGTGACGAGCAGAAACCAATTTTCATTCTCTGCACGTGCACGAACCATTCAGTGATAAATGTCGTTTGGACACTCTTCTAGAGGCATCTTCTAGTTGTTATGAATGTCGCTCTATTACAAATCCTACATCTATCATTAGGTTTTTGTATTGGACCAGTGAGAACGAAAGTTTTTCATATGCGAAAAGAATTTAAAAAATGCAGTAAAGTATTCTCTTCTAAAAAAGAACTTTTCCTCAAAGAAGCGCATTCTTTTAGTACACGCTGCTCAATTTTTCACTCTTCTTGGTCTAGCAACAGGAGTTTTTACACTGTTCTTACGTTCGTCAACCAATGCTTGTGATAGTCTTGTTTACCAAGCGAATAGTAGCACTACTCGGAGAATTTGCCAGTCGGTATGTTTGCTATCTTTTGTTCATTTTTGTGATCGTCCGTTTGAAAGCCAAACTTTCTACTGTTGGCTCATACACTTACTTCCTATTACTGGTATGTGGAAAAAGAAATGAACAAGTCCGTTAAAAGTGGTATAAAAGAATAGCTCTCGTCCATGAATAACTCGTACAACAGGATTATGGTATAAAGTTCCTATTTCCAACGAATATTGCAAGGTAAACGGTGTAATCAACTCAAGGATAGTCATATGTGAGTTCCAGTCCTTGGATATTATGACAAAGTATATCTCTTTCCTGGAATAGAGTACACTGCGAAAAAGGGATAACACAACTAGTTGGTTTGACATATTTTCTTCTGGGAATATGTCTTTCAAAACGTAATAATTCTATAGACAATCTGTTCATAGGAAGCTATCCCTCTATTGGCAGCTTACAAAGACTATATCGTGTTCTGTATGTGTATAAAGTCAAAACTACTCATACAAAAAATGATATCAATTATGAAAATAACCTTTTGCCTAGCAATCCACAACAAAGGAAAATATTTAATGATCTATACACAGCCCAAATGAGATACTTGTTCATCATCCATTCATTTGCAGATTGAGATTCTCTTTTGGGCTCATGGCATGCACTTTCGTTACTCCATCCTTTTGCTCTCATAGTAACTCATATGCTCGTTACAAGTTACAAAAACATAGGGAAACTTCAAGATATGGTCGCAATGACACAACATTAGGTTTGGTTTGCAGGAAGGAGGCACTTAATCAACCATCTCTTCGGACAACTCGACGAGAGGCAATTGGCACACTCTTGTCCACTGCGGCATTGGGACTTACTCTCCCTATGTTACTTGCCGAGAAAGTCACTATTGATAAACCAGAGCAGTTACGAAAGGACGTTGAGGTAAGGATCCTTAGATAAACCAATAATATCTGTATGAACACTTCTAGTCTTTGAAATACGATGAAGAACTCATCTTAAATCCTGATCCTGCCGAAAAGGACCCACTGAGATATAAACCTCCCCCCAAAGAGCCTGAATATCGAAAACAAGAACAACAACTTATCAAATCTGAGGAGGAGAAATATCAAAATATGGTAAAAGAAGAATTAAAAGAAGAAAGTGAACTTCGTTCCAAGTTTGGCAAGTCCAAAAAGTAAACGCAGGTTGCTACAATAATCTTTCGTTAACAAAAACAATAAAATTCTCTCGTGTCTCTTGTATCATTTATCCAAGTCAAAAACAGATATGTCTTCAAGAATACGCAATGGAGCGGAACAATCCAGTCACTGAAACTGACAGTTGACCTTACGAGTACGTTGAAGAGCAAAAAACCTACTATAAAAACGTCGAATACAAATCGCAATCAAATCGCGCTGTTCCGAAGTTGCTGCTCGAAATACAAAAGTATGTGTCAGTGTGAGTTGGAAACTTAAAGGATCCATATCATCTAAACGAATACCAGGATCAGCTGCCCAGCTTTTCTTCTCCTCCGTTATCCAGATACCTCCCACATCCTCTACTATGCTACTACTGCTGGTATTTGTTGCGTTAATATTATTTCGGTCATGACTAGTTTGTTTCTGAACTTTTAGTTTAGTGGAGCTCAAAAATATACCTCGACGTTCTCCTGTCAGTTCATCTTCCACTAAAAACGCCTTTTGTCCTTCAGATATCCACTGAGACACTTTTCTGTCCATTTCAGGATCCGTAGAAATAATATCAGTGACTGCATTGGGTCGCTCTCCTTCGCTCATATGATTGTTGTATCTACTGGATTCTTTCAGTTGAATTTCTACAACCAAACGGTGACCAATATCGTCTGCAGTTGTTACATATTGCATTCCGACAGTACGCAAAGCTGTTCGATCAATCATGTTACTTCCACGAGGAAGACGATACCAACCAATAATCACATTATTGGATACTCTGTCTCTGTCCATATAAAGCTCCGCTTCCCGAATATCTTCAAAAGGGGAGGCAAAAAGTGTTCTTGAATTGTAGAATTCGCCATGAATATATACACGATCCCAAGAGACCTCCTGAGCAGATTGCGAAATTTCATCCCCAACCGCCTGAACATTTTTAGCAGCACTTGCATGTTCTACTGGTGGGTAGGGAGGAGAAGTAACTGAAGACTGCTTACGCTGTTCATCATTTCTAGTAGTACTGCTTAAAGGATATGCCCAGTCTGAGGAAACAGTATTTACTATAGAACCTCTTACGGATGAACTAGCACCTGAAGCACTTGCTTGTTCTCGAGCTGACGAAGACTTGTAATGTGACGATGAGGGCTCCAAACGATCAAATACACCGTTCATACTACGGGTAGTACCGACTGAACGAAGCATATCGGCTCCTGTTCCGCCTCTATCATCAACTTTCTTTCGTGTTGTATTAACTTGTGTATTCGCGTCTCCTTCGTGAACTAAGGGCGACTCTATATCGAGTTGATTCGTGGAGACTGATGGAGAAACGAATAGTGTCCAGTTCATTTTCAGGTTTCCCTTTGATATTATTCACTTCTAACATGTTTCTCTCACCATCATCTGTCTCCAATACAGACTCCTGAGTACTGTGGCTCTGTGCCTCCGAACTCTTGGGCGGCTTAGGAGGTTTTGTAGGGCTTTGTCTTCGCTTACGTTGTGACTTTGAGGTAATGGTTGGATCAGCAGAGTTATATGGGGAATAAGTTGCAACACGATCTGAACTCGATATACTTTCCGTCTTGCTTGCACTAGTACTTGTATTGCGACTTGAATTTTTAGAATCCGCAATAGCCTTTGAAAGAACAGAAATAACTTCATTTGCTTGAGCCAGAGCACTTTCCATATGAGCATTAAAAGTTTCCATTTGTGATAAAGTGCTTTCTTTGTTTACGGCCTGGAATCGAATCTCTTCACATTGATCTTTGAGAACCTCTAAAAGTTTCGCTTTAGAACTACAGTCAGACACTAGCTTCTCCTTCAACTTGCTCGCTGTGGCAATTCTACTTGTAGCTTGAGAACTACGGAACTCACAATCCTCCAAAACACGATCTAGGGAGTCAAAATTTTCGTCTAGAGTTTGTAACTCTTGTCGTAGCTTGAAAACTTCTTGTTCCAAGCATTGAGCTTCCGACTCCGCTTCCTGATATTCCTTTTTCATTTGTTCTGCTCTTTCAATGACAGGAATTATCAAATCCTTTTGTTCTTTCAATCTTTTTAGTTCCTCACGGGCATGATTACAGCGTTCATGTGCAGAGCGGAGACTAGCAGAATCATCTTCGATGGTCTTCAATGCCACTTCATAACGTTGCTTCGCATCAGGACCAGAAAATAAACTAATTCCCGTCTTTGCTACTTGCAAGCGTCGTTCCAAAGCATCAGCAAGAGTAGTCTCTGCTTCTATAGCAACATTTAACGCTTTCAAATGATTTTCCAATAACGACATTGCTTTTGCAGCTCCTAACCTCTGAGTTTCTTCTCTTGCAGCAGCTTTGCCATATTCAGCTACATTTTCTTCAAGTTTTGCCATTTCCGCATCCATTTGCGCCAATTCATCCATAAGTTTCTCACAAAGCGTAGCTTTCTCTGAGGAAACCAAATCCAAACTTTCTAAACGCTCTCTGACAATACTCAAGTACGAGTCATCCTCTTCTCTTGCTTTACGAAAATAGTCCAGGTCTCTGGCGAGTTCATCGAAAGCACTCTTGATTTCTGAGGCTTGTCGCTTTCTTTCTTGAACAACACCTATCCAATCATCCAAATTGCTTGTTTCATTATTATAATATAAAGGGCTATGTTCAGTTAATGTTTTTCTACTGCTGATTGAGGTTCCTGAACCTTGTCTTCGATGTTTTGAGGCGGAAACAGATACCATCTTTGAACAATTTCTCTCCGATTCGTCTGACACTATTTTATCTACACCACCTTTAGTTTCCTCATCCTTTAAACGGTATTTAACTTCCATATCGTTGTTAACAGCGAAAGTTGTGTTGTTCACACTATCAGTTAAAGCTACAGAATCGGAGGTAGAGTTTGTACGAAACGGACTTCTTGCTCTTCCTCCCTTTGAGATGTAAGAAGCGGAATAAGCCTTTGGTTCTTGTGCCAATACAGGAGAGTAGGCTTCCCAGTCCTTTGCACTTGCAGTCTTACGTTCAGTTGTTCTATCGTTTGACCAAGAAAGCAAAGCGGTACTTGACCCCAACCTCCCCAGTTCAGACAGGTAAGGAGAGCCACAATATCCTTCATATTGTTCTGACTTGGAATCAGCCTTCCTTTCCCCTGTATCTGGTTCTATCACTGCTCTCGCAACTCTACTGGAACTTGGTCTTCCTTCTCCTATAGGACTTGACCACGAATGGGTTGTCTCTGAGGTAGTAGAAGGTATTCGAATCTTTAAGTCCACGTTGTTTCTCTTTTTGGTGGTAGAAGAAGAAGTGTCTCTGGTGAGTAGGGGTGACGAAGCTCCGGTCTGCATTTTTCTCCAGCTATTTTCACCTTGAGAAAAAGTGGTTTCTTGTTTCCGTGGAAAATAGACGGTATTTTCTTCTTTTTCTGTTTGCATCTTTACAACTACTCGTTTTCTATCTTCATAATGATACAACTCAATGGCGGTTGAACACACAATTGGAGCGCTTTTTTTTTCTTAGAGAGAGAGAGAGAGAGAAGGGTCCGCAATTCAATTCCTCGATGAATTTTGGGGTCAAATGAAATAAATGGCCAATGCCACGTTGACTGGAAAAACCGTTTGGGATGGGAGGGTTTAAGAGCCATATTTCGATATCCTTTCGTACCCAACCGTCACAACTCGTTTATTTCTTGTTGGTAGCTTTACCAATAAAGCTATCCAGCTTGGATTTCAGTTCCTGTCGTGAACCACTAAACAACGCATATCGCCAAATAAACCAACCCGAATATCCTAAACCAACCTAAACTCGTTGTTATAGTCTAAAAAAGAATATAATTATGACTAACTAGTTCGAAAATACTCGGTAACAGTGGAAGTCGATCCAATGCAATTACAACCGCGTCTAATATATCTATTGCAATAATGATACCCACTGTTGCAGCAAGCAACTGGGCATAAAAAACAGGTCTATTCAGAATATCCTGTGCTACATCTTGTACTTTGGAGTTAAACTTGGTGGGATCGGAAAGCCAACTATTTTGGACTGAGGGAATGCTAGAAAAGGACTGCTTCAACGTTGAAGCCTGTAAAGTTAAGTAACCTAGAGTAACTAGTCAAAATGGCTACCGACCTCTTCACCAGTAGTAGTCCTTTGAAAAGGTTTGCTCTCTTCTGTCTTGCCAACATTCTATGAAGAAAGTGAATTTTAGAAAGTTGACGAAAACTTGAAGTCACACATACGCTAGTTGAAGGCGAAGACTTGTCTACTGCAACTAAAGTCGTTTTGCATAGTTGGGTGTTCACGCGACGGAAATCTGAAAAGGCATACTTTAGGACTATTCAATATGACCTAATGATCTTACTTTTCTGTAGTTTCGTGACACAACTATTAGGTGTCTTTTGAGAATAGCGCCACACTAGAGAGGAAAAAGGAGTTGCACTCACAAAACCACAAATCATTTCTAGTCACAACACCTGAGAAAGAGAGGAAGATCACTTTGTGATTTCCATGATTCATAGTTTTGTTGTTCGAGATGTATCTTTGTTGTTATACAGATACCGTTGCAACATATAAAGTCACTGTTGCTTTTAGGAAAGTGAATTCGGTATTTGATAGAAAGTGTGCTTGTAGAAAACAGTCTTGTTGTTTTCGTTCACTTCGTTGTGGAGCAGATAAACCTTCGTGGGAAAAGTTAACCTCTGCAAAAGAATTGGTTGAAAAACTAAAACGTTTAGATCCCCAGAAAGACTCCAAGCTTTATCAACAACTAAAAAGTAAAATTCGGCATATCTCAAAATCGATTCCTCTCCAGGTAGACCACGAACCAGTCTCCGTTATTTACGAGGATGATCACGTGCTGGTGGTATGCAATTTCTAGCAGAATTTCTTTTTCTCCGCAAGTTATACTGTGTAGGTTAATAAACCATCAGGTCTCAGTATGTCCCCAAAACACCGTTTTTTGGGTGGCACACTTTTGAATCGTTTGATAGGCTATCTTGGATATACTCCCCACGTATGTCATCGGCTGGTAAGAAAAGTTTTCAAATGAAGTTGTTTACACTAATACAAAAACTGGAAGGATATGGAAACTTCTGGAGTGGTAAGAAAAACCCAAGTTTTCAAACTAGAATATCCATCTCACTTATTAAGGTGCTATTTGCAAAACATCCAACAAGTGCTCGAAAAATTCATCAACAGTTCTGTATGCATCAAGTAGAAAAATTGTATCTAGCAATAGTTTATGGTAAACCTCAACAAACTTATTTCGAAGTTCGTGCCCCTATAGCATTAGACCCTGAACGCAAAATATCCAGAAAAGTTTCCAATAATGGCAAAGAAGCAATCTCCCAATTTCTATTAGTCGACAGTTGCAAAGAATTTAACTGTTCTCTTGTCATTGCGATGCCTCTGACAGGAAGAACTCATCAACTTCGAATCCATCTACACCATGCAGGGCATCCAATCGTTGGAGACTTGTTGTATCAGGATACTTCGAAATACAGAGACGTCACAAAAAATTATATGAATGACGAGCCAAGAGCCTATTGCTGGAAGAAACTAAAACTGCACGCATGGAAACTGCGCTTCCTTCATCCCCTTACAGGCGAACAGCAAACATATGAAGCATTTCTTGAACGAGAATTTATCCAATTACTTGACTTGTTACGCCTTCCAACACCTCGTAAGTGCTCAAGAGAAACTTGCCAAAGCTTCTAACCAGTATCTAGGTGATGAAGTACTGTCTACTCAGATGTCTTTGTTCCCTTCCTTTTCAAAGTGGATAAATAACGTTTAGGAAATTGACTAGTTATCGCTTTTCTTGTTGCCTTTTACAAGAGTTGAAACTGCAGTTTTGGCGCTGTCCATAGCTTCTGTAGTTTGTCGCAACATTCTTTTGGAAAGTTTCTCTCCAAATAACCTTGTATTATCTATATATTGCGCTCTTAATAACGTATCTGTCAATGACTGACAATGCTGTAAATAACGCTTCCAAAAACTCTGTACTCGGACAGCTAATGGATACAACTGTGCTTTTGCTTGATGGGAGACAGCTACTATAACACTCGGAACTGTCACGATAGAAAAACTTAAAGGCCTCAAAGTTTCGTCATTTTGTTTTTTTGTATTTTTATCTTTGGAAGGTGAAGTTTCGGGATCTGTTGGACCTTGAGATGGTAGTGACTTTGTGGGTTCCACAGAGTCCTCCGTTTTTCCTTGGTTTCCTGCCATATCTTTCAACAGACTGACCAATCCATGAGAGTCACTACACTCAGACGTGGAACTCTGCGACATTCTCCAATGTTATGTGAAGTCAATAAGGAAACCTCCGTCCGCCACACCCACGAAAATAATAATAAACACGAAGAAATTGGAACTTGCAAATCTCGGAAGAGCTTTATGATAGGATTTACTCAACCTTTGCGTCCCGTTAGCAATAATAATAATAATAATAATCGTTATTCATATTCCTGCTTTGCAACTACCAGTACTTGTTCCAGTTTCATCTCATACCGAAATGTATCTTTGCGAACTCAATTTCGGGTACCTGTTTTTCCTTTTGTTGTGTTGTGTAGTGCCAATTCTTTTTATGACTTTATGGTGGAACCTGTTCCTGGAGATGAACTAGCACGGACTATCAGCTGCAACGGAAAAGTTTCATTGAAAAGTCTAGTAGCAACAGGACTGGTGGATGGAGCTGCAAGGATTCAGGAAACAAAACCTGTTGCTACTGCTGCCTTGGGACGAACACTTATCTGTGCTCTGTTACTAAGTGCCGGAAAGAAGAGCGATGAAACGGTAAATATAGAATTCCGAGGAAGTGGTCCTTTGAGGACGGTAGTTGCCGTTGCAGATGGTTTGGGTCAAGTTCGAGGTTATGTAGGTGACAGAAATGTGGATCTCCCACCAAACAGAAAAGGCAAGTTGGATGTCAGCAGAGCAATAGGTGAAGGGATAGTAAGGGTTACTAGAAACCACTATACTTGGAAGCAGCCTTACCAAGGTCTCACACGTATTGTTTCTGGTGAAGTTGCCGAGGACATTGCCAACTACCTTTATCAAAGTGAACAAATTTTCTCTGCAGTGGCTGCAGGAGTTTTCGTCAAACCAGATGGCTCAGTTTCTGCTGCCGGAGGTTATTTGGTGCAGTTGCTTCCGGGAGCTTCAGAAGAAACTCTAAAATTATTAGAAGAAACACTTTATTCATTAGAGTACAGTCCAACAGAAATGATTCGCTTAGGTATGAACTCCACAGATATCGTGAACAAACTTGCAGAAGGATTGAATATTCAACAAGTTCATAAAAGTAGACCTTTGTATCGTTGTCATTGCAGTATCGACCGCGTTGAAAGAACTGTTGCTCTGCTACCAAAAGATGAAATTGATCAACTAGTTGCATCCATTGGTACATTGCAAGTGAAATGTGAGTTTTGTAATCGAACGTATCAATTGACGCCTCCCGAAATAGAACAAATCTATCAAGACAGAAAGTAAATGATCTGTACATTGTTTGCTTATGTAAATAACAAACCCATCAAATGAATACTTTAGGATAGCTTATTAGCACTCTGTTGGAAGTTTTGGATTTTGGTGAAGTATAGAAATTCTATCTTTGCAACCAGCAAAGACAAACACCCGACCGCTACTAGATCCTCCAATTATCATTTCTGTAGTTGGATGGACAGCAAGTCGCGGAATGATAGTTGTCAAGTTTTCTTGAGATAGTCGACTCGTTTCCAAAGACTTTCCCATATGAAATAGATCTATTCCTCTTGGCTTTTCCATACTGCCACAGAGAAATAGATTGTCACTTTGTGGATCCCATTCAGCTGAAAAGGGAGTGACCCATCGTCCAGTATTATTATTGTGGGGTATTTTGTGCAATAAGTTATCTCCTTTAGTGGGATTGTTGAGAGGGGATTGGAATACTCTTATGTAGTTATCATAGCAGGTAGTTAAAATGAATTTTCCCGAAGGCGATACTCGAGATGCTGTCACTGCCTTGTTATGTGGCAAGGCCTGAATAGGAGTGGAGCGAATTTGTTCATCAAACGAAACCTTTCGAAAGTCCCATATGCATACCGAATGATCACCGCTACAAGTACAAAAGGTATGTTGGTCTGGAAACCTGTCAACACAAGATATTTTCTTCTCGTGCAACAAGATGCTCTGGGTAGACTTGCGGTCACGCTTGTCTGTAGACAAAACTTTACCAGCATTCGAAGCAACTAGAAAGCAGTTTCCATCATCCATACATGAAATATCATAAAACAACATTTCTTCTCTATCCAAAATAGTATCACATAATGCATGGCTCAAGTTCAAAATTCGAACAGTACCATCATAGCTACAAGTAACGATTTGGTTACCTAATGTGTAATGAGAAAATATCTTTGAGATTGCACGAACATGTGGTTGAAGTGTCAAGGCTATGCCATTTTGATACTCTTCTAAAGGAGACCAAATACCCAAATAGCCCCACTTATCACCCGCCAAAGCCAAAGGTTTAGATGTATTGGCAAACGTCACTGAATAAATACGGTGTGGAACAACCTTTAGGAAACCTTGGTCGGAAGGAATATCGTACTTTTGCAGTTCTTTGAATCTTTCTGTACTGGGAGCCACAGGTATGTAGGGAAAAGTTTCTGCAAGACATATATCGGATAGACGCTTCAGAACTGCATCCACGTCAATTGCATCAACAATGTTTTGACCTAAGATTTCAACAAACTCGTTGGTACCTGTCCTTCTTTCAGGTATATTCTTGTCATATTGCAACAGTTTATCGGATATCGACACTGCAGTTTCTTCGTCGTTGGACGACCTGGAACGTAATTTCATACGAAGAGGTTCCATTTTCGACTAGTGTCTTCAATCAGCTGTTCAAGAGACAAACTAAGAATCACTAACTTGTTGTTTTTCAGACTGCTTGGGAAATTTTTTCCTAGAAGAGTCTAACATAGAAACTGGGTTTCTTTTCTGTTGTAACAAGTTTAGAGAAGCTAGCAACTCTTCATTTTTTTTAATATTTTTCTCTCTTTCGAGCTCATATTTACTGAACACTGCAGAGTCCGCCATTGAAACAATTTCAAAAAAGCTCAGATGGACTTTCACAAATGGAAATCGAATGACCTTTTTTGTCCTTTGGAGTTTTGGGTCATGTCAAATATTCAAACCACTTCACTCAACTTTTCAAAAAGCTTGCAACAACTTGTCCATTTTACTAGTTTTAAAAATTCCGCAACTAGTTACATTTACATTCTAGCTTGGCGCTCATATTTGCGTCAGTTACAAACAAACCCTCTTATAACAAAGGTGTGTGAAAAGCCAGTCCTTACTGTTATTTGCTGAACAATGATAAAAGTCCATTACATCCGGGATTATTTCTTCATTAAGTACTGTTTTGGCAAGTATTATAGAAGATAAATGTGAAGGTTTAAAGTCTAGCAAGGTTATCAATGAGTTTACTATAGGACTAGTGTTAAGGTAACCCAAGAGTGAATACTCTCTTTGTATTTTCCACAACTGAATAATATACAAGGGCCCCTGTTGTACACTATTTCCATACATTCTTGGACAAGTGCTTATTTAGAAATGCCAAACAAACTTCTCTTGCAGTCATTGTGGCAAAGGTGATATTGGACCAGTTTATCTTCTCACCACCGTTTACTGCTCTCTATTACTATGTTACTGCGTTGATGAGAGATGAGCCACTGAAACCAGTTTCTCAGAAAATTCGTCGAGAGCTGTTTGATGTTATGAAAAAGTCGTGGCTGCTGTGGATTCCTGTGAACGCTATAAACTATGCATTGATTCCGTTGGAGCTCCGGGTTTTGTTTGCCAACATTGTTGATGTTTTCTGGACTGCTTATTTAATTAGTACAGTTTCTAGCAAAGCCAAATGATACAATTCCTTTAAGGTATCCGTATGTTGGCTTTGCATAAAACAAATACTTTTTCTGTTGTTCAAAAAACAGTCTCCTCTTTCTATTGTCAGTTCAATCACACAACCATATAATATTCAATCAACTTGCTTCTACCAACTTTTAAACGAATCCACAAGAAAAATCTTCAAAGCTTCTAATGTTGGATTGACTTGTGAATTTTAAATAGTTGACAATAGACAGTATTTGTCATTGTGGGGAAAAACCCCTCAGACTGGTACGTTTCTATCAGCAAATAAAACTCCAACGGAAAAAACAAGAGATATCATAGACTTGAAATACATATTCATAGGACAACAAAGAAATTTTTGTAGAATGTCTCTATACAAATAAAAGTTTTGTTTAGTCGTCATTAAAGAAAGATTAGAAATTCCTTTCTTCCTCGACGTTCAATTCAGTTTTGTGATTTATTTCCGTTAGTGGAGAAAATGAGTGGCGAAGCGCTGTCGCAGATGCTTAAAAGCCTTCCTTTAGAAGACCAGTTTCAAGCAGAGTATGTTTGGTTAGACGCTTTTTTTCGTCCTAGATCAAAGGGAAAGACTTTGAATCTCAAGTAGGTTATGTACTTGGTTACTGATATTTCGGGTTGAATTGTTTTGTTGTAGGGATTTTCCCTCTGCCCCTCATTCCTGTCCTCCTTCTTGCTTTCCAGAATGGAACTACGATGGCTCAAGTACGGGTCAAGCAGAAGGTCATTTTTCAGAAATCATCATAAAGCCTTGTGCCGTATATCGTGACCCTTTTCGTGGTGGAGATAATGTTCTCGTTCTATGTGACACTTATTGGCCCGATGGGACTCCACATCCCACCAATACTCGCTATCATTGCCAAAAAGTTATGGAAGCAGCGAAGGATTTGGAGCCCTGGTTTGGAGTGGAACAGGAATATTTCTTGATGAAAATATCCGATGCAAGACCTTTAGGGTTTCCAGAAGGAGGTATAGTTTTGCCTGTTTTATGGGCATTCTGTGTTTTGGTCTAACCTTAGGTTATTCTTAGGTTATCCTGCTCCTCAAGGACCTTATTACTGCGGAGCTGGAGCAGAGTGTGCCTTTGGGAGAGAAATTGCTGAAGCACATTGGAAAGCTTGTCTCTACGCAGGTCTTAAGATATCCGGTATTAACGGTGAGGTTGCCCCAGGTCAGTGGGAGTTCCAAGTAGGTCCCTGTCTGGGAATCGAGGAAGGTGACTCACTTTGGCTTGCGAGATATATTCTTATTCGTGTGGCTGAATCTTTCAGTAAGTAGATGAGAGTTAATGAAGGAAAGCATATGTTAAACTTGTCACTAGATGTCATGGTCAATCTTGAACCAAAGCCTGTTGAAGGTGATTGGAATGGCTCTGGTTGTCATACCAACTTTTCTACAAAGCCTATGAGAGAAGATGGTGGTTATAAGAAACATATTTTGTAAGTTGTGTTGATCGCAAGTGAGAATATAATTATATTTATTTATTTTTGGAATAGGCCAGTTATGGAAAAGTTAAAGGCAAAACATAAGGAACATATTATTGCCTACGGAAAGGGAAATGAAAAGAGACTTACAGGAAAACATGAAACGGCATCCATAGATAGTTTTCTTTATGGAACAGGTAATCGTGGTGCTTCCATTAGAATTGGCAATCAGACCGCAAAAGATGGAAAGGGATACTTTGAAGATCGTCGCCCTGCTGCCAACATGGTAAGTATCTGGAAGCATTGACGAGTACATTTTCAAAGCAGCATAGGATCCTTATATTGTTACGATGCTTCTCGTTTCTACTTGCTGTGATATTCCGTATACTGCCCCAGGAGTTCTTCAAAATGGTGACAAATAGTTGAGTTGCCTCATTATAATGTCCTTTCGTGGGTTTTTTCTGTTTGGTTCTTGACTATTGGCTTTAAAAGAGCGCATAAGCTTTTGCTGATGAGTTTGAACACAATCGATATTTAGTAGACTTTTTCTCATTTGCGAAAAAGCTTAGGCGTTTGATAAAGCTACCTTGTTGGTTTTATACATATATATATGTATGTATCTATCTATTTGTGACCGACTCTTTTCCTATTTAAAAAGTTGTTGGAGTCAAAAGTCTTGAAGTATTAGGAGGCTGTCGAGGTCTATTAGGTTTGATTTCCATTCTACCTTTTGACAGTGACCTTCCTTCACCAACTGCATGCACCACCAATTGACAATACAGTGAGATGGCTAAAGCAGACTCATCATTACCAGGAATAGGATAAGTCACTTGTCCAGGATCACAATCAGTATCCACGATTCCTACACTAGGTACTCCGGTCATTTGGGCTTCTTTCAACGCAACTGTATGGAAACGACAGTCTAAACAAAACAACATATCTGGTAATTTGTAACGAAACTTTTTGGCCTGACCCGATCCAAGAGGATTGGTAAGTGTTCCAGGTATCCATCGACCATCCAACATAAACGCCTCTCCTTGTTCAGCAATCTTCCTTGCAACAGACGCCAACTCATTTCGTTTCGGAGGTAACCACAACACAAATCCATCCAAGGCCACCTTTTCCAGAATGGGTGAAAAACCGTGAGACGAATATAGGAAACCTACCATTTCACGGATAACTCGCAGTGCTCTTCTCAAGTGTGTCCAAGTATATTCCAAGTTGATAATGTGAATCCCATTGCGTTCACCCAATATATACCGTCCCTAGTATATAGAGTTAGCCACAGAGTGTATTGCACACAACAAGTTGTCACTACCATCTTGGGGTTCCACTTTTCAGTCACGTGTCCCATATGCACTCTGCACTGCATCAGTTGTTCTAAGGTAAACGCATATTCCTTGGCTTATATTATAACAAGAACCTTTTCACCCAATTCCTTCGTTACCTTTGGCTTACTAGGACCTATGATGCGTCTATTCTTTCCACCACTACCAGTGGAACTTGGAGGTGTGAACAGTTTGTCAATTGCAGAAACATCAAAAGTCTTTGCCGAATGAGTGTTGCTAAGCTGACTTGTTTTGGAAAGGCCGGAAAGAAGAGAATGTTGAGGCTCTTTAGAGAAGCAACGACGGAAAGTTGTGGTCACAAACATAAATGATCATCAATCAATGCAATTTTGAGAATGAAGAATTTGGACATTCATAAATCTTCTTTTAGGAAGACATTGCATATGACATATAAGAGTTAAGGTGAGCAAAGCCAAATCTTGTTTACATGGAATCCTTTCAGAGCTTGCCACGTTTCCTTTAGATTATTCTTATTCTGTTTCAGCAACACTCTCATAGGCTGATGAAAAACTTCTTCGAGCTCTTCCAACGTTTTACATTTTGTCTCAGGCATAAAGAACATGAGATACAAAGTGCCCATGAGAATGATTCCCGCATAAAAGCCACAAAATATTCCTGTCTTTTTCATCGCATTCACCATATAAGGAAATGCAAAAGTCGTAACAAATTCTCCAATCCATTTGGAAATATCAGCAATACATAATCCTTGACTTCTAAGATAAGTTGGCCAGACTTCCGATCCCACTACCCAAGGAATAGGTCCTAAACATGAACCCCAAAATAGATAATATACAACGACACCCCATATATAGAGACCCACTTTGGTCCGAATGTTGGTTGTCCAAAAAGAAAATCCAATGATGAGAAGACCACAAAAGACTCCACCAATGAAACTTAGCAAGAGCGTTCTTCTTCCTAAACGATCAACCAAGTAAATGGCAGGAATAGTGGAAAGGAGACCTGTGGCTCCTCCAATCACACTCATATAGACAGCATTCTGCTTATTCATTCCTATTTCGAGCATCAAGATGCCCATATAATGATTAATAGTGTTGATACCAGAAAACTGTTGCAAGATCATCAAAATAATAGCATATTGTGCAGCTCTTCTACAACGAGGCTTTCTTACAAAGTCCAACACATTCCAACGATCTTTTGATTCCTGCATCTCTTTCAAAACTTGCTGTTCCATCCAAAAGAATTCCTTCTTCTCTTCAAAAGTTTGAAAACCTCGAATTCGTTTCCATACAAAATAGGCTTCAACCCTTCTTCCTTCTTTCATAAGATATCTTGGGCTCTCTGGAAGTACACAAATGGATATAAGAAATATACCGGAAAATAATAATGAGGAACCCAACATCCATCTCCAATTTCCTGCCAAGTTCACAAATATAGCAGCATCGATATAACCAAACAAAAGACCCAACATGACACAAAGTTGATAAAGTGAAACTAAACTACCTCTGCGATGTTTAGGACTACATTCTGCAATATATCCCGGTACAGTTGCTGCTTCAATAGCAACTCCAACACCAACAATCATTCTTCCAGCTAAAAGCATTTGCCAAGAATGAGCATCAGCTTCCAAAATACCTCCACATATATCCAATAGACAGGCACTCGCGATAGACCATTTTCTTCCAAAGAGTTCATTCGCTGGATAAACCCTTACTTTGATAAATAAGGAAGAAAGAATAGAATTGAGACTTACAAAAATGCCCCAAATATCCCTCCTAGAGGCATAAAGCCAGATATGATGGATTCTATGTTGGAATCATAATGCAAATCTTCAGGAATATATAAACCTGCGCTGCTTATTAAGGATTGATCAATCCCATACAATATACCTCCAATACTTGCCAAGGAAGCCAAAATCCACACAAAATATTTTGCCTTTCCAAAGATGGGCAAAGCAAATATGAAATACTGTCTATGTGAAACACAGCAATGCTCCAACTTGTGTAACTCAGCTTCTATTTCCTCTTCAGAGTCTCCACCAACTGCATATCTTGCTTTTTCCACAATGGAAGTTTGTATTGAACGCTCTTCTGTTCTACTGCTTGCCATGAAAATTGGACAATGCAAAGCGATTTGTTTTGGTCCTCAAAAAAAAAAACAAAAAATTATTCTTCTGGAAATATGATGAATGCCAGCGATTTGTGGATTGATCGTGAAATGTACAAACTGATTTTTGAATAATAGATTTGTATAGTTTGACAGTTTCAATAGATGCTTTCAAGAAAAGGAAATCATATTTGCCTTTTTACACCATTTCCTTCTCATCCTTGCCACTCTCAAAACAGTTGATCCCACCACTTTCGAATAGTAGCAAGTTATTATTGGAGTGCCAAACCTGGGACTTGAAAGTTCTGTATCTTTAAAAGCTTATGAGACAACTCGTCTCTTATGAGTACAAGTTGCCAAAGTTGTTGAGATATCTCCAAAAAGTTCTTGGATACTTCTGTTGGCCTTTATTTCAATTGACTAACTTTTTTATCTCCAATAAGACTTCATCGAGTAACAAAAAGGAGACAAAGAACTCTAAAAATTTATCCAACAAACTAGGCTTTTGACTAAAAAGATGGTATTCACATCATGCGACTAGCTTGTCGACTCATTTCATAAGAGAAGGATTATTTCGCAAAGCTTTTTCGATACTTAATCGATTTGCAGAAAATGAGATTTTGTTTTCTTCAAAGTATCTGGGTAAAGCGTAGAAACTTGTTGGAAGAAAATAAGTTGGTTTTCTCTTTCTTACATACCTTTCTATGTCTTCTCATCGAGACTTGACCATACAGAATAGTCTAGTCATATTCTGTGACTTACAAGTTGGTTTCCAAAAGAGCATACTTCATATCGAAGAGATACTTGATGCTGCATTATTTCTTAGAAAGAGTGCTCGTCTTGTATCCATTCCTTGTTTATTTTCTGAACAATGGCCAGAAAAATATAGTCACGTAGGTAATCAATTGTTTTTGTCATAAAAGGTATATTTCATGAGTTTGGCGTATAGTGGACACTTTAGAAGCAAGAGAAGAAGAAATCTTTTCTAAACGAACTTTTAGCTTAATGGGGTCCCCAACTGCAAGTGAACTCGTTGTTTCCAAGAAGAGAGAGTGCATTATCTTTGCTGGAGTTCAATCACATATCTGTGTTCAACAAAGCGTACTTGACTTGTTGGCAAACGGATTTTCAGTATTCTTAGTTACCGACGCAATGGGTTCTAGAAGAAGTATTGAGCATACTATGGCACTAGAAAGCATGAAACAAGAAGGTGCAATAATTTCAACAACTGGTAAGAAGACACAAATGTCGACAATACTGTTCTCTTATACACCGTACCTTTAGAAGCTGTTGTATTTCAGTGGTTCCGAAGTGTAGACGCTCCTTATTTTGAAGAGTTTCAACACTTGAAACGACCTCAACAATAAAAATAAGTTGAATGCCACTTGTGTATCCAAAATATATTGAATGGATTCAGGCTTTCCCAAATAGCAATGATCCATGTAAGAGAGTTTCAAGCGAGTGACTCGGACGTTGTTCTTCACTTATTGGATTTGAAAGATATCATAAATAGTTCTTCTTTTTCAGAAAAAGTATGCAATAGTTTTTATTTTTAGTGCACTGTAAGAATTATTTCCATAGGTGTTTCAACTTTCTGAAAGTGGTGACTTTTTGGGACTGGTAGCAGAGGCAAACCAAAGTGGAAAACATCAGGTGGTTGGTTGTGCGTTTCTTCGTTTATTGGAAACTATTTCGAGAGGTCTTCACTGTCAGATTGAGGAGTTGGCCATCGACAAGGCTTGGTTACATCAAGGTGTTGGCAAAAGTCTCATGGAAACAGCCACTTCTTGGGCAAAGGAACGTGGTGTTGGTGACATCTATGTAGATAGTCCATATGCAAGTATAGCAGTGAAGGAAGGAATAGATTCTGTTTTTGTACGTGACGAAGTTTTGGAAGTGGCTCAACAGTACGAAGCTGAGAAAGAAGAGTTACAAGAGTCCTTGAAGAAGCAATACAACACTACCATAAGCAAATTGGAAAAAGAATATGAAGCAAAGAAACAGCAGCAAGATGAGACTATTCATAACTTGCAAACACAGTTGGAAGATGCCACTCAGTATTTGGAAGAGCAACAGGCTGAAGAAAATGAACTTCTCAATATTGATCCTTCTTCTCCGAGGAACCACACTGGACCTTATCCAAGAGGTCGAGGTTTTTGGGGAACCTTGTGTTTTCCTATACGTAAAACTTGTGGACCTGGCTCTTGTTTACGACTTCCATCAGGACCTGCCTCTGTTCGAGGAAGTACAGATAGGTCCAATTAATTAGTCGATGATAGTTGCTTTGATATTGTTCTTTGGAAATAATAAAACACGACCCAAGATCATTGGACACTCTTCAAAGGAGACAGCAAATTCCCTTGAGATCGATTCGTTACTTTCCAATCTAATCCATTTTTCTCCGGAAGAAAAGCTCTTTATGAGTCTGAGTCCTCGATCTAGTGCGACATTTTCAAGAGGCAATAATAGTCTCTTCAGAAGAATAGTGGTATTGGGTCCAAAGGCAGTGGGTATGTCACTAGGAGGTAGATCTCGTTTGCTACTTACTCTCAACTCTAGGGAAGTCTGCTTTAACGATAAGGTTTTGTGAAGGAATCTTTCACTCCAGTTACCTTCCAACCATTGAAGTAAGAATATATTCCATCCTAGTCTATTATGCTAAGACTCATAGGATACGTATTTGGCTACCCTAAAACTAGAAGGTCAAATCTACAACTTGGAAATAATAGACACGGTACTTGCTTTTAGAAACTTTATATTGAACAGAATTGTGAATAAACTTGTGTTCTTGATAGGGAGGACAAGATGAATATTCCATCCTTAGTTCACAATGCACTATTGGAGTACATGGCTACTTATTGGTATTTGATATAACAGACTATCTTTCTTTCGAACTTCTCAAGGTGCTTCATGAACGTCTCGTGAATATGCTGGGACTGGACACCATTCCTTGCATATTAGTTGGAATGAAACTAGATGAACAGGAAGACAGAGCAGTAAACACGGCAGAAGTGGAACAAATGGCAAGAGAATGGTTGTGTCCTTATATAGAATGTTCTGCAAAGGATGGTATCCACATTGACACTGTATTTCATAGTCTCATTCTGGAAATGGAAAGGCCAACTGTTCAAGTTGCTGCTAGTCATACCGAAAAGAACACCACAAGTCGATGTGCCTCTATGTAAGACTCTTTTGGTTTGGACAACTTCATAAGAAAATTTTCTCCTATTTATTGGAAATGCTTCAAGACGTTGTTGTTGGGATGATAGTCATTAATAATACAATAGAATGATATGTGAAACAATAAATAGCGTACTCAATATGGCTACTTTGTCGATTTGAACTTTTTTATTGTCCTTGCCTAACTTTCTTCAAACTTATTATGGAGGAAATAGATACTCAACACGAGAATGTTCAATACTTAAGAATTGACAGCGGTTTCGACAGTCTCCGTCTTACGTGACAGCAATATATATTCGGCAACTTTCAAATCTTCTTCCGTAGTCAATTTGATATTTGAATATTCACCTGAAATATAAATACATATTTCAATGAAACATACTCTCATTTAGGATATGATATACCTAGAGTCAATTTCACAGGCTCTCCAAGTTTCTCAACAATGGAAACATCATCCGTAACGGTTACATTCTCATCATTCACTCTTACAAAACCTCGTCTCAATAATTCTGGACGTATTACTTGTGGCGTCTGAATTTCCCATAAACGAGTTCGATCCAGCGTCCTATATACAAAGGAACCATCGACGGATTCTTTGATAGTCGACTTGGATGGAACTCCAACTACGGCTGCACCATAAACAGCAGCATCTGAAAAGCACTAGAGAACACTTTAAGATGAGTGATAAAATGTCAAGTAACTTGAATGCTCTTCCAACCTTTTCAATAGTTTCCTTTGAAACAAGCGGTCTTGCAGCATCATGAATACATACAAGATCTACATTATTTTTCACCTTTTGTAATCCATTGTAGACAGAGTCCTGTCTTTCCTTTCCAGGACAAGCAAATTCTACTCTGGGATCTTGAATAAGGTGTGGACAAAGAAACACCTTATAATGTAAGTCCATTACTATTATTACCTGAAAAACTTGTTTTACACTTAGAAAAAGTTCTAGACTATATTCCAATACAGGCTTTCCGTGGAGTAACAAGTACTGCTTCGGAATATTCGAATTCATGCGTTTGCCTGAACCACCAGCTAACAAAATAACAGAACAACTACTTTCCCGTCCATTATTATTATTCGAACAACAAGACAACTTATCAAACTTATTGGAGCCTGATGGGAGTTTCAAATAATATCTGACGGTCGACAGACGTCCTAGGAGCTCTGATGTGGAATGGAAAGGTCGGCGAGGATAGCAAAACTTCCAAAAACGGTGGTTCGCACAAGAGTGTCTGACACTTTTAAATAAAGGATATTCTTTTTGTTTTACTGACACAGTTGAGCGCCACAAAAAGGCGATGGAAGAGGAGGAATACATCGCACTTCACAATCCAATGAGATTTATCATTTCCTCTTTTTTCAGCTTTTCAAGGGTTATCTTGTAGAAACTTTTTTTAGAGATCAAAAATAAACTTGAATTTTTTGTACTAGAAAATTGGATCGTAAGTTGTTGCATGGCCTTGTAAAAGTTATCCAAGGTCTTTGAAAATTTTATATGAAATAGAAGAGGAGTATCCCATGCAACCTTACTCTGGGTGACCATACTGATTAGAAATTTATTTCAAACTCTTTAAGATCAACTATTTCCAAAACATTTGGATAAAATAGTAACAGGCAGATTTCCAGCTACATAGCTTGGGATAGACTCGTTCTCCTCTATATACCATCTCTCACTTTTTTCTTCACATAGACAAAACTTGGAAGCATATGGAATTTTCTAGCTGATATCGAAAAGTAAGAAATTCAAATGAAACGTGCTTTTGAAGGATTCCAAAGGAATAACTAGAAGAGCAAAGGAAGGAGTTCCTCCTTTGCAGTCTACAGAAAGTGAACAAACACAGTTGAAGTTATGCTGTTATTCCGAAGCAATACAAATAGCAGAAGAGTAAACCAAAATGCCTCGTAAACTTTAGAGAACCAGTTGGAAAGTCTGATACTCATGAAACCTAAAAGACATTTACAGATCTGATCTTTATCGAATATTTCCCGCTTTGGGTAAGAAAAGCATGTTGAATAGGACTTGGGTTTCATGCGTGTTAAGTGTGTCCGGAGTGATAACTTGTATCAACCTTAAATCGTTGGTTTATTCGGATTACAAAAGACCCGAAAGTGACTTCCCACTAACACTTCCGGGTGAGCTGATCTTTTCACAAGTTATTTTCCGACACGGGGCTCGGTCACCCGTCTATGAAGTTAAAGGGGATTCGAGTTCTTGGAATTTTTGTTCACCAGATATCTATGAAAAATATTTGTTACCCGTCAATATTGTTTCGTTGAGTACTTCGACTGCAAACCCTGTAGAAGACGATTCCAAATCTCAAGAAACTACGCCTATCAAGTATGTTTGTATTTAGAGGATTGCGCATAGTTTTGATTTTGTCAGTGTTTGTAAGAGGGGACAACTAACTGCGTTTGGTGTACAGCAGATGGTAACTGTGGGTGGCTTGTTTCGAAAGAGGTATTTCGAAGAATTCCACTTATTAGACAAACAAGATTGGAAAAATCAAATATACGTTCGCTCGACGTTCATGAAACGAGCAGTTCAATCTGCTCAAGCGTTTCTTCAAGGTTTGCTATGCGAATGCGAGTTACAGGAGGGTGAACGAGTGTCTATCCACGTTCTGGACAAGAAGGACGAAAACTTATTTCCAAACTCTTATCAGTGTCCTCGAATAAAGGAGTTGTATGCATATGGGCGAAAACTATTGTCTGAAAACAAGGAAAAGTTTATAATGCCTGAGCTTGCGGCAGGATATTGGAATTTACAAAGTCCACTAGATTTTATTCGATTAAGAGACGTCATTATTTCTCGCGAAGCGCATGGTTTGCCACCCTTAGAATCTGATGATGGCACAAAGCTTCCTCATGAGGAAGTGGTTGAAAGAGGTCATCGAGCAATGAGTCATTTGGTTCTAGGATATAATGAAAGAACGCGTAACGAGTCTCTCAAACTTTCTGGGGGTTTGTTGTTGAAGGAATTGTTGGAACATATGAAGGAAAGTGTACAAGGTAAACAGTCTTATAGATGCCTCTTGTATTCGGGGTACGTCAAGCGTGAACTCTTTTCTAGTACAAATTTATCTTGATATCTAGTCACGATACCTCTTTAGTTCCTCTCCTGTGCATGCTACAGATATACAACGATGAATGGCCACCTTTTGGTTCGTTTTTGGCGTTTGAATTGTGGGTTTTGTTCACAGTGGGAATGTTTTGTGACTGAAGCAATGCTAGGTATCGTAACAGTAAAGGAGAGCATTATGTAGGTATTTACTACAACGGGCAACGATGTAGTCTTCCAAGCTGTGGAAATCGACCTTTTTGTCCTTGGGAGGAGTTTGAAAGGCAAATGTCGCCTTTCCTTTTACAGGATTCAGCAGATGCAGCTTGTCAACCATCGAAGCCCTTAGGCGGTCCCGAGGAAATGCGAACTACCTATGCTTAATTTTTTTGAAATTGAAGGGATGAATGAGACCTTCTCATTGCCCCGTTCGAAAATGGCGCGTTAACGGTCATTTTTTTCTTGAATGCGCAACTGGATTTTGTTGATACTTGGAGGAGTTAGCGTGGGTAGCTTAGGTGTTCTTGGAGATGGCTCGAAACTTTGGTTGATTATTGACAAGTTTACTCGCGCGGCTCTACATATTCTTGGCAGAAATTCTTTTAGTGAAGTTGATTTTCAAGAACCAAGCTATTCATCCTCACGAATCCGTGTTTTGATTGAAGAAATAAATAGACTTTCTAATGATGTTACAAAGACCCTTAGTTTTCTGGAAGAAAGACCCCATCATATAGTATGTCAGCCAGGGTTTTCTTCTTCGACAGTTGTAAACTTGAAAACAGTGTCTTTCTTATTTGGAGCTATTATTATCTGCCCACTGGTCTTGAAAAGGTTTTTGGGGTTTCAAATATTTGGCTTTTGGTACGTCACAAAGAGCTGTTTCGCTACTACAACAGAGAAGTGGCTAAACAGTGTCAATTCTGTCGCAAATACAGTGAAGCAACTTTACGATCATGTGCACAACTGTACTTCCCGAGTTAGTAATCGAATAGAAAAGAATCAGAAAGACATACAGCAGAAATTTGAAACCAATACTGAAGACTGTAGGCGTAATATTTCTGTCATTACTGACGATCTTCTCGGTTTACGAGAAAATCTTGGCAAAATTAGTTTGGCATTGGATAATATTCATGGCAGTGCAGCATTAACGAACAAAGGAATTGAGATGTTATGTCATTTTGTTCTACAAAAAACTCGTTATCACTTATCTGAAGATACTTTTATTGAACAAACAGTCATTAAAGAACTAAGAGACATGACGAATTGTCTACAATGGCAAAGAGATGAGGAGAAGTATCCAACTCCGCGCAAGTCTTCGTAGCGGGAATGAAGTAATGGAAAGTTTTAAATTGTATCAAATGACTTTTGGTATCAACGGAACAATTGGTGTTTATAAAAGTGAAGTTTTTATACAATCATGAGTTTGTGAACTAGCAGTACTGTTGGTTTTCTCGGGATGCCATGGCAAACAATTTCCTGAGCACCTTATCTGTACTGCAATATCTTGATCCAATGGAAGAGGTGACTTTCCAAAGGTTATTTGACAAGAACCAGTTTCATAGTTGGGCTCCATAGTAAAGGGAAATCCAAGCGTATTGTTAAAGAATTGTTGGGTGGGTATTTTGCACAAGTTAACACACATACCTCTACACCTCGATTCTTCAAGGAATCTACACTTTGATATGAATACTCCTCGTTTGAAAGTCTCGTTATGAATAGCGTGTGCCTGGCACGGACCTACTAGCCATTGGAAGAATACTTGTGTAAAAATAGCACTTAGATGATAAGCCCAAGTCACAGGCATAATACCTAACAAAGAACGAAATAGCTGTATGCCAACAGGAGCACAAAAAAGAGAAGAAATAATCCGACAAACTGCTGCTCTCTGCTCTACTGGACTGCGATATTTCTGCAGATATTTGCAATCTTCCACTAGACCGTCATAACCTCTATGTTTCGAAACTCGACCAGTCTCTCTCTCAATAGCTTTTCTAAACAAATGGATTGCAGTGGACGATAGTGGTCCATCAGAACACATGCTACATATCTTCCAAATACGTCGGAAGTCTCTTGATAAATTCTTGTTTGTTAAAAAGCGACTTTGTATGTTGACCAACGTGAGAAAGCCCATCAACATAGTTGAATCCACCTATTTTCTATTTCGATGCAATATTATTATCGATCATGTTGGATTCTTTTAGGTTATCTGCTCAAGAGTTTCAAACGAGAGACAATCAAAGTCGACTGGCTTTGTGCCCTCTTTTTTCGAAGATAGGTGATTATGTCTCCAGTATGTGTAGTATAATTATCCTATTATTTAAAAGTCTGATCTCTTTTTTTTGTGAGGAGTTTTACAGGATGGTTATTTTACAGGTGTCAACTTTGGAGTTGGTACCCAAACCAAGCAAGGCATCATTTATCAACTTCAAGGGAAAACATATTCAGGAACGGAACCCTTTTTTGCGGGTCAATGGAATCAAGAGATTCCTTTTCAACAAGAAACAAGTTGGATTGATAGAGGTAGCTTTGGAGTACGCTTGCTCTCAAAGGGTCCTGTTTGTTGTGAAAGTGTTCTAGATATGTCAAAGAGGTTTGGTTTGATGGCCACTTTGAGTGCTTTTGAGAGTGACCACGAACGTTTCAAAGCTCAGTTCGATTGGCAAAGGAAACACGTTGCGCTTTCAACCAATTTTATTTTTGGAGTTGCGCCAAAAATGGAGACTTCCCTTGTTGTTGGGTTTTCGAACTTACTCTTAGCTACTCAACTAGCGTTGGAACCAACTTTTAAGTTTCCCTCTTGGGTTGTTGCGTGTAATTATCAAGACGGAGACTCAGGTCAAATTACTTTGTTTATTCACGATAGAGGACCCTCGGTTACGGTAAGTTTTATAGGAAAACTTGCTAGTATTGTGACATATTGCTTTCTTCAAGTGTTCTTATCTCCATAACGTTTCTGGTCGGCTATCTGTTGCAGCGCGTTTTGTGTATAGTTCCAATATTGAACAACGTTCCTTAGTTTTTGGAACCCAGTATTATCTCGATAATGATACTCTTTTGAAAGCAAAAGTAGATTCGAGTGGCACAATTGCTTTATCTTGTATTCAACAGCTGACAAGAAGTGCACCGTGGAAGGTACAAATAGGAATCTCCTCATTCATCGATGTTGCTTCTGTTGAGAAAAAGTCTCCTGCTATGGGCGTTTCTTTACAAGTGGAGTCCTAAGAATATAATTATTTGGCAACAATGTTGCGACTTGGTTATCCATGGAAACCTCGACTGCATAATGTATTACCATCATTTTTGAATACAATATTTGAAATTTTATTTTTCACAACTACAACCACCTTGCTTATTACAGGATTTCGGTTCACAAGTACAAGTCATAGGGTCACATAAACAATGTTTTGCTTCCGATGGATAAGATACTTGAAAGTCTCCGGAAGAATTGAGTGGAATAGTCCAAGACATGTTTTCGTGCTTTTTCTTGGTATCCTGATAACCGACTTCTTCTTGTTCAGACAGAGTAGAAGCGATAAAGAATCCAAAGGCATGTCCGAGGAGTATAGCAAAGAAGAGTATAATACTATATGTCATAACAGCTAACATGCATAAATAATGAAGTGATTGTCGAAATGCATGAGAAAGTGATCCGATCACTCTCCAAGACCATGTCTGCCTTGTTTGAATCCATTTCATTTCCAACTTGCCCAGCTTGATCATGGACAGACTTGCAGAAGCAGACAACAAGAACACTAGGATTGCTGCACATACGGTTCTTCCAGCACTGTTTACCATTAGTTTGGAAAAGAACAATGGAAAGCCATTCGGTTCATATATGAAAAAGGCCATAGGCATATGCATAGGAGGCATTGGCATCGGTGGGTTGGTCCACGGAGCAAAACTATTGGCAGTGCTAAATAACGTCCAATATGCGATACAAAAAGCAAAACATAATATCACGAAGATGAAAACAACTCGAGGATAAACGTGTGTCTTAAAAACACGAAACATTTGTCTTAAACTCTGAATAGGGACAGAACAACAAGTTCGGTAATGCAAACCCATCTCACTTATGGCAACCAAACTAAAGAATACTGCAACAAAACACTCGAAAAGAATTTCACTGGTATGGACATGAATATGAAACATACGATGAAGCCTTCGAAATCCTGTAAAAACTTGAAAAACAAAACTGGCAATAACTAATATTGCCAATAAACGGTGAAACCATAGCCAGTTCTTTCTTAACTTGCTTTCCTTTCTCGGACGAATCACACCTGCAACTACTTGAATAAAGGCGAGAACTAACAACGTAAAACCGTTGAAACCATGACGGTCCTGCATGATGATGAAACCTTCGTGCCAAATTTCTGTCAGAATATATGAAACCAATATAGAGATGAATCCAAAGATGCTCAGTGCTATATGCACATAAACTTTCCAAGACTGACGAAGATATCTAGCCACTGCAGTCCCAACAAGAAAGCAAAAGCCCCCTCCAAAATATCCAACACAGGCGTGAGCAGTCATCATAGCAGGTAAGCCTGTAAACTCCTGCAGTTGAGCCATGTTTACTTGCTCCTCTCAAAGTGATGATGGAAGAATGGGAAGGGTGTTGAAGAAATGTCTCATGTCATTATTTCCAAGCAGGATTCTTTTGTGGTGGTCCTTAGTGCAGTTGTTTTATATGAATGGAAACAGAACCCATTTCTTCACAAGTAGAAACAGACTCAAAAGTAGAAGAATTTTCAGAACAGGCAACTCCCACTGAAGTTCGAGGTAAAAGTACCTTATATGATTCTTATCGTTATAGTAACAGAATGGACCGAAACAACAGGAAAGAGAGATAGCGAAGAAGAGGACTCAGATGTGACTAGTGTTGATGATGAAGAAGACGAGCAAGTTCGCTTATGGAAGCAGAGGGAAAGGTAGGTTGTTGAATTAGTGGACAGTTGTTTGAACGTCGTTGCAGGGAGATTTTTTCAAACTTGAACGAAGACGACCAGGAACGCTTTGGTATTTCGATATCGTCGCTTAATAATTCCTATTACTCAAGGAGTTGTAGAATATTATCGTCAAGGAGATTTGGATAAGAACAAAGTGAAAAAGCTCGTGTCTACGGTTAACCCTGCGTTGTCTATGGTTTGTCACTATTTGCAATTTATTGTTGAATGAAGTAGCACTTGCGTAGATGCAACCAGATAATCCTTTTATCATAGCTGTCAAAGGACTAGGGAAACTTTATGCCGGTAACAACCGTAAACATACAATATTCATTATTTGGAGATGATGTTGGTTTAGGAGAATTGGTAGAAATGGCAGTCGATATCCGTAATGAACGAGGAGAACAAGGAGCAGTTAGACCCGTTCATTTAAGGGTATGTTTCACTATTTTTGGGAATCCTTTAAGAATAAGATTGTTCTTTAGGAAGCTTATCGTAGAATGCAGAAAGCTGGAAAGACTCCCAAGTATAGAAAAATTTTCCTTCCAAGTTAATATTCATTATCATTCACAAAACCCAAGTTTCTAATATCCACGAAGGATTCCATCAGTTCTTTTTGTAAAATGATTTCAATTACTACAATATACTTTAGGCTCAACTAAAAAATTGAGAAATAGTATCCTTTGAAGACGGAAATTCAGCAGAATACTTTGAAGACGTTGATGGAACTCTTATTTGCCATAGACCTGACGTCTGACCTTGCTGAAGCATTTGACAGGTCTCTCTCACTATCTTATTTCTTAAATCGTTAAGCTCATCGTCACTTAATACTTGTAACAGTCGTGGAAGGATATGCTCCTCTTCCTTTTCCATATGCAAAGTAAGATTTGCACTAAACCCCGTAATTTGCAAAAATAAGTCTCCAGCGTGATCGGGATCAAAGTTCATTATTGCCTCTCCGATAGCAGTCAATTCTTTGCCTTCCATGAAATGATCCAGCTTTACAAACATTCAGTGTTTCCTACGAGAACAAATTCGTGTAAATCACTCACATTATACGATTCTGTTATCCCAGGAATCCGATCCATAAGTAAAGGAAATATGAGTTGATCTTCTGCATTGGCATGGGCACTGAGAACGGTAAAAAGCTCTACATAAACTCGTTTTAGATGCGATATACAAGCTTTTGAATGGTCCGTCACGGCATTCATTGCTGCATCGGTCAGACTGGATAACATACGTCTTATTTCTAAATGATTAAACTGAAATCTTTCTTTGAAAAGACGTGCTTCGGTGCTGAACGCTAACCAGTCATCTTCCGTATCTTCAATAGGATTGTTGGACCTTAAATGGGAAGCATTTGGAGCTTCCAAGAAAGAAGGACATTCAAGCTCTTCAAATAGGCCAGCTTCAGTGTTGTGACGGGATTGAACATCCGAAGAGAAAGTTCCTCTGGAATCTCTTTCTTCTCGAGGTTTCTTGTTGTTATTGGAATACAGAGCATAAGCACGTTCATATTCCAAACGGAGAGACTCCATATCCATCAATACCTGAAACTTTGGATCACAAATAGACGAATCTGCTATAAAACCAAGTTTGTCACTTTTAAGGAGGTCCATGTTTTCAAAAATCTTCCTTCTTGCCTCTGTAGAACATTTACAACTTTGGAGACAACAAATATACCAAATAGGACTATTTTCACTTTTTGCACAGGGTCCTGTATCGCTTTTAGGAAATGCTTCTGTCGAAAAAGTCCCAAGATCCGAAATGAACCTTCTATAAACTTGCGTTGTGTCAGAAGGAAATAATTCTGAGTTTCTTAACAATACAAGAGCATTACTGAAACGATACAACAAAAACACAGGATGTCTACATTTGAAACGAATGTTGGGAGCTTGAAAATAGGATAAAAGTCCTTCAGGAGAGTTTTCTATTCTCTCTACCACCTTTTGTCCTCGATGGTCGTTTGCCTAGTAGCACGTAAACAATAAGACTCCCTTGGATAGTTTCAACAAACCTTTCGAAAAAAGACTCTGTCAAATAGTTCGGGCAAAAATGGAGCATAAAATGTCTGGGCTTCTTCTGCTGATGCCTTTTCGGACAAGGATTCTTTAGCAGCTTCCGTTCTCTTTCTTTTCTTATCGGCGTCTTTTCTTGAATATACATAAATGCCTTTAGAAATAAGAGATGCCACACAAATGTGTTGTCTTAGAAGAGATACTACCAGATAAAAAGGACGCCCTCTTTGGAGACTACTTGTGGACTTGAAGCGAAGACGGGAGAATACACACTGACCATCTTCTAAAGGTTGCCTTGTTACACCTTCCAGACCTAAAACTTCTAAAGTATTTGACAAGTCCGTGTGACAAGCACAAGTTATCCAAGCGGTCAAGTCGCTAGTAGGAACGAAATCAGGAGCGCTGTAGACTATTCTGATCTCTGGAAGTTTCCAGGTTTTGTGCCAACGAAATTCATTCTTTCCCTCATCAAATACGAACGATCTACTCAAGTAAACACTAAGATGACTCGAGGAAGCCGCTTGTTGGAGGCTCGAACATTGAAAGGAGTACTGCCCTGGTCTTATCGTCTCAAACGTCTCAAAGAGGGAGTCTTGTTCTTCATTACCCTCAGCAATCTTGAGAGTTGCATCGCAACTAGACCATGAGAAAGAAGGACTCGAGTGTTTTTCGAAAGACATCACGTCTAGACAGTCGTTGGACATGAGCAGGATTTTTCTTCTAATCCGCTTTGAACGAATCTTCCTCCAACTGAAGTAGAAATGTCATTCTTTCACATTGTGAATTCAGAGTATTTTGCAGTTGATTACTAACCAATCCATTTCCTTATAGATTCATCAAGTTGTTATTTCCACTGATTGGATAGTCTTCAAATGATTCTTGATACAACCTCTCCACAAAAACTTTCAGCTATAGTGCTACTCGTTGTTTTCTATAGATGCATAGCTTTCGTTCGTTACATGCCTTTCAGTTGTTGCACAAAACAAAAGGAGAGCTATCAGAAACCCTTGTAGAACTTTTTTATGTACTGCCATCTATCAATAAGGCAATTCAGTATCTAACACACTTAATAAATAATACAAGCTCCTTCTGCTACCATATTACCAAGCATTTGAATGAAAAACTCAGTCAGTTTATTTCCTTATTGAAACATAATATGAATATTGCAAATAACTTATTCGAGAGCCACTCATTTCTTGTGGTTTTTGAAGGATTTCATTCAACTTCTTATGATAGGCATGAAGCATCCAAAACTGGATGTGAGTGTCAACATTACTCTTCGCTGTGAGAGGTTGGAATAGATGTGGCTAAATATAGCAATAAACAATCATAAAGAGAAATAGAGCAAACTTACCAAAATACAATTCACTGCATCCAAATCAGCTTTGTGAAAACCCGACAACATGCAGCTGTCAAAACTCCAAACATGAAAATGGCCTAAGATGTTCAAGCCAATGCACATATAAACAATATGTTGCTCAATCTATGCTAATTTTACTTTTAGATAACACAAAAGGAAAAACGTTCCAGAAATAAAATGAACTTCTTTGATATTCATTTCTATATTCAAATGTCACAGAAATCTCTTATGATGTCCCACGGATACACTTCTACAGGAGAAACTCGGTAATTTAGGCAAGATGGAATCTTCCTTGACAGACGCAGTAGGAACTTCTACAGGACACACTTCTCTTTATTCTTGTTCTTCTTCATGCCTGTGTATAGCAATGCATATTGCAAAAATTCTACAACTTCTTATGTCTACATGTCGATTGTCCTTGTCTACATGATAAGGCAAGACATATGTTTCTCAACTTTTAAGATAAACTTTGCATCATGGTAAACATCTAGGATTACATAAAGTCATAAATATACTTCATAGTGCACAGTTGAGTATCATGAGAAAGTCTCATTTCATTGGATGACAGCCATCTTTTCAAATGAAATGTTTCCTTAACAAGGTCAAGAGCTTCATTTGATCAAATTGCATTCTTTCTAGGATACTATTGACTTTTTAATGATATTCCACGACATGAAAAAAATATAAAAACAGTTGAAAACACAAGTCTCCATTTAATTATTAGAAAAGCATGTGAATCTTAAATAAAGATGAATATATCAAACCTCCAGAAGCTTAATCAAAAGGAACGAAAAATAGAGGCAGAAATACAAAGAGATGGGTTGGGCTGCTGCGTTTGAAATCTGTTGCTCAGAAAACTTTTAAAGTCAGAAACTGCAGCATCGACATCGTCTGGCCATCCTCTGAAGCCATAGAGAATCCAACTAAGAACTGCAAGTAATTACAGGTGAGCCACTAATACAATTAATCACAAACCACAAATTGATTCCAATTGTAAATATCGGAGGCTTTGAGAACCACATGAGAGCTTTGCCAAGTTGATCTCAACCAACTATTTCGATATTTTCATACATTTTCAACTATTTTCACACAATTTGTTGAAATATTCACAAGCCAAAAGCAGATACTGAAACAATACGACGCAGAGTTCTTAGAATTTGAATCTGTTTCCTTTCAGATACAAATTTAAACCTTTCTTTCAGAAATTCTTGGTCCGTCATGTTTTGGGTAAAGAATATACAAACGATTTCACAACAATATGACAACAAAACTGCTGTAACTGATTCATTGAATTAGAAGAAAGTGTTGAAAGTAAGTTTTTGAGATTCCAAAGCTGAAAAGAACAAAACGAAAGCGATAAGTGGTGATGATCCTTAACAGTTTCTATAATAGACAGTACGTCGCGTTGGTTGCATCAGACAACATTTGTCACTCAAAAAATAAAAATTAGAATCTAAAACAATTAATGAAAATGTATAAACTCCATCAAGAAAAGCTACTGAGTATTACAAGTCACAACAACTCATATGTAAAATTAGAATTCAACATTACGCTCTTAAGCATAGCTTGGAAAGTCCCTAAGATGACAACATGAATACAAACTCTACAACATGACTCTCAAAACTTCTCACTTACCTTGAGTTGTCGCTTTTTCAGGTGTTCGAAGGTCTATCTGATTCATTGCAATATCTTCTGACGCACTAATTATTAGACTGATTTCGTCTCTGTACATCAATGGTGTTTACACTCTCCTTGTGTATCTCAAAAAATTTTACCATCCGTCTTCTAACAAAATAAGACCAAGAGTATACGATCCACTGCACCAACTAGTAATAACTCTCAATGATACAAGGTATAATCTTAGTTAGAAAGATAAGACGATAATTGAGTTTGACCCAATAGAGACATCATCAAAAATATTTCTATCGTGTCCACTGTCAACTTGTTGCCTTATAGTTCTGTCAATTACGTCCCAACACTATTCGACAATCTTCTGAATCTGACAGAACCAGAAGCCTCAATGAAAACAGTCTATTGACAACAATCTCTATGGACCTTAAAGGTAGCTGAGTCTTCCACTTTATAAAAGAAAGATGCGTGGCTCTATCATTATTGGTGATTTCTGTGCTCAACAAAAACAGACGGACCATATCATTCCGGTATATTGTCCGACTCCCCATTGAATCTTCTTACAAACAAGACGTCTTCAATAGTCAGTCAAAGGATGTAATAAATTCACACAGGGAACCGAATTCTCTGCCTTCCGGCAAGTTGAAAAGGAAACACGTAACTCTTAACGACCTTTAGAAAATGATTCCAAAGCGAACACAAGGGTCCACAATAACATGTTGGTAAATTTCGTTTCCGTTTGCATTCTCAAATAACTTGAGTGCTCATTTACAAGCTATTTATTTCTATAAGCATTGAAAGACAGTAAAAAAAGTATTTCTGGGAAGTCTCGGTTAATTTGTCGGTCTCCAATGTCGGTCTGCAAATTTCAAAGAAAGAATTGTATTTCAGTTATCGCTATACTTCTTGAAAGAAATCAAACTTACAGACTCGAATTTGCAATCGATATTACTCACTGAAGATAACTGGACGCTAGAAATTTTTCGCTTGATAATAGCATGTATTCATTTTAGTTTAGTTTCAGAATGAGACCATTCCTTGTTAGAAATTTCATTCTTCGTTTTGTTGCAACTTTGAACAAAACATGAACGTAAAATAGAACTCTTAGAACTTTCATTATCAAAAAAGATTCAATGACTGAGGTTTTAAGCAGAATGAGTGGAACTGCTATGGGCTACTTGAAAAGAAGCCAGGCAGAGAGTGGTTCAAAATCACAATTCACTGACTGGAAGCTTGTCGACATATCTCCCATTCCTTCGATATTTGTAGGTTGTCGACACATGTTTGCTTTTTTAGTGTTTGAACTTATCAACTTCATTATCTTTACAACTATCAGCAAGGTAAATGGAAATGGCTTTTTTAGAAAACATTAATACATGCTAAAGAGCTATCCTAATAAGCGAAGAATGTTGCCATTGTTTCTTGTGAAGATATATTTTGAATGAGGTCGACTCAAACAAATTGTCTGCAAACACTGGGATACTACAAAGCTAACAAAGCATTTGGTCCAGAGCAGACAATATCTCTCCCAATCTACTATTGAAATAAATCTTCGCCTTAACGTAGCTTGTTTTATTATGCTACTTCAATAAACGTTCCAAATACAATACCTAATTAAATGATATGAATACATTTAGCAGAGTTCGAGAATATTTTCTTGATACAATAGAGTATATTGAATTTCCTGTATCACCCAATCCTTTTTTTTTTTACGATTTGTTAAGTGCAAGTGAGGAATGCATTCCTGAAAAACTAAAGAGGCAGCTTTCAGTCAGTAAAAGTCAAGTAACTCGTGAGGAGCTTCATGTGTCAATGGAACAATTGCCCTTTCTGTGAAGCAGATGTAAGAAAGTTTTCTGATCACTATCACAAAACCCTTTTCAAAGTCTTCTATAAAGCAACTATCACTTTGGATTCTTTCAATTGGAACAAAATAGTACATAAAGGTTATATTCCTTCAGTTTTCTTGGTCATAATGAGTTCCTATTAACGAGTCATATTTAGAAAAGGCTCTACAGATAGGGACTATATACGCATATAGAGCTCAATAATATTCAACATTTTCTTTCGATTACTCGAGTTCCCTCTTTTCCAGAAACTATACATAAGTTTGCCATGTTCAAGAATATGCCATGTTCTACTACTCCTACTATCTCTGAAATTTGCCGGGCTGCTAAAAAAATATCTGGGATAGGCCTGTCCAAGAAAAGGTCTACAATGTAGTTATTATTATCAGTAACATAAATATTTCCCTTTTCACGTCTTATAGTTGCTGAAACGTTACATTCTGCGAGACACTCCACTCCAAGTAACCGACGCAAGGTATGCTTCCAACAAAAAGGGGTAACTTCAACAGGTACAGCTCCTGTCATTCCCAATCCTTCTACTAACTTTGACTCATCCACAATAACGACCAATTTCCTGGCTTCTGCTTCAATCATCTTTTCGCGAAAAAGTGAGCCACCTCTTCCCTTTACCAGGTTCAAATATTTGTCAACTTCATCTGCTCCATCTATTGCTACATCTACGACAGGATGAGTATCCAAGGTAACCAGAGGAATATGTAACGACTTGGCTTGATTCTCTGTCTTTGTAGAAGTAGGGATGCCCACAACGTCACAAAGCGAGCCCTCTTGTAACTTCTGACCTAAACGCTCAATGGCATAGTAGGCTGTAGAGCCAGTTCCCAGTCCAACAACCATTCCAGAATGTACATAGTCATCCACTGCCTTGTAGCCCACCACTCTCTTCAAGTCTTCGGTAGAACTAAGTTGTGTCTCAACCGCAATAGACATTTCTTCTAGATTCCCTACGTGTTCTTGAAAATCAACGCAAGTTGCTAGAGTTACAATTCCTAGTGAAACAAACAATTTTCTTAAACAATAATGACTCTTAGCACAATATAAATAGATCTAGTTTGTAGTACAGGTTGTGCAATAACTGACATTCAGCTCGTACCGGCCCTCGCCATAACCTAAATCAGATTGTTCATTTACCCTGTCCAATCGATTGTCGGAGGCTTTGTACTGTTAATACTCTTCTATGATTTCCTGTACCGTTTTTTACAACAGCATTCATTTCTCTCATTCAAGCAACGTTTATTTTTAAATAAGCTCAACACGAAATCAGTTTCTTCTGCTGTCGTTAATTTATCTTAAGTATTATAGCGCTTTCAAAGTAAATTGCGAAGCAAAGAGGAAGATCTCTTCAAAGTTCAAGTTGCAGGAAGATAAATCTGTTGGATTTTGAGTTGCTACCATATGCTTTAACCAACAGACGCAGTTTGTGCCAAATTTTCGACGATCTTGATTATCTCTCTATGTACTTTGGAGCTTAAAGGAAACCCGTGAACTGTTTCATAGCTTTCTTAAGAGACCAGAGATCTCCTGTGTCATGGCTACTATGAGGAGGGTGAGCTAGAAGGAATTTTTCAACAGTTAGGTTCACTGTAAGCGAATGTAAAAAAATGTAGCATAAGTAGTGAGCAATGATCTTTTTTGTTTCATGGTATCGTTTTGAACGAACCAGAAGGAAGCCAAGAGTCTCGTCGAACTCTGACTAAACGAATGAGGTTAATTTTTCGATTGAAACTCCACGACCATCTAATACAATTCCCAAAAGTCTGTCCCTTTGATCTTGTGTTTCAAACCATGTTTCTATTTTCTTATTGAATTCCAAGAATTTCTAACACTTCATAGTTTGTAACCAATTGAAGACATCACAGTTGGCGACTCAAACGTTCGCATCGTTTAACAAAGCGAAACAACATTTGTTCTAAAAATTGCTGTAAGTGATTCTTCTCTTTCATGAAGTCTAGTGGGTTCGAAAGGAATCCAATATTTCTCCAATTATTTCATTAGGAAACTTTTTCAAAAGTTCATGACGGCCAATTAAAACAGTAGAAGTTGAAGGTTACTGTTATGGAGTGAAGATTGCAATCTCGAGGACACTGAGATATCACCACTTTTGTAGAAGCTCGAAATAGCGTATCACTGCATAGAGGAAACTTTTGAAGAAGAGCCCATTTTACCTTTTCAGATGCTGTTGCTGTTCCACGGTGTGTAAAAACAAGTCATATTTTTTTCTTATCGCACCGAAATTTCATTAAATGGTATCGATTCTGTTTTCTATGATATTTTCTCTCTTGTTTCATGAGCTGGTTTATTTTCATTCAATTCAATATTTCTAAATCTTTGTCAAGCTGAAGTAAGCATTCTTTTCTGGAAACGAGAAGCCAAATGTCTATTTTTCGCAACAAGCTGGATAAACGAATAACGGCCATTTTTCCTGGAATTGCTGTATCATTGAGCAACCTTCTAGTTGGGTTTGATTTCATTTCACATGAAAGTCACTGAAGGAATCTATATTACAAGCTTAATATTGTATACTCTAGTTTTCCCTAGCACAGTTTAGTGTCTCGCTTCGATAACGCTTTTTGGAGTTTACCCCACTCGTCTCCGAGGTTTTGGAAAGAACATTATGGAGTTTTAATCATTTATTTGTGGATGTTTACAGTCAGCTGCAACTTTATCAACTTGACGAATTCTACAATAAATATAAGCTATTTGATGGATTTTATGGAGACATTCATTTGGTTGGAATTAGACTAGCTACTTTTTTGTTATTCAATGACTCACCCAAACATTAGCAAGCGTTTATTTATCCAGAATTCTCTCTATTCACTGGAGTCATTCTATCCACTAATGAGCCAATAAATACATCTTCTTTCCGCAGAATATTTCCGAGTCATTTTACAGGAATCCAGACGTAATCTCAGTTGGATCCTTTGTTCATAACACACTCCATGTGCTCTTCATACGTCATTTTTTGTCTGTTAGGGCCCTATGACTCTTCGATTCTTTCCACGCCAAAATAATCTGTGAAAATTCTCTATTTTACCAGTTTTCCCGAGATACCTTTCCATCCTCAGATAAAGACTGTTCAATTTTGTTTGATAAAACGTCGTTGTACATTTACTAGAATTCTCTTCATGCTACAAATGTAAAAGAAGAATAATATCAAAATTTCCTGCAAAGACAAGATACGAAGCATTTCATTGGAAACAATTTTTAAAGAGGAAAGTTTCGACGAAATCTTATCGGTTGAACGAAATGACACATTATTCCAAGTGTTACATGCAATTTGTTTATCTATTACAACTTTAAAACCTCTACAAATCGCTGTATTTCTTCCTTTCTACTGCCTTAGCTTGTATCGTCACTTTTCCAGAGCCGACGAAAAATTTTTTCTTGCTTTTCAACTCTCAAGCAACCTCGTAAAACGTGACTTCCAACTATATAAAACACATTGTTTCCTTTTTTGGACGATGTGAATGATATAGGAGAGAAATGAAAACATTTCGCCTTATCTTTGGTTCTTTATCATGCAACAATGAACAAAGAGACAAGCATGTAGATATATCTTCATTCCGGGCCACAAAGTTACTCTATTTTCCATACTTCCTTGAGTCTAAAATGAAGTAAATCATTCGTCGTTTTCTTAGCATTATTCCAATTGTGCTTTGCCAATGCAGGCATAGACATGGAAAACAGTGCATCTATTTCTTCCAAAGTCTTATCTTTCGTTTCTGGCATCATCAACAATCCATAAAACCAAGAAAGCACAACAAAGCCTCCATAAAATCCGATAAAAATTCCGGGACCAGTCATTGCAGTTTTCATTCTTGTAAATAGATAAGTGGTAAGAAAGTTTCCAATATAGGTCCACCATGTTACAAGTGCCATTCCTTCACTTCGGATATAAGTTGGAAATATCTCAGAACCGATGACCCACGTATAAGGTCCCATACCAGATCCCCAAAACATGTAATAAGTTATGATACCCCAAATGTATATACCTTCTTCAATGTGAATGTTGGAGGCTCGAAAACTAAATCCAATGATGAAACAGCCGATAACCACTCCTGGAAGTAAACTTAGCCATAAAGCTCTTCTTCCCATTCTGTCCATTAAGTAGATGGCAGGAATAGTGAAAAGTAACAATGTTCCTGAACCAATCATGCTAGAATATACTGCATGAACTCTACTAAATCCAACTTCATGCATCAATGTAGACATGTAATAATTGATGGAGTTAATGCCAGAAAATTGTTCGAGAATAGCGATAATAGCTCCAAAGATAGCAGCATGACGACAGCGATGTACTCGGATAAGATCCATAATGATCCATCTGTCTTTTGAATTTCTCAATTCCCTTTCCACTGTCTTTTTCATAATGTAAAACTCATTTCTTTCTTCTTCTGTATCAAAGCCTCTGACAATTCTCCATACCCTATAGGATTGTGCCTCCCGTCCTTTTCTCATTAACCATCTAGGAGTTTCTGGCATAGTGCACATCGCAATTAGCAAAATAGAAGAAAAAACCAAAGTACTTCCTAACATATATCTCCAATTGCCTGGAACGTTGACAAATATTGCGGCAACAATGTAGGCACAAAATAGTCCAAAGCAAATCATAAATTGATAAAGTGAAACCAAACCTCCTCGCCATCTTTTAGTACAACTCTCTGAAATGTATACAGGACAAGCAGTGCATTCTAAACCAAGTCCAACACCCAATATAATACGACCAGATAGAATCATTCCAAAATTATGCGCATCCGCTTGTAATATTCCTCCAACGGAATAAAACAAACAAGCAATGATAATGCTGATTTTTCTTCCAAGCCATTCATTCAATGGATAAGCTCTAAGATCATGGACTTGAGCCTTGTGGACATATACGAAAATATTGCAACTACTTACATAGTTGCCCCAAGAACTGCTCCTAGAGGCATGAAACCGGTTACCATAGACTCTTCTCCAGATGTCAAACTGAGATCCTTTGGCATAAACAACAATGCACCACTAATAACTCCTTGATCCATTCCAAATATAAAGCCTCCAATAGAAGCGAAGATGCCTAAAATTAATGTCATATGACGACCACCCTTTTTGAATAATGTATGGGTACGAAATGAAAATCCTGTGAACTTTAAAGACTCTTCTTTCAGTATCTCAAGTTCTTTTTTCACTTCTTCTTCATCCAAAGAAGCTTCTAGTTGAGTAACATAGTCTTGTTTCTCTCTATTGTTATAAACAATTTCTGTATCTTGAGTTTTTTGGACGTCAGCATCTTCTTGCAATTCAATACCACTCATATCTCTGACTACTTTTTGGACTTTTTCAAAGGACTATCTCTAACTCTATCTTAGTTCATTTGTTTCTTTTTAAATAAGATCTCGATCTCATTGTCAAAGTGACACATTCTCAAATACTTCAATCTCGGAGTGTCTTGGATTTTCTCCATGTGACTGAAGAAATGGGTGCATAAGAAGAAATTCATGCTTGAAGAAGCTACGAGCGATCGGGAAATTCGATCTTGCCACTTGGACAACAAATGTCCTTTACTCGAAATCATTTAAGCCTGTGCATTGATTATGGTGGCTTGTTAGAGCTGTTTTCCTGAAACAAAAAGATTATTTTAGTAAAATGAAACTTATATCCAAGCTATATTTGGTAGAACCTGTAGAGCTAAGCAGGAGTTTAGAGCTCCCACTGTCGGTAACCTGTTTTTCTATATACTTTGTAGTTTTTCACCTCGTGTAAGAAAAAGTTTCAATGAAATGTCCGGGTCTTCTAATGCTGAGACTTATAGCTGTGCATTTTTCGGTATTTCAGATTATTGGAAGCTATTTCGCAAATACAAGCTTCATGATTCTGATGAGATGACATACCTACAAGTAAGGCTGATTTATCTCCATTACCTGCGTACCTTTTTGAAGTGTTGCAAAAGTTATTGCCTAGAGTATTGTTTAACCAGCTTGTGTTCTTCTTACCTAGTTGCATCTTCGCTGAGAAACTCGGATGGGCTTTTCGTACTCCCTCACAAGTTAGTTCTCTTTCTTCATTGCTTGACTATATGGACTCATCGTATGAATAAAACAGGAAACTACCTTTCCACTTTGGAAGCTGCCTATCTTTTTGAGTCTTTTTTCGGTTTATGAAGAAATCATATTTTATAGTGCTCATAGATGGTTGTTACATTCGAAATGGGGATTTACTCTGTTAGGACACAACGTTCATCATAGGTAATATCACAATGAATTTGTGCTACTGAAGTAATAACCAGTGTTAGAACCAAGGGTTCTGTTGGAATCTCTCAACATTATATGAGTATGATTGACTATTTCTTGGAAATTGTGGTTGCCATTTTGGTAAGAACGAATGTTTGTCAATGTTGACATTCAAGAATGAATATCATGACTACTATGAAGGTTCCATTGGCTATGATCCGCGCCAATGCATATTTCGACTTGTTAATCATAGTTGAAAATGCCATCCTTGGTCCTTATGATCACAGTGGATATGATTTCTTTCTTGGCTCATTGAAAAGATATTCACCAGTACGTTATCTTGAGACGGAAAGGTTTAGCTAAACAGTGTTGCTTAGGTGAATCATTCTATGCATCATCTTCGTTCCAGTTGCAGCTTTGGAGATAGCGTTGGATCCATGGCTATACTTGATAGTCTCTTCAAGACTAGCTTTTTTCACTTTGGATATCAGTGAGCAGTATTTTGTTTTTGATTTTTATCATTCTTTCAAGCTTCTATGTAATAGATCTTTTCCAAAAGTGAAGAACGACAACAAGAATGAAAAAGAAACAAAAGTGACTTGATGTCTGTTTTCAATTGTACCTTTCTTCATCCGAAGGCTGAATAGCTAGAATATCAACATTTAGATGATAAAAAGTTTGTGTTCTTGTTGATCATCATTTGAAATTTATTTGTTAATGTAAGTTTTGAATCGTCTGATATCGTGCCGAATCCCTTTTGACCTTTCTAATACCTGCCAATTACTTGACCTCGCCTCTTTATGAAAAAAATCCTAAAACTTTATTCAAACTGCGTACGTCATACTCAAAATGAATATCCATTTTGTTGTCATAGACATAGTCAGTACAAATGTCACACATATATCTCCCGACAAACTTTGGATATTTCTAGAAAACAATTGACAGTATCAAGGCTCTACCTGTTCAAATACTAAAAAATGCCTTTATGACCTCCTTCAACAGTTATATATATACCATAGAATTGTAAAATCTTGTAAATCAGCCAATAAAAATCCAACATTTTCTTTGAAGAAGCCACCTTCTTTCAACAGATTGGTAAAATATTCATCCTTAACAATGTGTGCTGTATCACTGAGACTTGCTTTATGAATCATGCAAGAACGAAACATTTACTGCTATGAACACTAGTGTCCTAGCAAATGCGAACCATTTTGTTAAAAACATGCCGAAGGCTTTGAAGAGCTTCTTTTTCATAAACGACAGCATCTTATTCCAAAATGTTGTTTGTCTTTGTCGAACATAAAAATAAAATGAAGCTCCAAAAAGGCAAAAATTTTGACTCGAATAACTTGTTTTAATAGAATGGCTAAAAGTCTAAAACCATTCTATGCAGTGACTGTGAGGAACTCTTAGGCTGTAAGAAGCCATCATAGGTCTTCAAAGCTGCGAACCAATATTATTTTACAATAGTCAAAAATTGTTTTCAGCTTATTAGTGTCGTTTTCTCTGCAATTTTTGAATGAAGAACTGAAAGATGAATACGTTCTAAAAGCACTATTGTACTGTCTTCTAAGAATCCTTTTACATTAAAAAGTCTACAAATAACTCTGAGATCGCTTTCATATTGTTTCAAAAACTGTATGCAACCATGTAAGAGAATCATTGAAATTTGTTCATCATTACTCGAAATGAAAAAGAACGACATCTGCGTTGTGTTCAATTCTAGAAATGCAGCTTAAGCTCAACAAAGAGAGAAGAAGAAAGTAACCAAAGTCTCGAAACATTCGTGGCACAAATAGAAAGTTTTGAATATAACAGGATCTCAACGCCGATTCAAGGCTTCTTACAAACTTGAGTGATCGTTCAATCACCGTGTCTTCTGCAAAGCCACAACAGCTTAACTAAGAATTTTTTCATAGTAGAATGTCTCCTCGTTTGCATGTTTTTTTCTTTCATCCATATGCAATTTGAAAAGGAAGAGAAACTTGTTACCGATTTGCCTAGAAAGACAACTTTCGAGACTCAAAATATTTCCTGATATACTCCCTTTGCCATTGTTTGAAGAAAAAACTGGACTCTCTTTCATCTGTTTCCTAATACACTGAAATAATTGTTTTGAGTCAATATGACTAGAGCTATATCTTTAGCAAGTTGACAGCTCTTATAAGACTCGTATACTTTAAGGAACTTTATAGCGGCCTTGTGTTCAGCTAGTCGTCAAACTTTTTCATAATTTCTCTAGTAAAGCAAATGAAATAGCAACATATCCTGTTTCTCAAATGAACTTTCACAAAAAAAGGAAAACACAAAATCGCTATCCAATTTGCGGCAACAAAAAAAATGGAAACTCAAGCTCAAGCAATCGAGTGAAGTGAGAGAACCATTTGTTTGATATTCTCAAAATCAGTATTCACAAGTAGTTTGTTCTTGAATACGCCAGACTTCATTAGAATCTGTGACACTCTTGTTAAAATGAAATCTTCTACAACTTTTTAGAAAGAATTACCAAACCAGAATGAAGAGAAGCTAGAAAATCTCCAGCAACAATATCCTCAGAAGAACAACAACGAATCGTATGTTTCAAGAAAATGAATTCAATACAAGCCAACTTTGTACTTGGAGTGATCAACATACAGTGCTAATATGGATGCTTTGACATGACTTGATTAGGTTTAAAAAAATTCACGACCTTCCTTTTGACTTTCACTCAAAGTGTGTCATTAGAACTGTAACTGAGAGTGCCATGCAACACAAACATTCAACGACTCTTCTTCATATCTTTTTTATGTAATTGAATAATATATTCGGACTGGACCACATTGAATCTAGTGGCATAGACGTCTTTTCAAATTCCAAAACATCATCCACAGTTCGTTCCCGTTCGGTCTCTTCTAATGAGACTCTCTCACCTTCTGTAATCCTCTCACTATCATGAATAGTCTTCAGATAAAGTGCAGCTAATCGAGAAATGAATTGCTAGACGATTCCATCCCAAAAGGGAAATAATTGAGGAGTGGGAAATAGAATATTGTTGGGATCACAATGTGAAAACTCGTAATACGACCTTGTCGAAATGTATTCTTCAAAAATGTGAAAAAAGACTCGTGAAAGCCTTAAAGGAATTCAGCAATAGAGTCCAGAAAGATACTTTCTCTTCAGAGTCTTGGAGGAAATGTTCGATATTGTGGTCACTCAACAGCTTTGGAATCGAAAGTCCATACATTTGCTCTTATCTTCTTATAAGCACTGGGAATGACAAAAAAGCACGTCGTTTGACAAATCATGTAAAGGATTGCTTTCATTTATACCCAATTGAACGGTGTCGTACAAATCAAACCAAAGGTCAAACAGAGCTAACTACAACAACATATTGAATCATTGCCGTTCTTCTTGGTTGAAAAATTGTAAATGAGACAAGAAACAATCAAGATAAGTATGAGACGCTCATAAATAATTCGTTATTATCATGACTCTCTCTTTGGATAGTGGAAAACTCTTATTTCTACTTCCATATTACACACGGATGTCTATGTCGACTGTTAATGGACTCGCGAACTCCCAATATATTCTAATAATAGATTTGTCAAGTTTTCGTAGAAAAATTCTCATCACAGAAAACTTGTCCCGCAGAAGGATTTCCTGTGCAAACAGACAAAGGGACTCTTCTACAAATGTTCAACAATATGATTCTTTTCTAAAGAAGAACGGGACAATAACTCCAATCGAACATTAGAGGAATCCGTTAAGTTGTTGCGTATACGTCAGCCTCTGCTTTCCCAACTTGAGAGGAGATAAATGGGGTTATTGACAGAGTTCTCGAATGACAGAAAAGAAGTCATTGTATATCGTAAGATAATCACCTGTTGTGTCTTTCAGATCAAAGAAATTGTTCTTTCCTTCAGAAGCACCAACTTTGTCAAAAGTGACAAAAAGATATTCATTTGTTTTCATATTCAACACATCACGAATCTTGTCAAGCACCACTTTAGGCCTTGGTTGTATTTTATCATACGGCTCGAGTGGATTCGGCTCTGGAGTATTCACTGCACAATAGGCAACAGACAACATCAAATAATAAACTGCTCGATTGAAGCTTCTCTCCTCAGGAGGCAATTGACCAAAGCTTTTCAGAATGACAAAAAGACGATCAGCGTTTTTCAAGTTTCGAAAAACTCCTTATCGTAAGAACCCAAGGAAGAACCCTCTAAAGCACCGCCAATGCCATGTTCCTGAGTAAATCCAGATAATTCAAGGCAAATGTGCTCTTTACAGTACCAAAATGATATGGATTACAATAAATAGTGAATTGCTCCCCTTGATCAGTTCCAGAAATACCCACTGCTTGTCACTTTTGATTCAGCTGATACATTTGTTTCGTGACTTTAGGGTTACGACCTATCGCTACACAATTATAGGTAGCTTCGCTAAGATCACGGATAGAACGGTCCATAGTGAATTTCTCCAGGAAGGATAAAAACCAATTACGGGTAATATGTGAAGCACTGTTCAATTGACCCATGCTTTCGAGTCTCTCTCTATACAATATTCCTTTCAAAGAAAGTCAAGAACCAACAGTTCTTTCTTTGGTTTAATAAAATCCCACATTATTGATGTTAAGAGAAACAAAGCTTTTCTAGTACTTTCCAATGCACAATGTTATTAAAGAGTGAATAGATGAGTTATTCCAAGAATTATATAAAAGCACGTAACATATCGAATACTATTCTATATAAAGTTTGATTCTCTCTAGTAAAGTGACAAGTCATTCAAATACCGATTGAATGTTGGGTTGGTCCTAAATTTTTTTATTCGTTTTGTGAATAGATTGAAAACTCGTCTATTGCTTTGTTATTAGATCCTTCAGTACAGGAAAATACTTTTTCTAAACTATAACATGGAGTTAGGCTAATACGATGTGATTTCTAAACTTTCATAACTCGATATACTCTACCACCTCCATTTGATGATGAGAACCTGAGAACAACAAGTTGAAATATAAACTTGGAATTCTAAGAACCCTTCAATAGGCTCTTCCAATAAAGTTTTCTACATCGGCTTCAGAAAGAATAACCAATTCACAGTTTTGAGGAATCACGAATTCTTCAACACTATCGCCAGATGAATAACAACGACTAGAATGATTCAAGTCCTCAGATACGTTTGTTGCTAATTGAGTACTCATGATAATCAACATACAATGCCATGTAGGATGACTAGTCAATACTTGATCATGCACTGGTTTCAAAAACTTGTGAGCTTCTTCCAAAATTTCATTCCATAGAATACCATTACGACTCCATCGGCCTTTACAAGCAATACCCACAATCATCAAGTTCTTCTCATTCGTTCTTCCATGCAACTTGAATAATATATCTGGACTATAGGGTGTTGAATGAAATGGAATATATATCTTTTCAAATTCTAACATTTCTTCCACTATCCTTTCCCATTCATCATTGCTTCCAAATGTCATTCTCTCTGTTCCTGATACAGTTCTGGTATAATGTATAGATTTCATATAATAAGCAGCAGATTCGGAAGAAAATTGTAAATTCATTTCATTCCAAACACGAGACAATTGACCAAGAGTAGAAAACATTGAGCTGTTTGTAGGATGCCGAGAAAAATGTAAATAAAACAGTGTCGCAATAAGACCTTCCAAAATTCGACATTTCGACTCATAAAAGAATTCAACAGATTGAGACTTGAGAGTTTGTAAAAGTAACCATTCTAAACGATCATCCTTTACGCCTTGGTCAATATATTCAATCAGTAACTTGGGAATCAACACTTCATAGCGTTCGTTGCGGTCTGGTTCTATAACCAATCGACGATAGAGACACATATCTGTAACTAGATCAAACAAAAACACATCAGAATTTGAGCTTATTTGCACAGTTTCATCAAAATCAAATCGAATACGATACAAAGATAATAACGTAAGCATTCTTAACAAGCGCTTACGCTGCTCACTGAGACTTATCAGACGAGGTAAGAATGGCGCAACACAATAATTTGTTACTGGAAGGTTATTCATTATGATCAAGAAGGTTTCCTTAGATAATGAGAAATTGTTGTTGGATGATTTATACAGCAGAAGGTAACTGATTGCTCGAACAAGTAAACCAGGAACACCACCAGTCAATTCCAACAACAATTCTGCAAGTTCACTAGTTGAGAAGTCTTTGTGACAAAGAATTTCTGAAACCTTTGGGCTCCTAGTGAATAAAAAGGAAGAACTTTTCTCCAAGTGTTCCACGATACTATGTTTCTCATGCGGCGCAAGAGGAATAAATACTAACTGAACTCTTGAGACTGAAGCTACGTAATTTTTTATATTTAAGCCTTTGCTTTTCCCAACAACAATAAAAAACAAGTCGGGTTCTTTGCACAATTGACTAATGATACCGAAAAAGTCGTTGTATGGTCGAACTCTACCGTCGTGGGTTCTCTTGAAATGAAATTCGTCGAGACTTTCGTCTAGGACACCAATTTCATCAAATGCTATCAGAAGATATTGATCGGAAGGAATGCCCAAAGTCTTCCGTCGCTGTGGAATTAGAAAGTTTGGATAGGGAGGAATGTGTCTGTAGGCTTCATAAACTGTAGACCCATCTGATTACAAGCTGATCGGTACAATAAATAGTAGACTGCCCACTCAAGTGTGGGCTGCTCAACTCCCTTTGATCTACATAAAGCAACGAAGCCTTTTTCAGCTTCTCCAAAAAGATTCTGCTCGTCAGGCTCCGAACGTAAAGAGACCTATCAGTGCAGTTTCGGCCATCTTTTTCACCAGTTCCAAGTAGGTTTGTCCGAATTTCGTTTTGCGAGTTCCGAAGAGGTGGGGGCCATGTTGTATGCCTGGTTTGCTTTGCGACTGTTACGAAGATCATACAGTATACTTCTGTTACTCGACGAACATCCTTTTCTCGGTTTACTACATCTGTGTTGTATACGGTTTGTGGTATTACGCTCACTCATCGTCTTCTCAAGTATGAATAAGTTGTGAGATTGTTGCTTTTAGCTGTGTTGAAACAGACTCTTCATTATCTAACGATAAGTAGTATTGAAAAATAAGTTTAAAATAACAAAGAGGGAACCTTAAGCTCTTTTGTGAGCTATAATACTTTGGGTCATGTTATTCATATTTAGTGTTATTTCAGAACACCTTCCTTAAAGAAGTTACCTCAAAGTCGAGTTCACTTGAAGTTCAAGTGTGGCAATGAACAGCGTGCTGGTTC